CCAAAATTACACTTCGCCCCCAGAACACACAAAAAAAACATCATTGCTGCTCCAGAGGAAATGAGAAATTAACATCAAAGTTCACTGAAACCACAATCTCCTTTTGGGACCCGAAACAAGATGTTAACAATTAATGTGTTTACAACAATAAAAGATCCAAAAGACAACTTGTTTTAAGCACAGAAAACACAACTGGGAACAAAAACAGGGACGGACATGAAACTAAAATAATCCCAAAGCACAGGAAACACTGGATTTACAATAAAAAATAAGAACATTGTTACAGTACATGAGCATGAAGCACCTGCGATGAGACGACATTTCAGCTGAAAAGACATCAGCTGTGTGTCGAAACGAGTCCCTTCTCCCTCCTGTTCTTGAGTTTTAACAGTACATGAAGAGCCTGTGCGTGCAGCACATGCCCGACAGCGGAGCAGACTCAGTCCAGTCAGTTTACATACTTGAGACAACGTTACACCTACTAGATCAACACAGCAGCTGTGAGGAGAGCCTCCACACTGAAACATACAGGATGACAGTCTGTGGGTGTTGTTTCCCAGCAGCAGCGGAGATCCAACACAACAGGAAAAATGTGAAATTTACAGAATATTACAGACTCAGTTATTAAGGTTAACTCAATCTGTAACCTGGCATGCAACCCAATAAATAATTTCTTCTTCAGCATGCAGTCAGTGATGGTGCTCACTGCTGCGCAAGGAGACTTCCAGTCCAACATATTTACGTTAAAACTGTACTTCAAAAGAAGGCCGACACACAGTTTATACACCGTCTTCATCCCCTTGTTATTTAAAATAAGATTGAAAATCACTCAAATAGTTTGCTAAGTGTGTTTTTACATGCACACTAGTATCCCAAGTTACAACTGGATCTTGGTTAGGTATGTGTTACACATGGAAACATCTTGTCCAGAGCCCATATTATCAAACAACTTTAAAATCCTTTAAAAAATCGAATTTTTGTAACACTAAAGAGTGAAACTGGAAAAAAAAAAAGTTTTATCGTTCACCTAAGCCAAATAATTTCACTTGTAGCAGTTTGATGAAAACTGGCTCAGGCTTCTGATCATTCTCTGTATGTGTGCAGATGCATTCTCAGCTGTTACACTGTAGTTTAGTGAGTAAAAGAAGAAATTAATGCTTGATACCAGCAATGCAGGCGATGATCTGAACTCTCACTGCTGTTCTCTGTTACTGGTTATCAGATATAGAGACCAAATGCAGCAGACTGGTTTCTGACTGTCTGCACTCACCAAACTGTGACTCAGTACCAGTACAGATGATCAGAAACACTCAACTCTTGGCAGAAGGAATAAGAGTAACCAGGTTTATGTTCCATGTAAACATCAGATCCTGACTACAATCCACACCAGGATAAGACTCAAACCCAGAATACAGAATACCAGTGTGCATGTAAACGCTCTCACTGAGGTCATGTGTTCTGGATTTACTTTGTGGCAATGCATGGGGTTTTAGCAAAGACCACAGATGCAGTTAAAGGTTACACATTCATAAGGGATTATTTTAGCAAATACATTTAGAAAGGGATGGAAGGCCTGGATTACATTTTCATTACATAACGAGGAAACATTAATTCAGGTCGCAAAATGCTGACACTGAACATAGAAGTTAACGGACAACATACAATATTTCTTTTGTTTTATATCCACTCGTACCAACTTTAGCATTACTCAGCTTTCTGTGGATATGTTTAGGCACTCACACAACCTGGTTAAGGTTAGGGGAAGATGGTGGTCTTGGTTTAATATTGAAAAAGTAGTCACATAGGGAAATTCAAGGACAAAAGGCCCCTCAGACTCACAACCTCAGTGTTCTTGCTACAGCCCTGATTCTCAACATCTGTGCACATTTTCCAAACCAGAACATTATTTCAACACATCGGTTACATTTAGATTTTGCAGATTTCTGTTCCGTGAAAACAAGGAATACATTTCTAAATAACTTCAAAAACCCTTTGTTATAAACAATAATACCTCTATGCTTCCTGTTTACAGACCATATACTGCATGTGCAAACATTGTACATCTATGATATCCACTTTCAAACCGCATGATGCCATTAGCCACCCACAGTGACGTGCTGCTCTAAAATATAGTTTTTCTGTGTTTTCATACTATAAATACTATACTATAAACACGGTGTCAAAAACCTTTCACTACAGCGCCGGAACTGTTTGGTTTCAGCGTGAAGACTTTGATTTGATCTCCAGTGCAAACATTCATTTCCTCGCTTAAAATTGCTAAAATTGGGACACAACCGTATCATTCACATTTTATCTCACACAAACACACTAATAATCCTAAAGGCAGCTGACCTCACTGATATTTTTCAGTCTCAAAACTAAAAAGGGATTCAGGGCTTCGTCTGCGTGAACCCAATTACAAACTGAACACAAAAAAACTGTAAACATCATCTCTTTGTGTTTGTGAAGCCACTCAAATCCTCCAAGGCCTTTTTCTCCCCCCTCCCTCCCTCCTGCTCCTGTAATCAACACCTCTTCATCAGGATATTGTACCTCAAAAGCAGAAACTCCCTGAAGCAGACTCAGCTCACTCACGCTTCCTGAGATCAATGCGCCTCTTGGTTTAGAGGCTGCGGGCCCCGAAACGCCGTCACTGTGAGCCGGTTACAGACACACTTCACCGCCCTGACAGGCAGCCCAGACAAAGTCCTGACACCCGACTGCTGAACTGACTGAGGTGCAAATATCTTTGATTTTCTGTAGAGAGGTGATGAAGGATGGAAACAGGGAGCAGGAACGAAGTGGGAAAACATTTAACTGTCTGTTAAAGTTGTCTGCAGCTTCCAGCAACTTCAGGTCTGTGTGTTTTTTTTAGACCCCTGTTGGTGATTTTGCCCCAAATATTCTACGTTACTGGGTTTAACTTTCACTGATTTCCCATTTTCAAGTTTGTTTTTGCTATTTTAAGGCTGCACTAAGAAATGTTTGGGCATTTGTGACCTCAAAAAAGTACATTTTGACATTTTAAGATCTAGTTTTGTGACTCTAGGTTTCTTTTGACAAAGTGCTCAAGAACAAGTTTAGATTTTACTCCTTAATTTCACTTCATGTGAGTGAAATGACCATATCTGACATCTGAGACTCCCAGGACCCCAAATGTTCCAATTTCCCCTACAAATATTCAATTTCTGCCAATACATCCTCCTAAATGTTGTGCACTAAACCTTTAAACAAGACACAGGTCCACAACCTACCTGCACTATTAAAGGTTGTAATGTTTCAATATCTTTACTGCTGTCACTTTTTTTAAGCAGAAGGTTTAAAATGGAGAACAGAGCAGATGATCTGATAATGCTTTCTGCTTTCAGAACCCCAGCCTCCTCCTGTATTGGCATTTTGTTGCACAGTAAATGTGAATGTCTCTTTTAAATGTTGTGTATTTGGTATAAACCCAGCTGGGTCTGTGAGCTCAGGGATAGTCTGTGTCAGACTTATTCCAGAGCGTCACATGAGCAGAGCCACAGGTGCCGAACTAAAACCATATTGTTGCAATAAATGCTTAAATCCTTGACGCAACTGAACTGATCTTAGATGATTATTCTAGTGGAAGTGTGACGAATGATTGGAATATTCAATAGAAACCTGCAACCTTGCCCACTGCCTCCCTGCCCACAGTTTGCTGCTGCTCTCTCATTGTATGCAGATAACCTCCCGTCTCACTCTCATCTCCAAGGTGTTTCAGCTACAACTGCAGCTGGTTTTTGCCTACAATGAAAATAGGCATGTTGTAGCGTCTGTTTATGACGAGATCAGACTAAATGACCCTTTCAGATTTAAAAAAATGTAGGAAGAAGACAGGAAAGTCACGGCAACAGTCGTGCAGTCTGCACTGGGCTTATGTTACAGTCTATGGTTAAACATCTATCTTTCTTCGTAGACAGCAAACATCCTGGAGATCATGAGCAAGGTGCAACCTTTTTGTCTTCTTATCTTATCTTATATTAGAACCATAAACACAATTCCACTTTAAGGCATCATAAAATCTGGAGTGCTGAGATCATAAATGGGACTAGTGTTGATCCAGGGGTCATACAGAGATATTGGAGGTGCAGGGGAGTCTGCTTTCTACTTGATACAATGTACCGTAGTTTTACATCAAATCTTAATGCAGCCTTAAACGTCCTACTTAAAGAAGATAAAGTTCATTTCTAAAGTTTTCTTAAGTCCATTTGTGATGTCACAAATCATGCTTGTAGGCCCTGCCCCTTAACGTTTTAACGATTTTCAATGAGCACAGAGAAACTTTCCACTTTCAGCAGATGAATGTGAAAACATCCTTCTAGAGTCAAACTCTGCACAGACGTCATTCCACGCTGTAAGGAAGAAAAACTGATCTTTGACAGGAGGGGGGACTTTAAGATAAAGATGGAGCTTCCATGATCTTAAATGGACCTACAAGCAAAACCATCTGTAGATTTTTCAGCCTTAACAGCAGAATTTCAAACCTTTTTCATTTCTGTTGTCATGGGATTTTAGTTCTGGGTTTAGACCGCCACAATAAGTTAAGCTCTGTATTTTCGTGATGGATAAAACTACTACTGCTTGGAAACAGGGAAGAGATTTAAGCTCCTGATTACAAGGTCAATCGCTGCATGTAAGGGTTAAAAACCCAAATCGTTTATGTCTTTTATGCGTTTGTGTATCCTGCTTTAGTCTGTTAAAACAACCACTTACACACAGAAGTTAAAATTGTCGCTGGAAAAAATAAGTCTGGTTGCATTCCAGCGGCAGAGGACGGGAGGCATTGTGGGGAGTGGCAGCGAGTGTGGCGGGGCTGGTAAGAACTCAGGAATGAGGGTTTGGGATGAGAAATAATAAAAAAAATGGCTGCATGGAAGGATTTAGAGATGACACACACAACCTAAAATGGCTGCGTGGAAGCGATGAGTGACGTACGATGAGTGATGGGGAAAAAACAAACTCAAACAAACAAAGAAGAATCCAGGATCATCCATAATTTATTCAACACTTATGATTCATTTTGTAAATGTTTCTTTACATGAACACTTGATGAGTGAAAAAAGAAAACTGAGGCTTTTTTTTAAAATACATTTTAGATTCAAGTTCAACTAAAATTAAATCCAGTTCTGGTCTAGATGAATAAAAAAAAACATTAAATTTGATTAAATAAATAAATAAATAAACACGATAATTATCCCAAAACAAAAACTCCAGTCGGAAGTGTTTTAGATTGATTCACTAACTAATTCCAAAAGCATAAAGTACCCAGGTTAAGAGATTATACTGCAACATGTCCCCTCACATTTCAAACTGAGGAGAGATTTTTCCTGATTTCTGTTGTTGTTTTCTTCTAAAACCTCAATAGATCAACACTGGACTGATACTTTTTAATTTGTTTGGGGTTTAATGTCATGTAAACTGATGGTGACTGCCCTAACATGAGGCTTTTAAACATTTACAAGCTGAAAATTATTCTTTATTGTGTGTTCAGACAGAAGGCGACGCACTTCAAAACGCTCCTTTCCATTTCCACTTGACCAAAATAGTCTTGCATATTATGAATCAGAGAGCGGAGGGAAATTTGCTTCACTTTCAGCCTGAACACAACTTCAGAACATCAAGTTTCCTGTGTTAAACAATGGTGGCTGCACTAAAATGCAATTAAATATATTTTTTTTACACCTATTTTTCATTTCATTTTCAGTTTCCAGAGCTGCGTATGAACCTGAGAGAGGTCTGAGCTGGTCCTTTTTTAAGGTCTGTATCTGCAGAAGCTGACAGACTTAAAAACCCCTGCTGGTCCTGCTTTCAGACGCCTTACTTCCACCTCAAGAGAAAAGTCACGTTCTTATTCATTCTACAAAAAGTAGCTAGTGATAAAAAGGGCTAGTGCAAAATACTTACAAAAGGAAAAGAACGTGGGTACATCCGTCTTCAAAAAGTCAATACAATAATCAACTAGAAGCGCACCAACACCCACATAAGTAGAATATCAGCCTGATAAAGAAGAGAAGCAGAACTCAAACTTCTAAATTACATATATTACAATATCATTTCAACAAATTAAACACACTTGTTCCACTTCAAAAGGGGAGAAAAACAAAATTCAAAGAGATACATGATGCATAAATGACTTATTGCTTTAAAAATTTGTTCTTCTAGTACACAAGATCTACAACTCCTCAAACGCAACGGGAATCCTTTAGGACGGTCTGTATCGTAGGTCACAGCGTGCCAACCTCAGCTCCCTGCTGGTGCTGAAGCTGCTCAAACAACATCAGACTGGACGTTCACACCCTGAGTCCAAACATTAATACACGACTATCTGTATCAAAAATGAATAGTGCATTTACACAGTGGTAATACTCCACGGAGAACAGTCGAAGAATTATGACAGCGAGCTAAAAATCATCCACTTCTTATTCTAACTAGTCTAAAGTATCAAATTAAAGTCACTAAAAAGTAAAAGCAAGGCAGAAAACGACTCTTGGCTTGGCTACTGGACTCTGTCAACAATGAAAAACTACTGGTTTATCTTCGCTGTCATAATTCTTTCGCTGCCAACTACATCTCTCCTTTCCTCCTCCCTTAGGTGTTCTCTACTCTCTTTAAAGATAGCAGCTTCAACAACACAGTGCAACACTGCTGCCAGCGGTGAGCTGTAGAAACACTGCTCGACTCCTCGCACCGCAGCCAAAGACGAGGACACACAATCATAAACTACCACGCACGGCTGCAGAAGCCTTCGTTTCAGGGTTTTGTAACTAAGAGATGTCAGAGGAAATATACTGGAAACATACTGGTTTTGTTTTGGGTCTGTATTCAGTGACTGGCATGTGGCATTCTGCTGATGGGTTCCTGCATAGTCTCCTTTTCAGTCATTTTTCCAGGATTTCTTGAATGCATTTGAAGGTTTGACAGGTTTTCATATCTCATAATCACATCCTGGTAGCATGTGGGAAATATGACTGTCATGTCACATTACTGACTTAAATAGCTGAAATATATTCCTCACAAAGAATATACCAGCATGATAGTAGAGGACTGCAGTGACACAAATTGAGTCCGAATTCTAATACTCTGATAATTGGTGAAGTTTTTAAGTTATTTATAAAGAAGAAATGACGTTCTCTGGTCGCAGCTCCTCACATGTAAGAATCTGCTTGTGATTTTCTGTTTCTAAATTGAATATTGAATATCTGGACTGTTTTGGGACTTAGTAAAATCACATTTTATGCACATAAGAGCAGAAAGTTTTTCATTAAGCAAAAAATGCCAAACATTCGCTACGTCCAACTTGTGAAATATGAGGTTTTGTTGCTTTAGTTTTATATCATTGTAAACTAAATATGTTTGGGTTTTCAAAGATGTCGGCTTCGGCGCTGAGAGTTTGTGATGGGCATTTTTTCTCATTTTGTAGACTAAGTGATTAAGAGATTAATACTAAAAAAGGAGTGAAAATAATGAATAAACCCCTGATTAGGCTTAAACAAACAAACAGCTTTTCATATTTTCGAGATCATTTGTCTTCTGGGAAACATAATCGATTCATCTTCAGCTTATTTTCTTCTTTTTGTGAAGTTAGAGGTAGGGAATTTTTGGCATTCTTGCTTGAAAAATACTGTAAATGACTAATCGGTTATCATAAAGTTGCCAATTAATTTTCTGCCAGTTGAGTAATCGACTAATTGTTCTCTCTACCGGACTCTTCTGGTGCGTTTGAAGGTTAATAAAACACTGGACAATAGTATAAGGGAAGCTTTTACAACTGTGGAGAAATATCACAGAAACAATCGATTTATTCTCAGTTGCCACAATTGCCAGGTAAAAAGTAGATGTAGGTGTGACAGCACAACACCTCGTCGGATGATGATGTTGAGCAGAGTAAGGGTCAACCTTTTTGGTGTATTTCTTTCCTGGTTTCCTCCCAAACCTCTCAAAGCCCACACTGGAACTTCAAGTATTGATCTCCATGATCCTTACATACCCTGGTAATTCCCTCACTCGACCTTTGAGCCCTCCATGCCTAGAAACAGTGGCAGTGCTGCTAATGTACACAGCGCTGCCCTGAGTCCGACCTGTAAGGCGCAGGGACACAAACACCACTCTCTCCTGCCAAGTGTAATCGAGAAGTTGTCAGAACGTTCCCGTGACGTGTTTACACTGACTGCTGATTTATGCAGCAGAGAGCGTGCCATGTCCCGCTGGATCGTCTCTAACCTAAACACAACCCTCCGCTAGGGCTGGCTTTGGCCCATGTATGGGGCGAGTGTTTACCGTGCACCCATCAGTCTGACTGGTCCCAGGCGAGGCAGAGCTGGGCCTGAACTGGGGACAGTGCCTGATGGAAGACGAACGCCTTCTTAATCATCCGCACGTCTGACAGCGGATTCCGGGAACGGATTAAATGGAGCATCGTCCACTCAGCGTTATCTCAAGTACCACTCTGTCTTCTATGTTCACACCTGAGCTCTTCTCTGGTTACTGAGGGATGACTATGACCACACACTCACCAATATTCAATTCAATTCAACAGTAAAGGTGGATCAACCCTTTACTGTGGGTTCACACTGCAAGCAACATGATAAAGTCCATCTATTTCCTTTGGAAAGCTTTGAATTGCAGTCATCGGCGCAGGTTGCTCAGCTCTAGTTATTTGATAGACTAGAGAGGTAAAAGTCTTAAAAGCTAAGCATGGAGGTTTTTATTCATATAAATTAATTGATGAAATTTACTCCAAATATTTTAACGTTACAAAGCTTTTTACATTGACCAACATTGATTGAAATTAATGTTGAAATGATTTGATTAATTGATGACTTTATTGACAGAACATTACGTTTTAATCATTTATTACTTGTAGAAGTAATTTATTATGCAAAAATGTTGAACATTAGCTGATTTCGACGTCTAAAATTAGAAATGAAACCCAAAGATGGTCCAGCAAAACAATGTGGCCCTGGGCTCCTGTCATGCATTTTTGTCAAATTTTACATATTAAATGATAAAACCAAATGAGTCAAATGTGATCAAGATAATCGTTAGTTGCAGCCATAATTGGAATATAAAATACAATGGCCAAGCTGCTTGCCATGTGAACACAGCTGAAGAAATACCAGAGCAAGATAAACATAATGGTCAGCAGTTGACTAGAATACTATCTGAAATCAACACTTTCTGTTTACAACCCGCACACATTCACCGCTACAGTGCAAATGAAACAAAACTGAGGACTCAGTTTGTGCCTCAACAATCTACAACTGAGTTCATCCAATGACATCAAGTAAATCCTCAAAGAGAACAATATCAGAGCTCTACCATTGTCTTAAAATACTCAAAAAATAAATATACAACAGTGTATGATCCATAATATCTGTGTCAAGAGAAGGCCACTTTGCATTTGAACTATGGATTACCACGGTTATTACTGCTCATGCGCACAGAACTATTTAACATTCACAAAAAGCCACTTTCACTCTCTGACCAGACAACAACCGAACAACTAACGTTTACTTGCTGGAACAGAAATCTACCTCTTGGATGTGCTGGTTTAGTGTCCCTATACTGATTATGATCCTCACTGCTCATTACTATCAGTAACTGGTTTGTTTATTTTAGGGAATAATCAGAATCTGTTATTAAATGTGCCACAGTGCAACTTTGGCATTTTACAGAGAGCTATAGAACACAATAGGAATATATATGAAGAGCTGTGCTAAAATGAGACAAAAGATTATTATGCAATAAGTACAAAATTAGGAATTATAGTACAGTAATTATTAATATTGGTGTAAATGTTGCTAACGTCAGTCTTTGGCTTTTTTTGGACAAACATCCAACACTTCTCCAGCATGAATCCTCCTCCATTTACATCTGTTTCAGTGGGAAGGATGAGCTTAAAGCTATGACTTTTTTTTATTGTTAGACTTTGAATATAGAATTTTTAATTTCAACTCATTAAACCTGCACACATAATTTGATGGTTTCTATGTTGAGTAATGATATATTTGGTTGCAGCCACCATTTAAACGACCTATAGCCAGCGATAAGATACCCTGTCCAGGTACAATTCATGGAAAATAACATGTTACTTTACAATAAGGGAGTATGATAGATAAACAAAAAAAGAAATTATGGTGATGACAATGATTGTTATTGTGCAAAATCCAGAAATGATCTCTCATTTCTCTGAGATAATGACATAAATGAAATGAAAGGCAAGACGGTTCACCTCAAACTTTAAACAATCTCCTAATATTATTTTCCAAAGGTAAGCTTTGATCAATTTCCCCCTTTTCCATCTCTAAAGTGTTGGGAGAACAACCGCGGTTTCATGTCATTGTGTTCCCTCTAGCAATAAAACTACACAAAACCAAATATCAACATATAATAAACGATCAGTCCAGAAGAGTTTAACTTAATGGCAATTTAAATTTCTTTTAGATTTTGTGCGTTGAAAAGGCAATATGCCTTCTTCATTTTTAAACTATTTTTAAGAGTTAAATATATGGTGAAATTACATTTTGAGAAGGCAGCTGTTACCTTGTGACTCTCTCTCGACTTGTCCAGAATGGTCTGGCGTCCAGACTTTTCTGTACCAGTCACAAACTTCTCAGTGGTCGTTCTTTTGTTGTTGTTTTTTTTTACAAGTTCTACGAGTGTCTTTATGGAAAGTGAGTTAGCTGTTGAGTGTGGCTGCCTTTTCTTTTTCTGCCTTATCCTTGGCCTTTTCCTTCTCCATCAGCTTCCCCTCCTTCTGCAGCATCACCATGATGTCAGCCACCTGAGAGGTGGAGATGTCGACGTCCTCCTTGTCGATCAGTTCCACCACCTGAGATAATGCAAGATGAATTAATCAGAGCCCCTAAAAACCTGATTTCAGTCGATTCTATATAACATCAACAATTCATGGCTAAATCAGCAACAATACAAATTGATTGTTGATATTTTATCTGTTGATTAAAAAAACAAAACAACAAAATGAATCGGGGAGATATTCCTCATTTTCTGCCATCCTGTCAACGTACTTTGATGACGTCGTCGATGTCGATCTTCCCATCCTTGTTGTCGTCGAGAGCGTCCGCGATGCTCTGCAGCTTGTGCTCTGGAATGTTCTGGATCTGCCGCATGATGCTGATCAACTCGTCGATGCTGATGAGGTTCTCCCTGAAGGAGTGGAACAGACTGCATACAGGAAACGGTATGTAACAAAATGTCATGAAAACGTGGTGGAGAAAGGTCTGAGCTCAACATGATGCATTCGAGGTTCCCGGATCACACCAATCAAATTGATTTTCAAGTTGGATTTCTATTCAAGGCAGGTTAAATTTTGGTCCTAAATTGTCTCTAAATTAATCCGTGCTCAAAATGCTTGTTTTTAAAGCTAGTAAATGCAGAGTTTAAAGAAGCACTGGGCAACTTTAAACATTGACAACCCAGAAATGGCAGCAAAAAGAATCAATTGAGACATTTAAACACTATTTCTAATCACATCTAGTAATTGTTAATCCTCAGTACAGGTCAAACATTCCTGACAAAACAAATACAGTCTGGACTGTCTGCAATCTTTCAAATCAAACAGTTTGAGTTAGATGTTTGTATTAATTCTGATTTTATTCATGAAGGAACATAAAGTGTATATTAAAATGGGGGCACAGCAACCAGTGGGCAGCACTGTGGAGTAAGGAGCAGGAATGTAAGCTGATTGATCCTTTACAGCACAATTTAAGCAGATGGCGGGTGACAACATGTTGCAATGTTAGCATTTGGAGAGCAAGCAAATGGCGGTTTACCACAGTTTAGCTTACCTTGTCGCATCACTATGTTTAGTAAAGAATAATCTGTAAAATTTAGGATAAATTAGGATTTGGTCTTTCAACTACTAACTTGAATAGCTTGACAACTTAATTATATGCAGTTTTTTTTCTGGGAAACATTTTGTTTTTTCTTTGTTTTTTTTATCTCCACCACCATTTCACAATGAAAGTAATGATGATGATGATGATGAAGAAGATGATAGTAACAAGAAGTGTAGTAAAAAAAACTGATCACTAATAAAAAAATAAGATTTTAAAATATGATATAACTGACTCTCATGACATATAATAGTGTATTTATCATGGAAATTATGCAAGGGAAATCATAAAGTGCTGCAGCGGCTCATGCACGACTACCTACAGTAGTTATGAGACTCTTCTCACCAGATAGACAACACACTTATTTATTTAAGTGTTTAAGTGCATTGTTCAGTCCTGTTTGAGTAACATTTGCTTAAAACTACGGTGACCAGCTGTTTTGAGTCTTTTTTACAATATATTTGTTGTCTGCCTTCAATAATCAGTAAAAACAAATTTCCTTAGCGCCAAAGGCAGGGTAGCAAAGTCCAAAAGCATTGAGAGACAGACTAATGCTGTCACCATGGACAGCAGTATAGTAGTTAAAATGACATATTCAGCTCTTACCCGACAGGCGGGGTTGTTCCACTGTCCATCTGTCCGTCCAGGATAACTTTGTCCTTCTCTAGCTCCAGGATTATCTTGTCAATGCGACCGATCATGCGGTTTACTCTCTTGGACAGACGCTGGCTCGCCTTCGACTCCTCCAGTGCCTTTTCTTGGCCGGTCTTAGAAAGCTCCTTCTTTATTTCTTCCAGATCCTGAAAAAAACAAACATTAATACACAAACCAAGCAAATGATTCCAACTTTTACATAACCCAGGCTACAAAAACACTCATCACATATAATCACACATTATCACACAGACAAAATACTCTTAAAACCTCTAAAACCTTTGACTTGAATGGTAATAAATAATAATTTAACAAGTTAAATAATTATAAGTCTAACACAGGCACCTCATTGTATTCTTGAACATCATCCTTCAGTTCTTCAAGCTCTTCTTTCTCCAGAGTCAACAGCCTCTTCTGCTCCTTCAGCTTTGAGCATGCATCACTCAACATGTCAATCTCTTCTTTGGTGATCTCCTCGACCTGGAACACAAACATATAATTGAAGATATTTGCTGCTAAATGTCAGAAATGATACCCACAACTTGGATGAGAACATTTACTGTAGATACTAAATAATAGACATAGCAACATATGTCATATTTTCCCTCCAAAATGTATGTACGTCACTATACACTCCAGTTACTTCAAGAAGTAGGTCAAAAAGTGTGTTCCCTTAACAAACAACACATGTGCATTTAATATAAACCCACATAGGAGACCAACCCAAACACACAAAATGGGTAAAAGAGGGAAGCTCTAGAGGACACTGGGATACCCATAACCCCAAAAACACTTGATGGAGAGAACTCTGTGGAACTACAAAGGCTGTTAGTTAGGGAGGGAAAGGCTCAACTTGGTAAGTGACACTGCCTGGAAGGATCCACAAGGAAAAGAGAAGGAGAAGTCCATATAGATGTGGGCCAAACAGAACTTGCAAATCATATTTAGCGTTTATTTAATCAATTAAGTTCACCGCATGAGTGGGATTTTTTATAATAAGCGAGGAAATGCTGGTAAACGTTGATCATGACTACCATGGTTTGTCCACACGACAATTTGTTTTATTCTAAATAAAATAGATGCCCATATTTTAGGCTTAAATGATCAAAAATATAGAAGAAGAACTTATAATTAGATTCCAGTACTAGTAGCTTCACTGTGATTTATCTGCACTCATGGCTATGAATAACCGTGTCTGCTTTACATCCCACTAAAGAACACACAAAGCTGAATATGAGCATTTTGTGGTGGGGTTATTTCCCATAATGCCGATTACGTTCTCACTCCTGCTGAACATGAGATCAAATGGCAGTGTGAAATAGTTTAAACAAACGCCAGAATTCTATGCAAGAACTGTTTAATCTTCATCTGGGTGTGCTCAGAGAAAGACCAGGTACTGTGCGTGCAGGGATTAACTGGTATGGGTTTGAGGGTCGTTTGGGAGGAGACATCATTAAACCTAACCTGGAAGCGCAGGAATGTCTGCCACTGTTCAAACTGTGTGGTACAGAAGATGCAGAAGTGATCAAATTAAATGGTGGCAACACGTGAGTTATACATAAATCACAGTCTGACTAATAATTATTAAATAAATAAGTAAAATCAATCATCAATGTTTAGTGCTGGTTGAGGGTTAGTAGTACTGTTGGGGAAAGAGCTCTGTAACATAAGTACAGTCTGGACTATTAACTTTACTAATGTCTAACACTGATTTGGAAAATAAAAATACAACAAGACGACACTGTGTTTTATTTATGTTATAATACTGGTACATAAAAATGCAAATAGCAACTAACTGTGAAAAACAAAGTCTACCACTCTCACAGGCTGTGTGTTTAGAGACATTACCTTGATTGCTTCTATGACAGGTGCTGTATCCCTCAGTATCTCTGAATGAGCAGCCTTGTCGACTCTAATCGGCTCTTCTTCGAACTCCAGCTCACCCTCCTGTGTAAGACAGTGATGAGGCAAAGCACGCAAAGAACAACAGAGCTTAATAAGATGATGGTTGATGGGTAATGATTTGTCAAAGGAACTGAAATATTTTGAACAATAACAACAAAAGGATGAGAGTTGTTACCCTGGCAGCTTTCTCTGCAGCGTCCGCCAACCTCTCCATCTCCCTGTCCTTGTTGTCCTGGCGTATGGTCGCCTCCTCCTGTAGTGTCGTCTCCAGCTTGGTCTTATTGTCCACTTTGGAGAGCTCCATCTCTGCCACCATCATCTGGGCCTCCTTTGTCTGGAGAGATGAGAGCAGGATAGAAAAACACAGGCTAAACCTTAAATTCCCCCAGCTCAGCAAGGATGCTAAGAAGCTTATCTACTGATTACATAGATAAAATGTCTTTATCAACCATGTATTATAATTTCAAACAAGACCGTAGTGAAGCCACACATCCCAGCTTCGGCCTCTTAACATACCGCCATCTCAGGCAGCGTCTGCAGTGTTGTCTTCAGTTGGTCAGCGGGGGAAAGGGTGTCTGGGAGGAACATGGCTCGGGACAGCAGCAGCAGGGATGTGGGGATCTGCTGGTTCAGATGCAGCTCCAGCCACTACAAGAGCCAAATATAACACATCAGGTTATGACAAATATAGATTTCATTTTACACGTGCACTTGTACACATCCTGAAAACACCCTCCATCTGCTGTTTGCTGTTATTACCTGGCTGAGTTGTTCCCTCAGTCGTTCTTCTGTGACTCCCAGAGATCTCATCCCTCTGACGCGACACGCTGCCTGCACCTCGTTCACGTTCAGACTCGCCACACCTTCATCTGCTATCAGCTGGATAAACAGAGTTCACACAGAGCATCCGATGATCAACTAACTTCCATTTTAATTGGGTTAAAACGTTAAAATGCAAGTAATGTTTACCTAAAAGAGTGCTGTACCTATTGCCTCTGACCAATATCTGATTTTGCTCTTTATAAAAGCGTAGCTGTCTGTTTAGTTTTGATAATGAAGACATCCACTAGAACTTCACCACGGAGGTTCATACCTTGTCATCTGCACGGATGGCCCTCAGCTTCATGATGAGCTGGAAGCGGAGGAAATTGTTGGTCCCGATGGACTGGAGCTCCAGGAGACGGCAGAGAGCCACCAGCTGAGGTCGGGTCAGGTTGTCCAGAGTCAGCTCATCCTCGAACAGTTTGGAGAATTTTATGATCTGCTCATTACTGGGACGTTCCCCAGAGTTCCTTATCTACAAAGATGAACAAGTAATGACATGAAAATCTGGAACTGAGAGCCCTAGTTTCCCTGTATTTGCCCACCTTTTGTGACATGGACAGAAAATATTGAAATAAAACTTTTAAATAAAGCATTTAAGTTAACAGGAGAGTGACATATTGCAGCACTGGAATGAATGCTGAACTGCACATGACCTACATTTTCATCTATTTTTACATACACCAACTGCACAATACACTTAGCAGAGACATTTCATTGTTTCCACCACCAGAGGGCAGTACTGAGCCTGGTTTCACTCATTACATGATGCCCTTTACACCGACACCAACCTTCTGGAAGAAGGTGGAGAACTCCTCCGTCACATTGCCCTGGGCAGCCTTGTTCCGCAGAGCGATCTCCTCGATGGTGTCCTGCAAGAACTTGGCCATCTCCAGTTTGACTCTCAGCTCAGTTTTCAACCTCTCCTCCTAAAAACAACACGTTACAAATTCAATGTGGTATAAAAAAATATTAATCCATTCTTCATAATACATTAGATTTCGGTGAGCGTTGTGTTTTAAAGAATCTTATAAACTATGTGGTGAAAAAATTAAATTACTACTACTATATAACTTAGAAGTCTTGCAGTATCGTTACCACCTGCATGTATTTTACAATGGCTGTGTCTTGTGGTTAATGTGACACTGATTAAGACAACAGAAGATAACTATAATGTGAAAATATTCCTTAATGTTTTCAGGAAGGAACTTTACATTGCATTATTATAAGCACTGTCAAACACAAACAGTATAGGACAACAGATCATGGATCTTGTTATGATGAGGATCAGACCGTAAGTAGGATTAACCGTCATCAGGATGAGACAGCAGCCTGATCACTTCATCATGATCCTGGGTGAAAGATCATTTTGTGGATGAGGATTCAGATTTTGTTCTTACTGATATTGCAACATTGATTTTGTAAAGACTTGAAACATCAATCTACAGAATCATTTAATAAACTCCAACGTACTGGTACTGGTATTGAGTTAGGAGCTGGAACAATTAGTAGATTAATCGATTAGTTGATCAAACAAAAAATGAATAAGCAACTATTTCGACAATCTAGTTATTTTTAAAATAAAAATGCCAACCATTCTCTGGTTCCACCTTATCAAATGTGAAGGTTAAATGCTTTTCTTTGTCATATGATAGCAAACTGAATATCTTTGGGTTTTTGGACTAAATGAAACAAGCAATTTTAATAAATCACCCAAACAAAACCAACAAATTAAGAGAAAATAATAGGCAGATTAATCAATAATGAAAATAATCATTAGTTGCCGCCTTAGTTGAGCTATTGTGTCTCAAACTACACTGGCATACAATGTAGACCTAAAAATGGACTACGATGTTTAATTGCAATTACAACAGCGAGCAAAACAATCCCCAATATTGATGTTCTGCATCTGTATCAGGCAGCTTTTATTACCTTCTTTGACTGTGTCTCGAAGGTGGACGGCAGCATGTTGGGGAAGAGCTTCAGAGCTACAGGAAGGAGGAACTCCATGAAGGGGACGATGATGAAGACGAGGAAGGGAAGAAGTCTGAAGACGTCGGCACATGTTCTGAGGAACTAGGGAAAAAAATAGGAAAAAGTGGAATTAGAACAGACTCCTTAAATTTAGGTTAATGAAGAGTTTTTTTGTGTCTTGAAGAACAGTAGAGATTATTTAAAATAACCATAGTTGATATTGACAAACTGATTCCAATGTGCAGTTGGGTCACATTTCTATTTGTTCATCAGCTGAGCCAGTGACTGCTCGTGTTTGGATGGCTATTCAGAACATTTAGGGCACGGGCCTCCACGTAATTTCCACCGGGCTGAAGTTTGTGTATGCCTCCAGCAGAGGGCAGCAGCAAGAGGAAAACGCCAACAGGGAACCATGTGAAAATGTTTACCTCATCTTCCTTTGTCCCTTGGTACAATCACCCTGCCCAATCCCTCTTATAACAGTTTCAACAGTCAGCACTTTTAACCATGTCCCCCATGCATCCCCAGAGCAACAGAAACCTCCTAATTCATTGATGCGTCATTTGCATGGAGCTTTGGACCAAAGTGAACATTCTGCCTCACAAGGCTCAGAAACTGCCCACTTGAGCCAACAGGAAGCCCATTTGTTCAGCACAGCACCTGAACAATCCTCAGAGTATAGAAGTACCAGGCCAACAGTAGTCTACTTCATTGTACAGCTGTCCAACTGTGGCTTACTGACCGTCCCGGGACACAATCCCAACCAGCCATCTACAGAAATGGCCCAGAGGGGCGAAGGCCAAAACACGAGCCCTTCTTTCTCTGCCCTTTCCACCTGCATGTCAGTGGAAAAGTAGGGTGAAGGAATTAGGCCAGCATGAGTGAAAAGGCCTTTGTCCGCAGGCCTATTGACATGTATATCATCTCCCAGAGTTCTACATCAAAGGAGGGAGGAGGGGGTGACAGATTAAAATAGAAGAAGCCTTAAACGGAGGCCTGAGTATTGTAAGTGAATATGAAAGGAAGAGATTAAGGAGGCAAAACCAGTCCAGGTTAGATGAATGGGGTGTAGATTGGCTCCAGGACAGTCAGCTGCATTTGAAAAGGGTGCAGATGGGTTGGTGGTGTGGGTTTAATGGGGGGGAAACTGTGGTCGTCATCAGCACTGACCAGAAGCTATTAGCACTCTGATGAGGCCCCATTTCCACTGTTTCCACTTTAGCATAATCACACCAATCATGCATCATGTTAAATACCGTAACTAAATTATATTGTTTTGTTTCACTTTCACTGGAATCATATCAAGATGTAATAGTATTGTTATTGTATAACAAAATTATATAAGCAAGCAAATTGCAGTAAAATTCGTTTTCTTACATGTTTGTAGAGTTTTGTCTGTTTGTGATGTATACTGATATTAGAAAAAATAAAACTATTACTCTTAACATACTGACCATCAGTAACTATATGTACCTATGCACTAACACTCACTAAACTGAGACTAATTTCATGATTGCATTAGTCAGATAAGGAGATTCAAATGGTTAATCCGACCAAAAGTAATAAAGATAAATATGAACGCTGTGATTTAATATCCCATTAATTTTCCAATGGCTAAATAAATTACCTATAAAATGTTTTCACCTTGGCTCATGTTGTAGATTTTTATCATGATCTTCTTAAAGTTCAAAGAATAAGGTCAGTGGAAAATGTGGCCCAGTTCTTCACTGTACTGTTGCACCATCCCTTTGCAAAGCAGTTGGCGGTCCCATTGTTACTGTGTAACTTGTGAAACTACATTGTAAAACATGTCTCTGCACTGTACACTCCTCTAAGCTCCTAGCACTGCACTTAAAAAAAATCAAATACTGTTTCAGCAGGTATCATCTTGTATTTTAAAATGTTGTAACTTGCTAACAAGAAAATGCTTATATTCATAGTATGGTTATTATTTATATCATTATATAAAATGGTAATATGGCCGCATTAATGGTGTACTAACCTGATAACAATTTGGTAATATAAGTAGGTTTATTTTTCTGCAATATAGGCTAATATCAATGCAATACCTTCAAAATCGAACGATGATTCTTGGTCAAAATTGGCAATAACAATGCTTTCTTTTGTTATTCCAAAGAACGTGTTTCCAGGTAACAAGTCACAGTATTAAACATATCATTCGAACAGTAGTACCTTGAAACAAAGGGGAACGTTTGGAACATAAGGAAGGATGAATTTCTTGGTAATTGGGGCTGAACCCGACTGTTCAATACAAAGACACGACTATTGGTTCCTCTGTTTGGTTTTTTTCTCCAGTTCAACGCCACACTGAACTCATATCAGCCGACCGAGCTATAATGTTCAGCGCTTACAGGTAAGGTTTGTGTTTGAACTCGCTTTATCTCGTCAGATAGCAAAAGCAGTTGGTGAATTTTGAATTGCTCCGAGTATCTCAGCCATGGAAAGATTCCCAGACAAGGGCGGCAATGGGCCAGTCAACCACAGAAGCAGCTCAGTTACTCACACTTAAACAGGAACATTCGCGGCTTGCCAATCATGTCCACTAAGTCCGTACCATCCTGTACTATTGAGGGACATTGGGAACCGTAAGCATGACCTGAGCTGGCCTGCTCACCTTCCCTGAAATGACACCCGTTTGCCAGAACCGACATCAGATGACTGCAGTGGGCACTGGGCTTCGATCCATACAGATTATCTTAACATCAGACCGCAGGCGGACTCAGAATGAGGGCAAGTCAAATAAGTCCTATAAAGATCTTTTAGTACTTTATTTCCTGCAAAAGAGGTGAAATAACTTAGTCAACCTAAAAACCTAACTTAACCTAAGTAAATAATATGATTACATCACCAATTAAAATCCAATAACAACTAACCACTATACCAAATGTATACTCGTCGTAACTGTATAACCCAGTTTAAGCATGTTTCAGCCATGTGACATCTGATTACATTTTAACAAGATATTTCAACACGTAGTGAAAGTTTTTAATCATTGTTTCAGTAGTTCATGATGAACCGATGATGATATAACTGCGCAGTGTGAACAATAGGTGAAGTTAAATGAGGAGTTTCGAATCAAAGAGGTGACACGTAAAGCTTCTTCCTGAAGCGCTTTAATCGAGAGGCACAATCTGCTGAGCGCCCGGTGAGTAAACACTCAGCGTGCAGCCAATTTCTATAATTGATCCCATTAGGTTTGAGAAGCAGTGGATTAAACATATAGAACAAGATGTCTGTGCTGTCAGACTTAAACCGTGCACAGTCATCTCTGATCTCTAAACTCATGCTGATTATCTGCTCCATGAACTCTGAGCTTTTCTTTCACAGGAAACACTGGCTGATGGATCCAAGGTTTACCTGCTAATTATATCATTAACCCAAGTACTCTCGGTAATTGAACAGACCGTTGCTTGGAGTACATAAACTTGCCATACTTGGGTAAAATTGACCAGTAACTTAGTTGCTGTTGCTACACCAGTCAAGCTTTCCATTCCTAGACGGCACAAAATGCTGTACAATGGCAACCATGACAAATCAACCAATGCAAAGTGTTATTTTTTTTTTACATTTCAGACAGAGGTAGACAAAAGCAGGCTAATCATAGCTAGCCACCAACTATCCATTTGCTGACCAATATAACAGCTGTCTCTGGCAGATTTTAATTAATCAATTAAGCTAACATTGGCTCCATAAAACAATTGAAAGTCTTTTTAATGCTTCCAGCGGACTCGTTTGAAAACCCTGTAAAAAAGCTCTTATATAAGCACCTGCGGGCAACATACAGGACACTGTGCTAGAAGACTGCGGCTAAAACTGTATGTCCGGGGAGAAAAGTCAGCATCCATCCAAACCAAGCTTGACAGGCCTGCCATGCCTAGTTATAGTTGCTAAGCTACGATTACACAATCGTTGTACAGGTCTGTGGTTTAGCCAACGGTTAATGCTGCATCATCACTGTTACCAAAGTGAAGAGGAAGATATATGGCGTAAAAATAAACTTAGTGTAGAAATACGCCTTTGGGCTGCTCTGATTCTGGTATCACTGAATTTAATGTTACATTTTTAAAGACTTACATTTATTTTCAGCCAAATAAAGTCACATTCAACAAACGTATAAACTGAGCACTTTGAATACTTGACGTCAGCTTTGAGTGTGTGTGAAGGCAACAACTGAATACTGACTACTGCTGCTCACAAGCCAGTTGTACAACACTGATGTTGTAATAGGTGTGTAAATGTGAGGTTGCATTACAAGCAAAGTATGACCCTCAGTAAATGTTATACACATCATCTAAACTTTCTGTTCTCCATAGAAAACCTTTCAAAACTACAGGATACCTATATTCCCTTCCCTGCAGACCTCACCTGTCTCCTCTCGCGGCGGGACAAGGGGTTTCCGTTCAGCACTCTCCACAGCATGCGCCCAGCAATGGTGGTATCAATCCACAGCAGCCTGAAGCCGTGGTAGTAGTGCTTGACTTCATCTACAACCCACTGTCGGACCGTCCTTCTCACAGGTTTGGCGTCCAGTGTGGGGCTGTACACAGGCCCTCCTTCCTCCAGTTTCTTCTTCTTGTCCTTTAACGAACGCAGTGACTTCTCCACCTTGGAGTCGTCCCATCTCCTCCTCGAGGTGTGTATCCACCGAACCCCGGTGATGTCCTGTGGCCGTGCTATCGTCCACTGGGATCCCGTTGTAATAGCCGGGTACGGTGAAGGAGAGGCCCCCAACACATAGGCACAGTAGAGCCGCTGTGAGTCCGGGCCATCTGACAAAGGGAGGGAAGGACTGGATGAAGAGACCTGGGACAAGCTGCCGAGCCGGAGTCCATCAAGTCTGAGGAGACAACAGGATGAAGAGCTTCAGAATACAGACAGACTTTAAAAGAAAAAACTGAAACTCAAGTTTTAGACAGAAAAACAACACCTTACTGATGTAACCCACAGAAAGCAGTGGGATTTAAAATCAAATGCTGCAAGATACACAGCAGGAATATAAAACCTCCTCAGAATTTCTCTATAAAACTTTAAAGACATAATCTTTTAATCGATATTAGTCAGATCCCACTTAAAACTGGCAACAGACCAAGTACATGATATCAGAAAAATGACCTAGAGGTTACATTTAAGACAATATGTGGGGCATACAACTCAAATCAGGCCTGAACGGGGGCTGGTTTCTAACATAGAAGCAGCATCCAAGAAAACACAAGGCTTTTAAAGACCTCTGACACTGACTCCAAGATTCAAACGCTTATATAATACTGCACATCATAACATTAGTTTCCATATTATATATGTCTTTGATTTTCAGGAACTGCAGACACGGTGAAAGCCTCGCATTTAATTAACTAACACTTACTTTTGACTGGAGAGTCTGAGCGCGGTGCAGTTGAAACAGGCACCATCTTGTAGTTTCCCTGAAAGGAAGAAGAATAAAAGACGAAAAACATGAGCAGCTGTGTTCTGATAATAAGCCATTAGACAGAGAGGGACACAAACACACACACATAGCGCGTACTCAGGGGAATGCTGATCACACAACAGCAGCTATCTGCAGGCCTCGACTGGTCTGATACATTCACTTTATATCTGTAATCACTGATCCAGCTATGACACCAGCAACAACACACAGTGCTTTCACATTTAAATGTTTTTAGAGAGCCATTATAGAGATTATCTTTGCTACTTTTTTGTCCCATATTCTGTAATGTATATTATTTGTAAAGATCAAATTATGTGCATTATTCTTATTCTTATTATTCTGTTAATATCTTTACACTGATCCGTCTTGGAGGCCAGATATATTCACACCCTCAGTGAGGCCCACACAGGGGCTCCGAAACCCCCGGAGGCCCCTGTCAGAGAGAGAGGGAGAGAGAGAGGGGGCGGAGTGGGGAGACATTTCCAACCAATCATCTCAGAGCACATGGCTTAACCACGCCCTTCCTCTGGCTCTCACATGGCGGACTGAAGTGAATCCAGTAAGGCCTGGTTGAACATGACAGGCAGAGGCCGGCAGCCAGGAGGACACAGAGTTTACTGGAACAGTGTCACCTCTATGGCTGAACGGCTGGCAACTGAGGCACAGAAAGAAAACCCTGGAAATTACAACAGATCACCTAAACCTACACCATTCACCTGGGCTGTACAAGCACACACTGCGTTTCCTCTGTGGTTTTATCCCCCTGACGGTTTTTTACAGTTTTGGTTTCACATTGACGCCTCCCTCAGTCGGAGATATGTCACATTAGATCGTTTCTTAGATTGTCTTTAAATCACACAATGGTGTAACAGTATTTCTATATTTTTCTACATTTATAGTCACTCCCTTCATCAGGACCAAACTGTTACATCAACATAAAGTCTACACATCTGACTCAATGCTTTACACCAGCGCACATCTTCTGGATTATTCCTTAGCACGTGACAAATATTCATTATAGTCACACTATGAACTTTTGCAAATTCCCTGGACAATCCTGTACAACTGTACAGCCTTAAAAACAGATATACTGTACATATTTTCTTTTATAATAATGCTATATCCTTTTTATTTCCTACTGCAAATGTTTCTTTTCATATTTATCTTCTTGACTTTACAGTATTTGCAGTTTATCTTGTATAATTTCTTTCACAATGTTAATTGTTATGCACCAAAATACCACCATAAATTGTGAAAACATACTAGGCAATAAACCCAATTCTGATTCTGATACCATGAATCACGAAGGAGAATACTATGGAGATAGAAGAAAATCTGTTTTCTCTTCAATCAGATTGCAAAAGTATGGAAAGTATGGCACTATACAATACAATACAATACAAAAACTATACATGTTAGCTGTGGTCCAGGTCAGGAAGAGCAGCATGGCTCCCCCACATGCAATAAATGTTGTATGTACAGAATAGACTATTTGACTTGTACATTTGTTCAAAAAGGATAAGTTAGCTTTTTTAAACACTGTAATTTTCACGGCAGTTTGGTCACTGCTTGCTGTGTAGCCACAAAACTGCAGAAAACCGGAGATTGTGACTCATGCACAAAACCTCATTCAAGCTAAAGTAAAACTCAAAATGATTCCAGTAAACACAGTTTTTGTCTACAAACCACAGTAATATAAAACCAAGTATGTTTACTAAACCTCAGTTAGAATAAACTGCCATAGAAGCGTTAGGACAAAAGCAAAACCTGTTGATTATAATTGGTTTTGGAGACTGACAAAAACTGTCATTACAGGGCTCTATTGAGTTTATTCATATGTTTTTCTGAGTTTGGGAAAAGAATTAGTTAAAGCAAGAACCCATATCTGGTATTTTACGAAGCATGTCTACAACTTCTGCACAACTTGGATGTTGATGACTAAATTACAGAGCTTCGACATATCTCTGTTGACTTCTTAAGCATTACTGTTGTAAAGTAATCTAAAGTATTAATTGACCGTTTTTGTTGTTTACTGTGGTCATGGTCTCGATTTGGTCTCGATCCCTTTTGGATGTAGTCTTGAAGTCTCGAACTAAAGTAGGTCTGGGCTTGGAAGGTCACCACTAGGTCACGCCCCGCCTGCAACAGCTAACTCATGTGTGACCCCAGAGCCTGCAGCTGTCTGACTGTTAAGCAGCGGTCTAATAACACTTCCTCATTCACTGCGTGACCAGCGTATCACCGAACAGGCGTGGAGCCAGTACTTTGACGTGCTCCTGTGATGATGCTGAATAAAGTAAATACAAAAGGAATTTACTGTGGAGGAAGGAAATCCAGCTGTCTTGCACAAAAACAATCCACACATGCTGCAGTTTTTTGGATCTGCTGTAAAATACCCATTGTTTTATTTAAAAGTGTGTGCTCACATGTATAAGTCTGGGTGGAAAGCTAGCGGCAAAACAAGGTCGTTAGTAGGGAAACATAATTGCTTTATCAACTGAACAACTCCCTTTAGAAATGTTTCTTTGCATTAGATCCAGAGCACTGTGGGAGCACCAAACAGTACAATCTTCTGCTCTACATAAAAGACCACTGCGAGAATGTTCAATGAGCTTCCTCTATAATCTTTACACATCAGTTCACTCCACAGTGGACGCTTGAAAACAAACCGTAGCTTGGAAAGTGACAGTGACTCAAAACAAGCGTGTTTATCGGAGAGAACGCTGATAAGCTCAAAACCAGTCTGGCTTTATGAGTATGTGGATTTAGTAACTTTCAAATGTCATCATCTGCTTTCACGGTACACATAAGTATGGCATTTATGGGTCACTTCTCTTCGGACAACACCCTCAGTCATACTGAAACTGAAACTCACATTTTCAGGCATCTCAGCGTGTGAATTGAGTTTAACTGACAGTGGTCCCGGTTTCACTTGGGATAAAATGAGTAAACACTCCAAACAAATAAATCCACGGCTCAATATGTGGCTGCAGATACGCCCTCGCTAGGCCTGTCACGATAACTGCTTTTGTTTGACAATAATATTTCCATAAATGATATTATTGTCATTGTAAGACAATGTTATGCCACTGATATAATGATAATATAAATGGCATACTAATCCAAGTACACCCTTTCAAAAGAACAATTCACTTGTAAGCTGCCCGATGGTGAAACTCCGATACAGAGAGCAGACGATGAGAGAATCGAAGCAGTGCGACCAGAAACTACAGCAGAACATGTCTCAGCATAGTGTTCTTCTGTTTATTAGGCTTAGGCGTAACTGTGCGGGCCTCCTCGTGTGCACTCAGCATGCCGTGTACCACCACTGGAACTGTTTCTGCTGTGTTTATTGACGCTGTGCTGATAATGATTATCTTTACACTCTGCCTTACAACCTTTGTTGCACGATAAGCCAGACTGATCAACTTGCGGACCGTTATTGGATCGGGATTTTCAAAAGCAAGATATGATTTTATAATGTTTAACATCTCAACCAGAATATGAGGGGATGCCCACCCTCCATACTACAGGCATGTAATAGATACACAGTCTGTCTCAGGTGGAGTTATAAGAGGCACTGACCTTTCCTCGTGGAGGCGCTGCAATTTGCCTGATAATCTGGGCCTAAAGCCAATAGCCCCGTCTCCGTGCGTCCAGTGCAGACAGACAAATTCCCCTTTATGACTCTCTCATCTATTTATATGCACGGCTTTTTAATGCACCGTCTAAACTACAGACATAAATATTATCTTTATGTAGCATTGTCCTCAAATCTCTCCAACGGCGCTCACCGACAGCTGACAGGGATACAATGTTTTGTATCTGAAGGTTATGAAACAGCTAACATGCAATGCTTATCAAAAAAACATGTGTTGATAGGAAATTACTGAGCTGGTCTGAAGCCACACTCAGTTGGATTGATGCCCCAGTTCAAGACCAGTCACAGGAGAGATAACTTTGCATAAAAAATAAGAGCATTCTGCTAAAGACGGGGGACTAATGGGGGGATAATTTGTATTTATTGGGGCAGATTTAGGCAAAGAAAGCCAATTTATGAAAGGATTTGGGCTCAGATAACTGGATAATAAAAGGTAGCACAGAGATACCTTTGTAGTGTCAGTGTCTACCTGCCCAGGGACAGCAGATATAAAAAGCTTGAAACCAAATCTGGTATAAAACATCTCTTCTCTTTGTATAAAATGTTGATGTTTTACATCCCTGACATATAAATGTAATAACAACTAACCTTTATGACTGCATATTAACCAAAAAATGTTAAATGTTAAATTACCAGCCCTTGTTTTGGAAAAGCACAAACATCCCACAGTGCATTTCACAAGCGGAGCCTAAAACATCAACAACAAACAAGATAAACTGCACTCCAAGGTCACAAAATAAGGCATCCGGGTCACATATATACATGTGTTGCTTGGGTAACGATATCTCCTGAGTGCTGAATAAACAGAAGGGGAACCTGGCTGCCATAACAACGAGCATCCTCTCACACTGCAGTGGCAGGAGGAAGAGGAGGAGGAGGAGGAGGAAGAGGAGAGAGGAGGAGGAGGGGTGCTCCAGCCAAAACAGGCTGTCCTCAGATAACCTGAATCCCTAATCATGTTGTGCTCCTTATTGAATTCCCAGAAAGGTGTGGCGAGTTGATACACCTTACATCCAACACACAGCCTCAGTTAAACTAAAGTGATAACTGATTAGTAGCTTAAAAAAAAAGGGAATGAGATGTTTTTTTTTTTTTTTATAAGTGTGATGCTCAGTTACCATCTTCCCTGAAGACAACAACAGGGTTTAACCCAAAGACATGCCTCCTCTATGGACGATAATATAAATAGTTGTATTGTTAGTTTTATTTTGTCTCTATGTACGTAACAACCCCCCCTAAAAAAAAAAAAAAAAAAGAAACAGCAGCATTAAGACAGTAACATAGACATCTTACCTTTCCTGAATTCGTTCTTTAACGACCTGGACGTTTTCATTAAAGGTGCCCGGGACCTCGTAAACAGGATTAACGCCATGCGGAGGCTTTCTGTCTCAACCACCTTTTTAACTCTTACACTGGGTTAGCTCCCCCGCTAGCTAGCCGGTTTAGCGAGCCCCTGTTTGTTCCACGAAATAAAAAACAAAGAGCCGCTGTCCCGGTACACAGAAACAACTGCCCCCCTAAACAACAACCCTGGGTGCTTTCAACAAGCTACGACGGATATATAACTGTACATCGGGAGATTTAGCTCCATGCCCTTCCCTTCCCCGCGGATGACAGCTAGCCGGGCCAGGCTCCCCAGTGACGTCAATGTGACGTCGCGTTCCGGTGTGTTTGAGAAAATAAAAGTCCGCGTTTCCGAGTTGGAGTCTACAGGACTTTTAATTTGAAGGAGGCAACGTGACCTTTTTCACCTTTTTTTATTTTTTTTATTTTAATGCAGATTATACATTTGATTATTGTGAAAGGAATTGTGTTGAGATATAATGCATTTCGTTTATAGACCACACACGTAGCACAAAAGTCTGCATACAACCACTTCCTCCCATGAATATATATCCAGCTTATACTTATTTATTTATTTAATAGATGTTTATTTTTTTTTTTAGGGACCAGTATGCAGTTTGAAGCCACACTTATAGCCTTAAAGTTAGTTTGCAATCCCCTTCTTTCTGCGGCACTTTATACAAAACTCTACATGAAAATAAATACAAACTATGATGCAATAAAATAAAAAATAAACTAAATGACAAGCACCAGGTCATTCATATGACTGATCCCTCTTTAAAAACTGTTTCAACTTGAGTTTAAATCAATCCCAGTCATTTGTTTAAGAGCTATAACTACAAAAATCCAAGCACAGTGTAGTGTTTTTCAATTGATGCTGTGAGTTCAACAGAAATATTATTAATTGATTAGGTCAAACTAGAGTGACACATAGCCATTCTTGTTTCCATATGAATTTGCATCTCCTAAAAAAGATTATAAATATTCAATTAAATTAACTTTCCAACCAGGTAAAGCTTGAATGGACTTTACAATAGCAAAATTAACAATCGTATGGTGTCAAAGTAAACTAAATCAATCACTGTGAACAAACAAGAGGAGGTTTTTATTTCTTTCCTACTGTACTTTTGCATTTTCTCACACAAAAGTTGGAGAATCAGGCCGGTGTGACCCCCAAATCATCAGGATACTGTGGGTAATGAAAGTGAAAGAGCAGTGCCTCTTCCTCATTACTGCCACTGAGGAACAGTTTTCTTCAGCTTTGTTGAACCTCAACCCTAATCTCAACCATTATCTCTGCAAAGCCTGAGCACAAGTTTACTGAAACTCTTACCCCAACCACAGAGCACAGCACCAGAATAAAACCCAGTGTATTCATTGAAGCTAACAACAATTCTTATTGTCTTGTGTAAATTACCGTGAAATGCTCGTTATTTTGCTATTGATTTTATTGGTTCTTTTGCATTTTGCCTCCTGTTGTTGTTGTTATTATTATTATTATTATTAGTACTTTGCATGCCTCCTTAATTTTTAAATCTTCTGTTTTATCCCAGTCTGTGGATACTGCTGGAAACTGTGAATTTCCCCTTGGGGATGAATAAAGTATCTATCTATCTATCTATCTATCTATCTATCTATCTATCTATCTATCTATCTATCTATCTATCTATCTATCTATCTATCTATCTATCTATCTATCTATCTATCTATCTATCTATCTATCTATCTATCTATCTATCTACTGTCATGAATTGTCATGTTCCATCAAGAATAGTGGCTCTTTTATTTTGAAAGGGTAACTTTCCCCGGAAGTTTGCAGCTTTATGCTTGAATTAACTGTACAACAGTATGTGGAACAAACATTAACAGCATATATAAAAGTAAAATATATAAAGGAAGAAGGATGCTCCGGGGCCTGTGCTGTACCATAACAGAGGCTGTTGCTTTATTTATGGCCACTGTGTGGTTACAGGCATTTCATTTACTATGGATTAAATGCTGATACTGACATTTATGATTAATAATCTAATTAGAGGCTTTGACTAAAGTTAATGGTAGGCCTTTTGGTTAATTAGACTAGGAGGTCACCATATTCTTCAGAGGATCGTAAGCCTTAAGAAATACAGTCCGATTAGAAAATAAACCACCACAACTATTACCAGTTTGTACTGTGCATATAAAACAATAAAGTATCCTCAACAGTAAGTTCAGGCAACTTATATTAAATCCTCCTAAAGAGACTGAACTGACCTGGTTTAGGGTGGTTTATAGTCATAGACTGCTTATTTTAAAATATAGTTATAGTTAAAGACTGTAATGACTTACTTACTGTCCCCAAAGATCGGCCTACCAAGCTTTTATTGTGGAGATATTTTTGTACCACTAATTAGGAGACGTAGGTACATACTCTTAATTATTTAAAGGATGCTACCTGTGTAATGAACAGTGACATGTAGGACCACTCTTATATATTTAATTCACCTAAAATGCACCAGTAGTGTTTTTCACATTGTCATTTACTTCAGGGATCATTAACATTAGCCACAGAAAGATCAATACTGTGCCCACAGCGAGACACAACTTCATAAAATAAAGTGAAGTACTCATCATTCATTAATCCATCCACTCATTAAAATTGGTGTGTCATGCCTTCACCATCCTAGGAGAAAGAAAAAGACCCTCAGGTCCTTAATATGATTGATCCTTCTTAGGATAAAACGATCCCAGCCATCATTATTCTATATTTTATATTTTATCATGCACCTTGTTGTCTATGGGTTAAGATTCAGTAATATATGTGTGTGAGTTTACCAACAAACCCATGTTATCAAAAATATTATTAATTGATTAGGTCAAACTAGAGTGACACATAGCTATTTTTAAATTCCCATCTATATTGAATTATCCTGAAGATGACTATAAATAGGCCATTTGATATATATATAAATAATGTACTGCTCCAGCTAACAGGCAGGTAGAAATTAAATTCTGTGGAAAATCTTGAATAGACTTTACAAAAATGTAAAAATTGATTTTATTTCTTTCCTATATGTACTTTTGCATTTTCTCATGCCTTCACCATCCTAGAGAGGAAAAAAAACCAGCTCAGACTATACATACTGTCAATACTGAAGGACGCACACCAGAGGGGATTTACAACTGGGTATATTCAATTCCCAATAAATAATAATAAGAGGGTATAACCCGTGTACGCTGCACTACACCACAAAAACATAACGCATTCTTGTAATTCAACTTCTCATATTATAATTTCCCACTGCAACAACAACGTGAATTAAAGAAAAAAAAAAAAAAAAAAAAACGTATTATTTGTTAGCCGATAAATAAACACACACATAAAGTGACTATAAACACGAACTATCACCAAAAAATAAAAAACAAAAAAAAAGTGGTGAAAACGATGTCAAAACAAAACCGGAGACACCGGGGTCAGCTACTTCCTACGGTTGGGTTTTTTTCTATTTGAAAGGACCGGTTGGAGCCTCGTTCTGCTCTCGACCAATCGGAAGTGAGTATTTTTCGCGCTGGTCGACCGGAGAGTTTGAGTTTCCCGCAAGCTTTTTTTTTTTTTTGATTCGGCTTGAATGAAATCCTTCGCTTTTTACAGGATGAATACGGACATTATTTCCCTTTAACCGCCGAGAGGAGACTCGACAGGTAACTGCAGAGCAACGGTCTTTCGTGTTATTGCCCCCCACCGGCGGTATTAGCCGGCGTGATTGTGTTTTTAATGTGTTGTTTTTGTTTTTTTTTTACACTTGTTCAGGCCGAGCTTCCATTTTAGCGAGATAGGAGCCGCTAGTTAGCATGCTAGCTCACGGTGCTAGCGCCGAGCGTGCTGTTTGACTGGGCTCCAATGCTACGATGGTTAGCTTCAGCTAGCGCGGTTAGCTTTTTTTTTTTTTTTTTTTTTTTTAAAACGAGCTGTCATGGCGCCTACAAATTGAGTATATCAGTGAAACAATGGCAGAGCAGTTAAAACAAACCGCAGCACTTGTGCGACTCGTGTCTTCACTTGTGTTTTTCGCGGATTTGCTCCGGTTGAGTCGGTTAGCTTCTGCGGCAACTGCAGTTAGCTTTCGGGGTGGCGGCTTTGTCTATTTGCTGGAATGCGGCGTAATGGCTGACTGAAGCGGTGACAAGAGATGCGGGTGTGGGTGCGGGTGCGGGGGGGGAAAATGCGTGTCCGTCCTGTCCGTCCATAGCTGCGGGCATCCGTGAGATTCCCACATCGTGGCTTCCGCTTCAGATCATAGTCGGTGCCCGGTTTTGTGCGTGACATCAGCCGCTGACTAACAGGTTGGCCTGCGGGACACTTTACCGATTATTAACCGGGCGGTTGCTTAGAAACGCTCCCGTTAACGTTCACAGCTAACCCTGTTGTAACTTAAAACAGCAAATGCAACACGGCTTTTTTATTATTTTTATTTATTTATTTATTTAAACTGAGGTGAGATGCGTTTAATGACCATCGGGTTATTTGCGTTATTCCGACTTGTCAGCTGCTTCCATTTCCGCGGCTTTTCTAGCCAGTGATGCGGTGGTTACGCGGCAGAGCTAGCCACCCACTCATTGGGCATTCGCTGCATGCGGTGGAGGCTGCAGCCTGCCTCCTGCCTCCTGCAGCCTGCCTCCTGCAGCCTGCCTCCTGCAGCCTGCCTTCTCCATACCGCTTTGCAACAGACTGCAAGCTAGCTGCTAGCCTGTCCCCCCCCTTTTTTTTTGTGTGTGTGTGTGTGTTTTTTTGTTTTGGAGAAATCCAACCCTAAAATACTTGGTAAGAGGTTTTCCGCGTGGTTTCTGTTCATTTGCATGGATGTAATCGAGAATGGGGTTGACTTGACCTCGTTCACGTTACTTGTGATCAGCGTCACAGGCTCTGGGGTTCATTTAGACATTTCGTGTTCGTTTACTGTGCAGAGGTTGTTGCATTGACTGCTCGACTTTTATTATTAAAACACCCCAAAACTAGGCGGCGAGGACATTCCGTGACAGGTGCAGTTTTCTCTGCCGCCTCCAAAGCTTTTCTGTTCATGCTCCGCTGGAGCAAGTGAGTGCCATTTTGTGAAATGTGTAACGTTATGCTCACAGGATTCATATCCCAGAATGCCATTTTAACATTTTTCCAGACTGAAAAGAAGCAACACAAAAAAAAAAAAAGACAGATTGCATGATGTTGTGATGTTGTCAGTGTTTTCTGGTGGAACCTGTGGAATAAGAAGTTTCTGTGTGCTCCCTGTCCTGTAGCCCAGTGAGCCTGGAGAGGGGGTTAGATGGGATGGATAGCAAAGGTAGCTCCCTGCCTTCGATGCCTGAACCAGCCAACCCTATCAGCATGAAGCAGCCGCCAGAGTCCCTCGGTGTCCGGAAAGGTGGGGGGGACATGAGCAGTGACCCTGCTCTGCTAATAGACAAAGCTGCTGCCCAGCTGGCCGCCACACTACAAGACGGTGTCCTTCAGAAGATGGCTGGCCACAGTCACAACAACCACAGCCACGAGAGGCTCAAAGACCTCACCTCCCTCGTGCTGAACGGGGACCAGGACACACTGCCTAAGCTCTGCGCCCCCGAGCCACCGATGCCGAAGGGTGCCGAAGTCCCCGCTACGAACGGCACCCATCAGCACAACTGCACTCCTCACGCTGAACCCGAACTGAAGGTGACGATACCCCAGGTGGTCAAGCAGCCGCTGTTCGAGTCATGCTGTGCCAACGGGACCAGTTTGGCCACGACCACCGAAGATACTGTATCTGGTTCTGAGAAGAGACAGGACGCGAAGAAAAGGAGGGGAAGACCTCACAAACCAAAACCTCAACCCAACCTCAGTTCCTCTCCCGTCCCCGTGGAGCCACTTGACCATGAAAATGCTGTAGATGGAACTGAAACAGTCGATCAGGTTTTACTTTTATTTTATACTTTTTAAGGAAAAAAGATGAATATTTTTTTTAAGATAGAACTTCTGTTTGCTTGTGGCCAATACATATACTTTAATATGTCTGGCTTTTATTGGTGTAAATACAAACATTAGCACAATAATGTACTACAGTTATGCTGCCAGATGGTGTTAAGACAAAAGGGCCATTCATATAAATGTGACCAAACAGTCCTAGGTCTCCTATGGACACTGACTGAATCTGTTGACGTTGAAATATTTACCCACATGCCTTGGGGAAATCAATGTTATATATAAAGTAAATAGGATTTCTACATAGGCATAAAATGTGGACGTTTTAAAACTTAAATGCACAGCAGCATTGCCACAAATGCACTGAATGTGTGTAATTGTTAGTGTAAAATACTGGGAGTGATTCTAAGTGTCTGAGAAAAGTTGTTAAAACTTTTAATTAGTTTCTATTTTCATCTGTTGATTAACTGATTTTTCTTTCTCTTCTTCAGCCTGATCTCATCCCAGAGTTGACTGAGGAGGGTAAAGAAGATCCCCCTCTGCTGATGTGTTTTTCTGTTGGTGATTTGGTTTGGACCAAGGTGTCAGGATACCCCTGGTGGCCTTGCATGGTGACCACGGATCCAGAATTCAGCAATCACTTCAAACAGAAAGGTGCGACGCAGTCACTACCACCTACATTAATTTTACACTACTTGTATATGAGACAGATTTATCATTATTTATTTAATTATGTTGTTTTTATAGCTGCCAACAGCAGGTCGGGCCTCCTTTACCACGTGCAGTATTTTGGAGACGCCCCAGAGAGAGGCTACATCTTTGAGAAGAACATGGTGTCCTTCACTGGGGAGGATCAATACCAGGAGCTCAGCCAGGGCAGCAAACAGCCAGCCTCCCGTGTCATCCATAAAAAGGTAAAACAGCTTCTTCTTCCTCCTCTTCTTCCCTGCAGGTTGGCCTGTGGAGGATGTTGGCTCACAAATCAGAAACCTTGCAACATCAACCCATTGCACATCCTTATGATGTTTTATATTCTGCAACTTGGTTAACAAATTAGTCATCTTGGATGATTTTTCAGCTTAAAAATCTAAAACCAGACCACTCACACTTTTTCAACACCAACTAAGAAGAAAGGAATAATGCTTAAAGCACATAAACATTGCAAAGATTCCCTGCATAAATGTGTTTGCAAGTCTTCTCCTGCACAACTGTCACATGCTGATAATCAAGTATACAGTGGTGTGTTTTTTTAGGTATTGCCTTATGTGTAAAAACTAGTTTGCTAAATGGCATCTTCTTGGTAGCAGCATGTGTTCCCCTACAATGATTAAACATCACTACTGTGTAGTCTTTTTGTTACTTGTCGTGTAATTTAGCTACTTTCTCCCTATGTCTTGCAAAAGGCTCCCTCTGTGCCCCGTAAACTTGAGGCTCAGTGGAACATGGGCGTCAATCAAGCCAAGGAGGCCCTCAGCATGTCACTGGATGAGCGCATGGCGAACTTCGCATTCCTGTATGATGATGATGGGCCTCATCTGAACCCCCACATCATGGAGAAGTTGAAGCCAGTAGAGAGCAACGAGATGGACGAGGAAACGGAGTCTAGGCTTAGCCCAGATCTCCCCTCGCTGCTGATGGGCCCCACCGACGACCCCACAACCGCCCCTCAGTCCCAAGACAGCACTTCCCCAGGGAAAAAGACACAAGCACCCAGAACAAAACTCAAAACGGGAGGATGGCAGAAAAGGGGCAAAGGCCATCTAAATGATTTCCTGTTGAAAGAGAGTTTGAACGACACTGTTTCGTCCAAAGAAATGCTTCTGCCACAGTTGGCCTCACAGGTTAGGATAACTTACTAACATTTATCGGTGTGTGTGTGTGTGTGTGTGTGTGTGTGTGTGTCTTGCCTTAATTTGTTGATATTTTTGCATCACCTTGTTCCTCTGTGGGTTTGAAAGCAGGGAAATGTATGAATGATAGACATAAGACCAGTATAACCCAGGTACAAACAGGTGAATCGATTATCTTCTTGTTTGTGAATAATAGGCTTCAGGTGGAAAGCTTCAGCACAGCAATTAGTCATATTAACCCACAACTAACTATATTTTAACATTTCAATATCAACTGAAACTTACAAAATGAAAGTGTGAACATACTAAGAGTTTTAGAAACCTGATAGGTTAATATTATGGTCATATTTCGGTTGCCTTAAAAAAGTTTCTAATGCTTTTGGTTGTTTTCTTTCACAGGATCCCACCACTTCTGCACCAGATACACAAGCTGAATCAGTCATACCTCAGAAAAAAAAGAGGAGACCCAAACAGGCTCAGTCTCCCACGAAAACGGTGAGGAGAAGGAAGAAATCTGCAACGGATAACACTTCTGATCCTGCGACGAAAAGAAAATCAAAGCTGCTGGTTTCTTCGACAGACGATATTTCGGAACCAGTTTCAGTTCCAGGTTGGTTGAAAGTTGAAACCCGGGCAGCCATTAGTCAATAGTTGGTTAAATCTGGTATGTGTTTTCCAGGGCTGTGGAATCTCCGGCTGTAACTTGCCATATGTGTCTAGTAAAACAGTGGTTGGTTTATTGTGGAATTTATCACTTAATGTGACCATTTAATAATTTCCCCTCCTCACTGTAGAGACAGTCATTTTTTGTTGTATCAGTAAGATTATGTTAACACTGAAGATGAGAAATGCAGATAATTGATCCTGTTTGGTAGTTGCATGTTGCTTTTTAATGTTGTCACAGAACACCTAACTCCCATTTGTACAATACGATAATCGCTTAGAAAACCCAATTTTTATGCCCATTAGTTGCCTATTTCTTTACTATTCATGAAGCTATTAATTCCTTAAAGGTCCAGTGTGTAGGATTTAGTGGCATCTAGCGGTCACTTCACCCTCTCCAACCAAGCATAAAAGAGAAGCTGTGGTGGCCATGTGTGAAAAACGCCCCTTATCACTTTTGGGCTAATGTGGAAACATGGTGACCTGCAGCATCTGTAGATGTAAACAAGGTCACAAAAACATAACAGTTCTTATTGTCAGGTGATTGTAAAATGATGAAGGTATACCAATGAATATTATGTTCCATTTCTGCCAATAAAGGCTCCTAAATGTTTTTACGCCATTTATTTTGGCCTTTTGTATTTTCTTTAGTCCAGTTAGGCGCTTGGCACATGTTGGGAGAAAAAATGTTTAAATGACTCATCTGGCTACTCTAAAAACTGCCTCAAAACGTCAGCATTTCCTGTTCTAATCACTAACGGCTAAAGTTGAACCTTTTTAACATTTTTCTTCTGTTTGTAGTCAAGAGGGAGCGGAAGAAGACCTCTAAAAGGCCGCTAACAGACACTTCGGCAGAAGAGGACCAGCAGCCTAAAAAAAGACGTAGAACGAGCAAAAATGCTGAAAATCAGGTGAGCTTTAAATTATTTAGTAAGTAAATGTTTTACTTAAGCAATATTTAAGATGATGCAGTAAGAATCTTTTTTAAATATCGAACATCAGACACAATTGGTTCTTTAAATGCATCCTAAGCACTTCGTAACAACATTTCTCTTGTTTTTCTCAGGCCTCGCCTTCAGAAGGAACAGACAAAAAGCAGAGACGAAGACGAAAGAAAACTGACAAAGACGTAAAAGAAACTAAGAGGCGACTGAAGAAGCCAAACACGGTCCTCACTGGTAAACCATCTTCTTTGTTTGTATTGTCGCTCTCGACTTCACAACAGTTTAGCTGTTTTCTTGTGGCTTAAAAGTACTTAATTGTCATTGTCCTTGTTTTTTTTTTGTTTTTTTTTACAGATGATCAAGACGCAGAGAAACCAAAGCGTAGGAGAAAAAGAAAACAGGATGGAGACAACCAGGCCACACCCTCTAGGGCAAAGAAGAGGCGGTCCTCCCCGTGTCCTGATCCAGAGGTAAGAGGCACAAATCATAAAAAGGTTGAACCAATATTTTGCGGTTTGATGTTGCTAAACTCTAAGTATATCTAGAGAATAAAGTTCATGTTTGCTGCAGGGCTCTGGGAGTGAAGGACGTCCTGATTCTCCGAGTGACAGCTTAGACGGGACAAAGAAAGGCGAACGGAAGAAAGAGTTTGTCTGCCAGGTAGGTCTACATCTTCAGTATTTTACTGTCCTTTATTTGAATTAAAGGAACAAACTTAATTTAAATGTAGGACATCTCTTGGGAAAATGCTGCCTCACTTGTTTCTAAATACAGGGTGAAGTGTTTTCTAGAAACAAACAGGCTGGATCACACAAGTGGAATATAGTCCTATACGGATCACATGCACTAAAATGTCTATATGTTTTGATCTGTGTATTCCTACAGATGTGTGAGCAGGCTGGTGAGGACTTGGTGCCCTGTGAAGGACAGTGCTGTGGGATGTTTCACCTGCACTGTCTGGGTCTGTCGTTCAAACCCGATGAGAAGCTGCTGTGTCAGGAGTGCAGCACAGGTGAGAACAAGTTCATACTTTGTCCTCTTGCTGCACTACATTCAGTTCCTTAACTGTAGCATAACATAAGCCTATTCCTGGACATTTTACCTCAACAGTCATTTAAGTAGGTCGCTATATTCCCAGCTAATAATTGCTAGTAGTTGTGTCAGTAAGGTTTTCGTGATAACAGAAGTAAAGTTTGTAATTATTGCTGTTAAACATTTCTTCCCTCCAATAACCTCCTCACTGTTTCTCCTCTCAGGAATTCACTCGTGTTTCAACTGTAAGCAGTCGGAGGGCGAGGTGCGTCGCTGCCACGTTCCACAATGCGGCAAGTTTTACCATGAGGAGTGTATCCGCCACAACCCCCTCACTGTGTTCGACAACAAGGGCTTCCGCTGTCCGCTCCACACCTGCCTGGGCTGTCACTACGGCTGCCGCACCAAGCCCAAGTCCACCAAGGGTGAGGCTCTGCATTTTCACATTCATATCGTTGGATTATAGGCAGTTGCACTTTTAATTGTTCATATCTGGCATGCTGAACTTTGCAGCTGAGGGAATTTTATTGGGGTTTTTTGTAAAAGAAAAAGTGCTGTGTGGGCAGGACATTTCTGAGTCAACTGTCTATTTCAATAACTGCAAGAGCGCATCATCCCTATCAGGCAAGAATATTACAAAAGATAAAAGACAGGAGAGGTGTTTTTTGTTTTGTTTTTAGTCTTCTTGTTTTTTGGCTATACAAATCCAAACCTCAGTTACAAGCATGAAATTCCAAGTTAAAAACTAACTAAAGAAATATGAATGTCTCCAACTGCAGCCAGGTCACATTTTCTTGAACACATTGAAAATGAATTATCTTTTTTGCTTTAGCATATGACATAAAGAGATTACAGCTTTTAATGTAGTGACGCTGGCAAGGCACTGATGAAATATTATGCAGCCATCTGTCATCAGTTTGTGACAGATGGGACCCCCCCCAAACAAAATGAGTCTAGTTTTGTAGACTTGAGGCACTCTTACCTCCTGAGTGATGTAAATCAGTCTAATCTGACGTCTCTCTCGCTCTGTACTATAGGTAGGTTGATGCGTTGCTTGCGCTGCCCTGTCGCCTACCACGTCGGTGACCTGTGTGTGGCTGCGGGCAGTGAGATGATCACCAACACCGCCATCATCTGCACCAACCACTTCAATGCCAAGAAGGGCTACAGTCACCACAGTCATGTCAACGTCAGCTGGTGCTTCGTCTGCTCCAAAGGTTTGCTACTTCTCCTCTCTTACCAACAAGGAGGGCAGTTATAAGTAGCCATATATTGGTAATTTACTGTCTATATAACCAGCCAGCCATGTAACTACAATCACTTAAAGTATCTTCACTTCAGCTGAGTAAAAAACTGCTTTAATTTGATGGAATATCTCTACAGGTAGAATTATGTGATGTTTAAAAGGTTGTAGATTTCCCAAATGTTCTTGTAGAGCAACAAAGTGTAGTCTGAAAATGATTAATAATGTCTTGATCTCTATAAAGGGTAATAAGGAAATCATTTTGGCACGGCCAAGTGCACTGGAGCTGTACCGGGGTGGGTGCGGAGATGTTAATCACACATACTGTCGCTACTGAAAATCAGAGGAAATGCTGAACTACAGCAGTTCCTGAACCTCAGTTTTCAGTTGAAATAACAGCCAAAGCTTTGCAGAGACAGCTGTAATGTCACGGGGGGAGTTATTTTCTGAGTAAGAAGCTACTGAAACCCAGCAAGGAAGTCGGTCAAGAAAATGTTTGATGCTAAATAATTTAACGTTTTAAAATCAAAATTGAGTTTTGCATATAAAATCCTGTGGAAATGCCTCTCAGCCAGTCTTTCTGTATCCACTCAGCCTCACAACCAAAGCACAAAGTGTGTGTGTGTGTGTGTGTGTGAGATGAGTGGGTACGTGGCGGTTTTTTTTGGCTGCTAGTCAGACTAAACATTTGCGTTTTAATGTGCTTGTTTTTTATCACCCTCGTACGGATGACTCAACTGTAATTAGTGTAAATTGTTCCACACTCGTCTAAAATGCCTTTCAGGTTTCATTTTATTTCTCTTATGTTGCAGGGGGGCAACTGCTTTGCTGTGAATCTTGTCCAGCAGCTTTTCACCCCGACTGCCTGAACATCGCTATGCCTGATGGGAGCTGGTTCTGCAACGACTGCCGGGCCGGAAAGAAACCTAAATACAGAGACATCATCTGGGTCAAACTAGGAACATACAGGTCAGAGAAACTGGTCTTTCATTCAGTACTGATGCAGTTTTTTTTTAAAAAAAAGTTTGTTTGTTGAGTTCTGTACTGAGACCTGGACCTTAAATAAATAACTCATACCTACTTCTGCTGTTGTTCTCCTCAGATGGTGGCCTGCAGAGATCCACCACCCTAGAAACATCCCCACCAACATCCAGCATCTTCGACACGAGATAGGAGAGTTCCCAGTCTTCTTCTTCGGCTCCAAGGACTACTTCTGGACTCACCAGGGCCGAGTGTTTCCATACATGGAGGGAGACCGGGGCAGCAAGCACCAGAGGACCGGCATCGGCAAAGTTTTCAAGAATGGTGAAGATCTACCTCCTACTAATCCACATTTTATGCAAAAAGTGAAGAACCATCTTAACCGAAGTTGCATCCAAGCCTAACTACTACACTTAAACACAGAAACCGATTGATGATCTTAGATTTTGACATGTGTAGTTTGGTGTAGTTATTGTTAAAGAGGTTAGCAAAATGTTATACACAAGGTTTGGTGTAGTTTTGAAATTGCAAAAATATAACTTTTATAACTACACAACATTTGTAGTAATCATGGTGGAAGAGAATATTTTATCAACCACTGACATCTGTTTTTTTAGGCACAATTTTAAGATGAATGTTTCCGCAGATGAAATGTAATGACTGTTTTTATTCTTTCTCCTCAGCTCTGTTGGAGGCTGAAGCTCGATTCAAGGAGATAAAAATTAAACGAGAGGCAAAGGAAGCACAAGAGAACAGTCGAAAACCACCCCCATATAAATTTATCAAGGTCTGTAATCTTGTAAGCTTTGCTTTTTATCTCTAAATGCATTTTTAAAGATACAAACTCAGTTTTTAAATAAATAATAATAAATGATTAACTTTGGATAACTTCACTTTTACCCCTTCCAGAATAATATAATGTTGTTAAGTGTTATTCATGTTTCATGATATCTCCTTTTCTTACGTTTTTATGATATTTTTCTTTCAGGTCAACAAACCCTTTGGTAAGGTTCAGGTCTACACAGCAGACATTTCCGAGATCCCCAAGTGCAACTGTAAGCCGACAGACGAGAGGCCGTGTGGGTTCGAGTCCGAGTGTCTGAACCGCATGCTTCAGTACGAGTGCCACCCTCAGGTGTGTCCCAACGGGGAGCGTTGCTGTAACCAGGACTTCACTAAACGTCTCTACCCAGAGACCAAGATCATCAAGACCCCCGGCAAGGGCTGGGGTCTGGTCTCTCTGCGGGACATCAAGAAGGTGAGGAGGCAGATTTTCCTGCTATAAAACAGCTTTTATGTGGAACCAGCCAATGTGTCATAGTAACGTACATAGTGTCAGGAAACAAAATGCAAGATTCACTCCATTAACAGTCAGTATGGCTATTTTGGATCTGAATTCTACAAAGTTGAAGACTGTTATTTATGTTTTGGCTGTCATCAGGATAGAGAAGGACATAAAAAACATTTTACGGATGAACACAAACAAATTTTGAAATATCGGTAATAGAATCTTTGTTTATTGCCAATATGAGCTCAGACGTGTGTGTGTATCAACCGATGGAAATAACAAAAAATGCTTGAAAAAACACATTTATGGAAAACTTAAATATTTATTTATGTTATGAGTTGTGTAAAGAAAATGAATCGTTATCTCATTTCCAAATGTCTCCAATATCAATACTGCTGTTTGCCTCAAACATCTGGGGGTTATACTTAATATGCTGAAACATTTCTGGTGTTTTAAACAAGTTCAGATTGCCTTTTTGGCAGCTAGAGTGTGATGAATTACAGAAAAGGCTTAAATACAGTGCTTGTAAAGTATAGGCACCGTTTTCACTTTGACATTCAAGAGTCTCCTTCTCTTGATCGTGTGAAAAAAGCCGCTTAAAATCCCTTCTAATGTTGTCAATCATAAAAACTTCCAAGAGGTGTGTATAGTTTTTCTTGAAGGCACTTTAACCAATACTTACCTGTAAAAGAAAAAATACCTGTATCGTCGGAAATCCTTCGGTTCAGCTCGGGACATTTCTAGCATCAAGACACAGCTGGTCTCTAGTCTGATGTAACGTTTCTCAAACAGGGTGAGTTTGTGAACGAGTACATCGGCGAGCTGATCGACGAGGAGGAGTGCCGGGCGAGGATCAAGTACGCCCAGGAAAACAACATCACTGATTTCTACATGCTCACCATTGACAAGGTCAGTGCCAAACCAGAAGCTGGAAGTACTTATTTTGCTCCACAGTGTGTCGGGGTGCTGTGTTCCAGTTTCTACTGGGAGCTATAATGTTGGTACAAGAAATGAGCAACAGGAATGTCATTTACGAACTATATAAAAGGTACAACTTATCACTTACTGAGAATTTCTTTCACCTTTTTTAAGGACCGGATCATTGACGCTGGTCCGAAGGGGAACTACTCTCGCTTCATGAACCACAGCTGTCAGCCCAACTGTGAGACGCAGAAGTGGACGGTGAACGGCGACACGCGCGTCGGCCTGTTCGCCGTCTGTGACATCCCAGTAGGTGAGACATGTTACAAACGAGAGTGACTGGAGCTTTGACTGCTGATTCCTCTCACACGTTTGAAGAATTATTAAGTATTTAACAAGTATGTAACACTTTAAACAAACTCCTACCTGCTCATAGAGTTAAAAATCTTTCTAAATCTGTCTCTTTTTTTTCTATTCCAGGTACCGAGTTGACCTTTAATTACAACCTGGATTGCCTTGGAAATGAGAAGACCGTCTGTCGCTGCGGCGCTCCCAACTGCAGCGGTTTTCTTGGTGACCGACCTAAGGTGAGCTTCACACCGGAGCTGCAGGTTCATGTTCAAACTACACAAGTTACCAGAATGGCTATAAAAACGTTCTATGAACTGTACGACTATTGAGACATTGAGACAAATGCATGTTTTTTTCATTTTATTTTTTACACATTTTATATTTTTTTCATGGATCTCTTTATGATATGAATCCAGCTGTTTGAAAAGCTTGACTTGAAGTGGTTGAAGCAGGTTCAGGGAAAGTAGGTGTATTGAAAAAGTGAATTACTTCATCACAGGTTAACTTGCATGTATTAAATATTACATATATAATGAAGGAGTATGAAGTACTTCTGAAATGTTTTGAGTTTAATTTTATGCATTAGAAGATGAGCTCTCCACTTAAATGTGTTTTTATTTAATTCCCTTTGAGGTGAAGCGCAGCGTACCAACCACAAGGTCAGTTAAATGTATAGTAATCCACCCAGCGTTGATCAAATGTACCCCAACCCGGTGTCTCCTCTGCAGAACTCAAACGGCCAAACAGCCGAGCCAAAAGGAAAGAGGTTGAAGAGAAAGTATAAAAAGAGGAAATCTGAGGGAAAGAAGAAGTCTGAGGATGATTGTTTCCGCTGTGGGGACGGAGGGCAGCTGGTGCTCTGTGACAAGAAGAAATGCACCAAAGCTTATCATCTGTCCTGCCTGAACCTCACCAAGAGACCCTTTGGTAAGAAACACCTGAAATCCAACATTGCGGCCGTCACAGCATGCAGATTATTAGCACACTACAGAATCATCCACAGGCATCTGGCTGACCAAAACACTCATACGCAAACATTCACTAACCTATAAATGAAAAAGGTTACATTATTTTCTACTCTGAGAACAAGTACCTTCTTCAGAAGGTTTCATTTCTTATAAAGAAAATAAACTTAATAACACACTTGGTATGTCTAAGCAGTATAACATTTAAATTGCTTTGGAAAGTTTCTTTTACTCTTATTAACTCGCTATATTTGAATAGCATAAAATATAACTTGTCCTCGCTCCCTGCAGGCCGCTGGGACTGCCCGTGGCACCATTGTGACGTCTGCGGGAAAAACTCGGAGGCCTTCTGCCACCTCTGCCCCAACTCCTTCTGCAAGGCTCACCAGGAGGGGGCGCTGCGTCCCTTGCCTTCCACAGAACAGCTGTGCTGTCTGGAGCACGACGAGCAGGAAGGAACGGACAACCAGGATCAGGATGTCAGTTCTGAAACGACCGCCACTACTGCCACCATCGCCGGCCGTCCTCCCAAAGGCTCCCGGAAGGCAGAAGGAGCCGAGGTAAAAACGAAGGGCTCCAAGAGGAAAGCAGCAGAGGCCTGAAAGGAAACTTTGCCCCCCCCCCCCTCAGTGAGCCAGAAGACCAAACTAGACTCTGACACCTGCTTCCTCCAGTTCATGAACAAATATAAACCCCCACGTAATGTCTTCAAGATCACCAGAACCAAGACACTGTACATCTTCGTCATCAGGGAAAGCCGCTGATCTCTCACATGCTCGGCAACAGCCTCTAGCTAAATGCAAACATGGCATATTTTATTTGTGAACGTTTTCAGGTTTATTTTCTCTTGTCTGCACTGAGGCGAAACCATCTGTGGTAAAGCACGAAGCAGCTGAGTGAGTGCAGGTCGGGAAACTTCGGCTAGTGGATTCTAACTCTCATTCTTCCACCGACCAAACTGCCTTTTTTTTTTTTTTTTTTGTTTGTTTGTTTTTATTGTCGTCTTTGTTTTGATGATTTGATTTTTAGAATAACAAAAGAAACCAGTTGGTTTCTGCAGGAAAAAAACTGAAGTTAAACTGAGCAGCAGCATCACCGCCCGCTAACTTGAATCTCAGTCGCCCCCTTTCACGCACCACGGATGATCTTGAACAGCAGAGTTTTATAGCTATATCTATATATGTGTATATCAAAGACCAAAATTATGATTACTGGAATAGTGTGAGACATCAAACAGGTTGCCAAATGGATTGTTTTTATTTTTATATATAGTGTATATATGCCAGATGTAATATCAAAACACCAAGACACTATGGATAGGCCTCAGATGACCTCTTTACTTCTGTTTCGTAGCCATAGGTTACATTTAACTGTAGACATTTGTTTGCTGTTTTACAACCTGTTATTTTGTTTTAGCTCAGTTTTACTGTTCAAATTAGATTTTTGATTTTGATTTTTGATTTTACACGTCAGCATGCTGAATGATGGCACCACAGACCATTTATCTACCTGCCTGTCCAGAGAACGAGGGATTACAGAAAGTATTAAAACCCGAGAGCGCTCTTAAACTGCCGTCTGATATAAAAACACTACTGGGAGGTTAATAGATCTTTAACGCTCTGCTCGATGTCAGAGAAATGAAGGATTACGTGTTTTCTAAGTTGAGTTGTGAGTCCTAACCCTTTTTTTTTAAGATGCTGTTTGTCTTTCCACTGCAGCATCTGAAGGCACAGTTTTCTGTATAAATACACACACATCATGCTGATTCAAATTCTGAATGCCTTTCAGTGTCACTGGCCGGACTTTTTATTGACGATAAGTTCATTGAATAGTTGGTCTGTAGCTGAGGTTGTCAACGAAAAGGCCTCAACTGTTTTTTAATCCTCAGGAGGTTTTTAGTCTAAAAACTGCGTCCTGCTCGTTGTTTAATACTGTAGAGCAGGTTAACGGCACACTGTATAACACCTTGTAACTGCAAGTTTGGTAACGATTTTTCATATTTGTACTTGACATGAAGCATTACAGGTTTAGGAAAAGAGTTAAGGAAACTATATAGGCTACGGTGGCCATTTTAGGACATGTCAGACTGTGCTGTCATACATCAGTGTTATCCGTGAGCTCCGTCTGCACTCGACTGGAGTTACTGTAACTTTTGACGAATACGATTTGCATCATCAGACATTTTTAAAGTTAAAACTATAACTGAGAAACCCAAAAACAGAGAAATATATGGATGTCTTAATAAACCAGATTTTAATGGACATTAGAGTGAAAACGTTGACTTATTCCGTAGCTGATGGAGGATTTAGCAGTCGTGATGGGCATTTTTCACTATAATTTGAGATTTAAAGACAATTGAGTGGAAATAAAAGGCAGATTAATCAATAATGAAAACGAGCAGTATTTCCCACCCTTATGCTGATAGTGCTATATTATCAATACACTATATGTTTAATACTGTTTTATCTGTAGCCCTCACGGGACCCACTCTGCAGTCTTACAGCCATCTCGAATTTCCTGGTGGGTTTTCTGGTGCTACATAATATCCAGTCTAATGAAACTGAGGCTCATCACTGAAATATATATATAAATATATATATTTACGCATTGTTTGATAGTTTTGTTTGATTCTGGTGCAGATTTAAGTATTTAACTGTCAAAGTCAAGTGAACTGATGTTGAACGAGCTCTAGCTGCAGCCTGTGGTTTGAGACTTCACTAACTGAACTACCTGCAACCCCATACACGATCACCTGAGCGCTCTTTCAGACGCGGACATTTATAGACCGTTTGTGAGCGACAACCTTTTTTTTTTTTTGAGGCAGCACGTATTTGTTATCAGTGTAAGAGAGATGCTTGCAGAGGAACCTCCTTTTTAAATCTTCTGAGTCAGTATTGAAATGGCTTCATAATGATACGGGTGTACAGTCACTACACGCTATCAGCACGTATGTAGTGATGAGCCTGATGTCTGTTGGACTGGAGCTGGTAGTCACACCGAGCTGAGCCTTACAGAGTCCTGAAATGTCCTGAACTGGCATTGCACTCACGTTTTTCTGACGTCCGTCTGCCCCCAACAGTGATTATCGTACGTTTTGTCGAATGGATCTGTCGTATTTATCTCGCATCAAGCAAACAGAACGTTTAATGTTTACAGTTATTCTCATCAGCCTCTCTTTTGGGTCGGTCACGAGGCTACAAACAAAAGTCTTGTGCTTTTTTTAAATGTCATATTTGACGTGTTGGACGGTTTTCCTCTTCAGAATCTGAATCTCTTTGTTTTGGACTTGTCTTTTTAATCTTAAAGCCACTATCTGTGCTCTCTTCTTCCTCTCTAAAACTCCAAAAACAACAGATTTAAGTTGTACAGGTGCAACAGGCCAAGTTTTTGTTTTTTACAACTGCACCTTTTTTATTTTATTTTTTTTTATTTTTGTGTTCTCCTTTTTTCCCAGGGCGTGTGAATGGGGCATGTCCAGAGGTGCAGCGAGTCTCGTACAAGTATTTTTGACTTTGTATGTATCCTAACCTTGTGTTGAGTGAATGTAGTCCAGCCAGTTATTTTTGTAAGCACTGTAATTCCCTGTAGAGCTGAAGTGTAACACGTGCGTAGGGGTTTCTCATTCTGTAACTACTGTCATAGTAAAACCAGAGACTAATATGTACATAATGTATAAGTGGTAATAGTGATGCATCTATTGTAAATATACAATTTCTCTGACATTGTATGTTTTTGTTTTTTTTTTGTTTTTTTTTTCTTGATGCAGTGCTGAAACACTTTTGTGCAGGATCTCACGTCTGTTGAATCGTGCAATAAAAAGTGACATCCACTGTCTGCACACTGCTGGACTTTTATCACACACTGCTCATTTCAATGTTTTACTACGACTTCAATCATCCCAACGGCTTTAAAGCTGCTCAGGTTCAGTCTCGAAGCCTCTTGAAGGTCCAGCGTGCATTTAGTGACATCTAGTGGTGAAGTCGCAGATTGAAACTCGCTTGATTCACCCTCCCTTTTCCAAGCACGAGGAGTGATGATACAGGAGCGCCCTGGTTCACAGACCGTCCCATAGTTAACAGTTCGGCCTGGTTTAATGCAGGTTCATTACAGGTAGGTGGTCAGCCTTGTTGTGTGTGAATAAACAGTAACATGACATTGGCCACAGCCCATAAGTAACAGTCAAAGTAAAGCAGATTTAATTGGACATCAAATTTGAGAAGAAAGTGTTGCACGTACAATCAGCATTGCTTTGTTTGTGTTTATTAACCACAACAACAACAACAGAGTTTGTTCCACATCTGGTCAGCCTGCTGTAAAGTGCTGCACTGTACAGGTAGAACTGAGGGAAGGGCTACAACACAATGGCGTTCTCCAGGTGTTTGGTGACTTCTAAATCAATTTCCATGTGTTTCCATCACTGGACAAGTAGACTCTGAATTTCCAGGTTTTCCAGGACATGCAGGAACCCTGACTATGGTGCTAGCTAGTGCCCCTGTCCGAGCCAGTGTTCGGTTTGTCTCTCCTGGGCTACTGTAGAAACGTGTCTGTAGATAAAAATGTGTCATTCTAAGATAATGAAAAGATGATTCTTATATTGTGGTGATTATACACTAATGCAAACATACCTGTGAGTATTGTATTCTGTTTCTGCCACTAGATCCTCTTTAGTGTTTCACACTGGACCTCTAAAAGTGTGAAGAAAGAAGATTTACATTTTTTGCTTTTATCTTTCTGGTCAAAAATTTTCTGGTTTTCTTTGATATTAAATTGATCTGAGCTACTAACACAATAACAAAAAATAACAGAAGTTATCTCAGGACACTTTTCAAATAGAGCAGGTCTAGACCGAACTCCTTATAACATTATTTACAGAGACCCAACAGTACCACCATGAGCAAGACCTTGGAGACAAGGGCAAGGAAACACTGCCTGTTAAAGGCAGAAACCTAGGACAGATCCTTCGGCTCTAGGTGGGTGGTCGTCTGTCTCGACCAGTTGGGTAAAAAGAGAGAGAGAGAGGAGAGGGGTAAAGAGAGCAACAACAGTAGCAACAACTACACTAATAGAAATGACTGATAATGAAAAATACAATGGAGGTGAATGGAATAGCACCAGCAACAAACGTCCATTTACCGGCAGTAGCTCAGTGTGTAGGGACTTGGCTTGGGAACCGGAAGGTTGCCGGTTCAAGTCCCACAGACCACAAAATATGGAGTGTGGACTGGTAGCTGGAGAGGTGCCAGCTTCACCTCCTGTGCACTGCCGAGGTTCCCTTGAGCAAGGCAACCTAACCCCAAGTGCTCATCACTCCATCATCTCTCTCCTTGTTGCATGTCCACAAGTGTGTGTGTGTGTGTCTCTTAGAATTTAAAAAAAAAGAGTGAAAAGAAGAATTTATAGGGGATTAATAAAGTATATATCTTATCTTGTTCTCTACTGGGGCCACAAATCTGATCTCAGACCTGCCAACCTGAACACATTTTGGTGCTCTGTTGATCTTTTGATTTTCCTTTCTAATGTAACACTGTCCTGTTGTCTCTTAGAATACACTTCCATCAGTACTTAGACTGCTCTTCTCTTCTTTTCATTTACATACTTCGTGTAGAGGTGATCCAAAAGTATCAACTCCAGATGTTAATGCAGAGCTTCCGGCTTATTGAACGTGAACATGGATCAAACACAGACTCGAGTCCTTCAGAGTGTTTTATTCCTCTTTAAGACAAAAGACAAAAACAAGTTTCATTTTGCATAACAGTAGTACAGCAGCGGCCGAGGGTATAAAACGCTTTTTTTTCCATTTTTCAGTGTAAAAATAACTCTACTCATACCTCACACCTGTGCCGTCCTCTCGTAGTGCAAACGCTTCAAATAAAAGTTAGGCACATGATGGATACGATACGATCGCAGTTCAATTACACTTAAGTGCTGATGACAAGTAAAACGTCATTCGGAATTCCTTTTGTTTGTTTGTTTGTTTGTTTGTTTGTAGATTCCCAGTTCATAAATGTCCAACAATCGCAGACTGAAAGAAGTGATGACAGCTGGAGTTTAAATAGCGAAGGGCTAAAAGGGCAGTTTAACTTCCTGTTTGTAGCCATTTAACATCTGATGAAGCTTGATAGAAAATAGAAAATAAAAAGACCTACAGTCCTATCCCAGCCGACGGGATGAACATTATCTGCGCCGGCTTGTTCGACTAAGTGCAAACTGAGTTTAATACTATTTAAAAAAATAAAAATAAAAAATGACATTGCAAGCTTATGGTCCCAAGCAACAATCACAACTCACAACAAGTTGGTGCTTTTTGCTTGTAAATATCTGAGCGAGCGTTTAAGTGGCAACTTGACATTTTTTTCTACTTTTAAGGAGAAAAAAAAAAAATTAATAAAAACTAGCTCCAAAAAAAAACAAACAAAAAAGTAAAATATTTCCCAGATTTACATATGATACAAATAAAAAATAAATATCAGCTCTGTTTTTAATCTAGGCATATTTTTTTTTCTTATTTTTTTTTACGATTCATCCACAAAAATAAAGGTACAAAGAGCGACCGTCGTTCTTTTTCCAACCAACACAGTGCAGCTTATTTTTCAACAAGTGTTGCTCCGCCATCAGGAGGCCAGCACGCCTCGGCGGATGATGTCAGACCCGTAGCGCCGACCGAGAGACGAGTCCCCCCTCAGCTGGTGGGAGTGGCATCGTTTCAAGCAGGGCTCCATCTCGCCGTCGCCCGGTTTGGAGTCGGACGCGTAGCCGTCGTTCTCCGTCCCCGTGCGGAGTCTGGTCCTGGGGTACTGCGGCTCTGGCGTGTTGGTCAGCGGCCTCAGCAGCGGCTTGCGGTGCTCCACCTCCTCCTCCTCCTCCGGCTCCTCCTCCACCTCCTCCTTCATCGTCAGAGGCCTCTCGCTCCTCTTCGGGATCCTGAACTTCCCCCAGCCTTTCAGGTGTCCGGCCGTGGTTCTGTTGGACGCGTGTGAGCTGTTTGCGTGGGCTCTCCTCAGCCAGCCGTTGGCTCTGGCGGCGGCGGCGGCGTCCGGGACCGCGCCGGCTCTGTTGGGTTTAGTGTTGGTCGTCACATCCAGAGAGACGGGGCTTCTTTTGGTCATTCCTTCGTCCAGTAGGTAGTCGTCGGTGTCTGAGCTCCTGATGTCTACCAGCCTGATGGAAACGGTTTTCTCCAGATGTTTTGAGCCGAACCGGTTCTTTCCCTGGCTCGGGAAACTTTCCATCCCGTTGCCCCTCTTCTTCCTCTTCCTCTCCTCTTGTTCGCTGTCGTCTCGTTTCCGTCTGGCCAGCGCCTCGTGTTCTGCGTCCCTCCTCGGGCCTTTCCTGCTCTCGGCTTTCTGCACTTTGACGGTGAGCGTTTCCTGAACCACTTCCGGCTTCTGAAGCTTTGGGAACGGAGTCTCCTGGATGATTTGGGAGTTTGGGATTTTGGCGTCGCTTGTGGCCTCAGCAGGTGCAGACTCTCTGATTCGGGAGCCTTTACTATCCTTTGTCTCCAGTGGTTTGCTCAGATTGTCCTTCTGAGTGTGCGGGGCGTCAGAGAGGCCTTTTCTGTCGCCGCTTTTCCTTTTTTCCTGCTTTGAAGACCCCCGTTTGGTTTTCAGTCCAGAGCTGCTCCAAGAGGAGCGAGACTGGGAGCCCTGAGAGGATAACCAGTCCAGAGAGAAGAGCTTCTCCAAATCCTTCTCTGAAGGATCACCTGCAACAGACAGAAATGAGTGTAAATACAGGACGGGATTATCCTCTGCTGACATTCAGAGGAATCATAATGTTATTATCTGACCCACAATGCAACTGTCGTCCACATTAAAGATTCCTTTCTGGTCGTAATTAAAACAACAAGATGAGTTATTTAAGTATTTTCTTGTTAGATGTTTAAAGATTTTAGTCTGTTTCTTTACTTTGAACATCACTTTGATTGTTTTGTCATTTTGAGATTTCAGAAAATATCTTCATTAATATCATTTTAGTTACTTCAAGCAGCTCTTATCAAAATGATTAGAGATCAAACTTTAAAAGTAAAAATGTGAACTTAAAACTTCTGAATCTTTCAATGTGTGTGAGCAACAACGTAGAACTGAGCAGATTACATGAGATGGATTTAGTATTTTTAGTAAAGTCACACTTAATCTGCTTTCTTGTTTCTGCGGGTTCATGTTTCATTTAATTTGTCTTTTGTCTTCTTCAGTTTTTCTTTAATATTTGGATCAGTGTGACGTCTTTGTTGTTTATGACAGAATAAAACTAAACCAATAAATCAATATTTTCCAGCTACTTTGTTGACATTTATCCAAATATTGTCTTATACCAATGGCAGTTAGATGTCCTCCTAAAGCGTAAACACTTCTTTTAGTCAGTCACAGTGAACATCGACATCTACTGGAAGTTTCCAGCTTTGAGTGAACGTTGCGTCAGTTCATTTGCAAACAGGCTGACAGAAGCAGCCCTGACACATCACTGCCTGATGAAGCGATGCGACGTGTGGAGCTTTGATTCAATCGTTTGCTGACTCACCTGTGAGCAGCTCGTGGTCGAGCAGGCGAACCTGGTGCTGGAAGATCTGTTCCTGGACTCTCCACAGCGAGCGCTTCATCTTCTCCCTCCGGGTCACCATGTAGGTCAGGTTACGAACCTGAGGAACAGCAGAGGTTCTTTACACACAGTCATGAACTCACAGTAGATCAGTATCCTCCGGCACCGGAAGGATGATGTACACGGAGTCCAGATTCTTACATGCATCCTGCTTTCTCTGTTTTCAATGTAAAGTGAATATATTTGACTATATCTAAGTTTAGATATATATTCTCTTCTGTTTCACATGTATTATATTATTATATTATTATATAGTGATATACTGTGTATACTTTCATAAATGCATGCTGTAAAATTAATTTATTTCATGTGCAACACATACAACATGCTTCTAAGTCTCTTGCAAGTTTGAAAAATTGAGCATAACAATGTTCATTTCACGGTTAGCAATCTACGACTAACTGCCCGATTAGTCCACAATACAGTGTACAACATGGAGGTGAATAAAGGCTGCAGCTTCTCAACCCCAAAGTAAAGCTCTACTGTATTTCCTGGTTGTTTCCCAGCTGCTGGAATAGAGTCTCTCTGACGCTCAGCTCCGCCTCGAGTCGAGCCGTACCACGTACTGGAAATATGACTATAAACGCTGCAGCTATCACCAACAACACTTAGATTCCTCACAGCACAAAATGTCTACAGTTCCTAAGCCTAAAAGAAAGGTCAGAGGCTTCCTGATGAGCTCGAGGTCGATATGGTCCACAGAGTTTTAAGAGAGATGAACAGCTGATTATCTTCTGTGGATTTCGATGTGACTGCTTCCTGTCTCACCTGCTGTTCTCAAAGTAATACGATCTCAACAGTGTTCCATGTTGTATAGTTAAATACTTTGATAGTTCAAAGGTACTGTAATCTGTACAGCCTTTGCACTAGATTTATTAACGTTATTAAAAACACCTCTATCCTTTCTTATCTCCTCTTGGGATCAATAAATCTTATCTACAAGCAAGCAAACGTCTCCACTGCACTCAGAATTTAGCAACGTTTATTTGAACTGTTTCTTTGGCCAACAGAGAATCACTCCCTCCTCCTGAAGACGCTTCCCTTCCTGTCTCTGCTGCTCTCTGCGCTCCTGAAGTAGAAACCTACCCTCTCCAGGTCCTGCCGGAGGTGCGTGAAGAGCTGCAGGCGTCGCAGCAGCACCTCCTGCTCGCGGCGTGCCAGGCTCTCCTCCTCGTCCTTCTTGGGCGTGAGGAGCGGCTGGTTGAAGTTGGCTTTGCGTTTCAGTTTCCAGTACTGGTAGAGGAAGTCCACCACCTCCGGCGCCAGCTTCAGGTGACTGGCCACCTCCTCCACCTCCACAAACTGGTAGAAGTCTTCCTCCATTGCCTCCAGCTTCAGCTTGCGGAGGTTGACTCTCTTCTCCTGCTGGCGGCTGCTGAACCCCTCTAGATCGCTGGGTGCTCTGTTGATGAGCTGAGGAGCCACATAGGAAGACGAGGAGGACGAGGCGGCGTCCTCCTCCACTCTCACCCTGCCTCTCCTCTTGCCCTTCTTGTCTCTGGTGCTCTCCCTCTCCTCCTCGCCTCCCGAGTCTCGCTCCCTGGACTCGGCGCCCTCGAGCCCCGAGTGTTTGGGGCAGTAGGACTTGAACTTGACCTCATCGTCCTCTGTGAGGATGGTGTTCATTTCAAGGCTGGCGTGGAGGCCGCATGTCACGTGGAAGGCAGTCCGGCAGTTTTTCGCTGAGCACTAGCACCAAAAAAATAACTGTTAAACCTTTTAAACATTCATACTATATACATACGTACATACACTATAATACTACTGTAATACTATGTGCATTGAAAGGAAACAGAGCTTCTCACAGCTGGAAAACACAGCTCAGAAAATAAAAAATGACTTTACCAACACTTGAGTATGTATGAATTAATATTATGAAAGGGATTTGAGATGATTGCTTATACAAATTATCATCTTATTCAAGTTCAGAGAGCAGTGACGGGGCTTGTGTGTCACAGTCTCCCTCCTGTGGTGTTCACAGGATAAGCCACTGAAAGACTACACTCATCAGCACTGAGTATTCACCCAGACCCTGGTACAATGCAAAATACAACCAACTTCAAAAGAGAGAAACATTTCAGATTTTGTGCTGACTGATTGGCTGCCTCCTCACTCCTCCAACCCGCTGAGCTGTGAAATCATTACAGTTTCATTTCCCACTGTGAGCAGAGGAAACGCACCGCAGCGTCTGAATAACTCAAACACGCTGGTTTCACGCTTTGCTCTTCACGTCTCATTAAAAGGTCTTTGTGTGAAATGTGAGCGGAGACTCTACCTGTATACATGCTCCGGTCTTCTCTTTGCACATGCAGCAGATCAGAGCCCATCTGTTGCTGGGAATTTGGGACACGTTGGTGATTGGCTCCATCTTCTCTGGATTCCCAATGCTCACCTGCACAGCAGATTTAACATGTAACGTCACATATTGCTCACATGTCAGAGCAGGTGGTGTTGACTCATTTAGAAATGCAAATAAATCAGTGCATGCTGAGAGAAATCAGTAACTGATGCTCCAATACGAATAAAACCACCTGTTGTTTCCATTAAATTTCACAGCGTCCATTCAGGCTACTTAGATTTTGACACATGAAGTCATGTCACTTTTTCATAGAGTAAATACTTTAAAAGTTAATTAAGTTAATCCCTTAGAAAGATGCCATTTAAGGCTGTAATCATGTGAAATCTCAGTTTAATTTAAGGCAGACTAAAGTAGAAGGAAAAGGAGACACAACCTAATGTAAACGTGTATTTTGGATAGTAAAATGATTTGTTACAAGCAGAAGAAAGTTCTCTGATTTCAGTATTTATATGAAACACTGACTGTAACTTCTTTGAAAATGTTAAAGCTGATATCAGCAGGTGATTGTTGTGATTCCTTTTTCTAACTGCAATGTAAGTTGTTTACCAATTTGAAAATAATTTAAATCAAGGTCAATGTCAGAAATAACTTCAGAGATTAAAAGCTGTAAAAAGGGAGAAAAGAAACTCTGAAATTGTCCTTTAACATGATTTCCATGTGTTGAGTTGCAGTTAAATTTGCCTCACATGAAAAATGGAAAGAGTGACATGTATTTAAAAGTACAATAATTATTTGGTATAAAAACTGTAAAGATTTGATCTTCACCTCTGGAATCCACAAGGCACAGCTGACGTGGACCCACTTGGTTCCACTTCGGGTCGGCTTCATGGCTCCGCCCTTCTTGGGACACAACTGGCACTTTGGCAGAATGCCGAGGGCGCAGATCCGGCACAGCCAGCTGCCCTTTGGCACTTTCTGGATGCCGTAACACGCCTGGTGAGAAACGCAAAGACAGGGGCGGCTCAGACAGCGAGCAGAAAACGGCAGAAACAAACCCAGACAGAGAAAGTTTGCGTTTGTGTGCGTCACATGAAACCAGAGCAACAGCTGATCTGAAATATAAGAAGAGTCCTTTTCATTTTCTCTCTGCGCTCAAAAGTTAACACGGTTTGGTTAAAAATATAATTTCTCTCATGCGCGCGGTGTTAGGTTTCACTTTGACTATTACTCCTCACATGTTAGCTGTGATTTTTAACTAAATCTGTGTAATGCACCGATACCAGTGTCTGATCGTAACTGTAATCATAAAACTAATCTGATACCACTTTACAGCAACGTGGCGTTTACCTCTCGCTCTCTCTGAACAGGTAGGCGGAGGAGAGGCAAACACGGGTAAACAATCAGGACAAAAGTGAACAAGGTCACTGTTAGTTAACTTTAATGGCATTACTAAGAACTCGTATCAGTACTACTGCATCATGAAGATATTCAGCTTATATAAAGTTATTTAATTTAGACAGACAGTAGAAGTTAATGATTTTATAGGATGTACGGCCTACACCGGCTCTATATGAAAAGTGTCCGTCTGATGATTTGGTACGATATAAATAGAAATGAAGTTGCTTAAACTCACATAGTAACATATAGAAATAATAATCAATACATCAAAAAGGGGAACAAAGAATATTGACTAAAGGTCACCTTCCACAAAAGGTGTGATAGAAGATATAATTAGTTTCTGTATTCAGAGAGATCAAACTATAACATTTAATAAATATAGTTTAAGTTAAGGACTGTATTCAGTTTTTTTTCTCTCTCGTGTAAAGCGAGGTTAAATGACCCTGCGTGTCGTTGACCTCTGACCTGGTGAACGCAGATGTTGCACTTGTCGCAGAACACCATCTCGTTGTTGTCCTCCCCGTCGGGCGACTGGCAGACGTCACACACCACGTCCTCGTCGTATTCGATGCCGAGCCCCTCCTCCGTCTCCATGGCGTGCGTCATGTTTTCGTGGCAGCAGTGTTCAAACTCCTCCATCGCCCGCTCCATGGTGATCTCGTCCAACGGCGGCATGGCTGGGAAAGTAGGAAGTAAAGGTTTCGTTATTGTATCGTTAGTGTAGGTTTTATTCATTAACCTCCAGAGAAGTCCAGTTTCATAGTTTTCACATTTCAAATCAATTCAATTAAAGTTGAATTAAACTAAAACATCATGCAGATCAACTTTAAAACCCTCATTTCTCTCTGTCTAAACAGCTGACATTGTGGAGATAACCCTACTTTACTCAACAGTGACAGTACGTTTAATTACAGGTTTAACTGTGAGGTTTACTCTGTGAGTCATCGGACCAACAGACACCACAGAGAGAGCTCAGACAACAATGTCTCTAAACAAAGATGTAATCAAAGCAACATAATAAATCATGAGAAAAACAACAAGAGTCTCCACTAACTTTGGGAACCCAAAGCCTGATATAAAGAGAGATTTCAGCTAAGCTAAGCTAACAACAGAAAGATTAACAGGATAAGCCACAAGAACCACAAATTATTCTGTTGGCTCCTCTGTAAAGTTTTCTGACTGTAAACCTGTGGTATGGTTTTGTTTTCACAACCAGAGATAATAATTAAAGTAAATCTGACACTTTAGTCTTTATTCTGTTCACACAAACCGGTTTGAGTAAAACATTCAACCAAAACATCTTCAAATGTGTCAGAAAAACACTACAGTTCAGACTTGATGATTGCAATTAAAGCCTTCAACTGACACTCAATTCATTTAGTGTCCTGCTCAGAAACTCCAGAGACTGTTGATGGGGAGAAATAGCTGCTGTGCAAACTGAACAAGATGGTTTAATGTACAGCAAACTCAAACGAAGACCTTTAAGATGGGGACAAATTAAAATAAACTATAACATCAGATTACACGGAAACATTTTACTCACAGAGCAAAAACATTCTCGAATCATGTACTTCTCCGTTAATAGACGCAGAATCCAAAACAAAATGACGAACCACCAGCTTCCAGTCTGAACGGCCGCTCTGTGACTCACCCATCTCTGCAAACTCCGCGTTGACGATGTGCAGCCAGACCACGTCTTCCTCGTTCAGGTCGTAGCGGCACATCCCCTCCGCCAGCGTCCGGATGTCCACGTAGCCCAACGCCTCGGTGCCCGACGTCCGGATCAACTTCTTTGGCCTGACGAACATGACCTCCTTTCCCTTCTCTGCCAGCACTCTGCACGACACCGTCAGGAGACACTTCAGTTCACTGGTCTGCATGTGCTGTATGATTACTGCGCATCCATTCATCTTCTATAGACTCTTATCCTTCAACGTGTTGGGGTGCAGCTCTAACCGTGAATAACTAGACTTTTTAAGGATTTTAAGGACTTGCCATCTTACACTAGGGTGCAGAAATGCCACAAAGCCACTGGCAACACTCTACAAATCTCCCTTTTAATGATTTGTGTACACAAAGGTTTTGTTTTCCAACTGTTCTCTAACTTTGCCCTTGCTGGATGCCAAACTGTGAGCCCATCTAATAAAATGGAAACAAAACAATGGCTCTCTAAGAAACAGGCTATTAAATAAGCCATCTGTTACACACAGCAGTAAATCTCAGCTTTATGAGCCCGTCCTGGATTCCCACTCAAGGACAACAACCGGATTCAAACATGTGACTTTTCTTTCGCCCCTACCTGGCGACAGGCTGTGGGATGGACTGGGGGCTGACGGGGACCTGGACGCCCTTCTCCCACTCCTGTCTCCACGGGTCGGCGAGGATGTAGTAGTCCTCGGGGTTCAGCTGGTACGAGTCGTGCACCTTCATGGCGGTGATCAGGTCCGTCCTGAAAACCTGCGGCCGGTCGCAAGAAAACAAGAGTCAGTGACAGTCACATTACTGAATGATTACGGCACCGTCAATCCGCCTGTAGGATGGAAAATTATGGTTTCTGTTGTCAGAGGACGTCAGGAACGATCATCCTGTTGTCTCTGATGTGAGGTCTCTGAATCTTCTATCTTCTTCTCATATTCATAAGTGAAATATGAAAACAAATATAGCCATAAAGGCACATTTTGGCTTCCTACATACTATAATATCAGCATTAATGATTTTATCTGAAACACCATCTATCATATTAAAACTCATATAAGTTTCAAAAAGAGCAGAATTTGTGCTATCAACTGTATTTTTGGTTAATCTGCTGAGAACTAATGAACTGTACAATGCGTATAACAGTATAACTGCACATAATCATCTTCACAACTAAAATAAATATACAGTTGTTTTAAAGCGAGAGATACGGTTTATCAGTGTTTGCACATGTTACTACCACGCTGTGTACAGACAGCCAACCAGGAACCAGCCAATCAGGACCCAGCTGAGGCCGGAGTCACGGTTTTGTTTTGATTTGATTGGCTGTCGGTCAGGGAGTGTACAGCGGCCTACAGACTGTACATCAGATAACACAGGACGCGCTGTACAATGTGGAAGATTACATTAATGAGTAATGAGCAGTTCCTCTTCACAAAAAAATAATAAAACCTTGAACAGAAACACGGCAGCAGACTACAGAAAACACAACCGGAGACAGTTCATGAACTGTGAATCTAACATTGATCTGTGATTTTAAGTTTAAGGCAGACGTACCTCGGAGGGTTTCTGCCCGGTCCCTCTCCTCGGCTGTGACGAATGTTGGGACCAGCAGGTCGAATTACCTGGAGGAGAAATATCACCGAGTTTTAAACAGCTCAGCATTTCTTCCTCCGTCTGTTGCTGCTCTAACGAACAACTGTACATCATCTCAAACACACGGATTTCCCCCCCCCACAGGGGAAACTTACAGACATACCTGCTGTATACATATGTGTGACTCATTTGCATAGAGAAAATGGTGCAACTGGCGTTTTCTGTTTTCATTTTCACTTCTTTACTATTCTTTCACTTGACTTTGGGCTTATTACAAAACTTTCCTGGCGGCAGCAGCATTAAAATCACCTGTGAGACAAAAAATACTAAAATGTTGGGAGCTCAAAATCCTGAAGAATCGTGTTGCGTTTAACTGTTCACCTACTAAAAACCCTGAATCAGAACTCGGCTAAAAGCAGTTTCCAGTAAGAGCTCACGGTTTGTTTTCAGGTCAGATACACTGGATGTTACTACAGGAACAGGGAAGCATCCACACATTAATCTGGCTTTCTGTAAACTGTAACTTATCCCAACATCTTATAGGATGCAGTAAAACCCCACCCATCTGGGATTTCGCGGCGGGTGAAACAGACGCTACAAAGTGTTTCTGAAACTGCTGACTGAGGTCAGATTTTGAGCCCGTCTCTGCCTGACCTGCCGGGATGTCTTTAAAGGTCCAAATGCGCCTCCTGTCCCTACTCTGTCTCCTGTTTCTCAGACTGCAGGCTCTCGCTCTCTTTTCCTTAATCTTTGTCCATCTGCTGCCCTTCTCTCTCTTTCTTTCCCTCGGTTTCCTCCCTGTACATGAAGTATACATTGACAGCAACAAGACGGAAGACACATTTTCAGATGAAAACAACAACAACTTTAAAAGATATTAAAGTATTTATCTTATGGCATGAAATTATATTCCGTGGTATTTAAGTTTCTGACCTTACAGCGCTCTCACTTGTTAAACTGAGGACGGTGGCGGGGTGTTGCACTGACTTCATTCAAGTCTATATTTGGTACGAATGAACGAGGAGAGACGACAGCTCACTTACTTCCATTGTCGGAGTCATCGCTGCTGCTGGGGTGCCTGCTTCTCTTCATCGTCGTCTGTCTGCGGAGCTCCGGCGTACGGACGCTGCACAAAAAAACCAGACAGGAGGTTAAGTTACACAGCTGGACTGATGACGAGATACACGGGAAAAAGCTGTTAACATTCGGGGGGGAACGGGATAAGACGCCTGACTCACACAAACACACAAACACAAGACGTCGACGTTGTGGCACAAATATTAAGCGAGAAAGTCTAATGAATGAACGCCTGGCATAGTTTATGAGCGAGCCACTATTAAACATAAAGTGTGTTAAATAAAATGCACTCACAACTGCGAGCAGTCAACCCACTGATTCTAAGTTTCCACCTTAAATAATGAGGACATTATCTCTGCAGCACCATCGTCTGAAGTTCAATAACAAAGCTGGAGAGGGCTCATGTGTCTCATTACTGGGCATAAAGAGGAAGATATCAGAGGGAAACCCTGCAGAGGACGAGCACAGCCTCTGCACAGCCATGACAACAACAACAACAACAACAACAGCAGCAACAACAACAACAACAACAACAACAACAGCAGCAGCAAGTGGAAATATCTGCGGGCTCTGCTGCCAGCGTGCTCACAGGTGTGTGTGTGTGTGTGTGTGTGTGTGTGTGTGTGTGTGTGTGTGTGTGTGTGTGTGTGTGTGTGTGTGTGTGTGTAGGTGTGTGTGTGTACGCCCCTTCCTCCGGCAAACACATGCTAACCCAACTAGCGGCTAACGGTAGCTCGCGGACCCGGTTTGCGGCGTTACCCCGGCAACACGGCGGTGACACGAGCACGCAGATATTGTGTTTTTAACGTTGTGGTCGCGTTTTGCATTAAAGTTTTTTCCCCCCTTTTTTAAAATATAAATTATATTATATTATATTATAGAAAGTAGGTGTAGTGACGTTAGCCACATAGCTAATCTCCCAACTGCCGTTACGCAACATGAGGGCCCACCTTCAACCGGCGCCTCAACCGTTCATGATAAGCTTATTTATTTATATATATATATATATATTTAAATTTTATTTTAAATGCTCCTCTGCGTCCATTTGCTCGAAACAAGCCATTCTGCTTAAATAAAGTGACCGGTTAATATATAAACGTTAAACACGGATTTACGCTGAATGTTTTTTAAACAGGCGTCGCAACGTCAGCCTGCGCGTTAGCTGACGTTGGTGGTTAGCTTCACGGGCTAGCTCCAGTTAGCTGGAGGCTATCGCGTAACTTACTATTATTATATATATTATATTATATTAAACCCTACAGCCCCCCAACACACACACACACAACCCCAACCACAACAGAATAGGGTATCTGCCAAAGGTTAGGGGTCAAACTATCTTTAAATCAACGTTGTTAATTAATTACGAGGATGTTTTGCTAACAGTGGAGTGGCTGAGGTTAATCTTTGGCGCCATTTTAAATGACGATGTCGCGTCTTCTTCCGAGCGGACTACAAAAACACGAACTCGGCTCGAACCGCGGCGTTAACTAAACACTCCCGCCAACAATATGCACGTTGGTTGTTGTTTTTTTTTTTTGTTTTGTTTTTTTTTGTTTGTTTTTTTTTTTTTTAAATAAAATCCGCGTAGAGTTGAGAGTAAAGTGGACGGGTACGTACAGAGCCCGACAGGCCGATGCGAGCCGGTGTTTGAGTTTGATGTGAAGCGCAGTTTTAGCCTCGAGTTCCGCTTGACCCGCATTCCACATACACAAACACAGAGCGGCGGCGGCGGCGGCGGCGGCGGCCGGGGAGGAGGTTACCCAGCCCGGCTGTAGCTCCCACTGCTGACCGCTGGAGGGCAGCAAACACTCCCAGGTTGTTTTCCCTCCCAGTTGAACAACAAAGTCCCAACAGATCCGAGCACTGCTATAAATATATATATATTATATATATATTATGTGTATAAACACCTCCTGGTTGCCCGGCTGCAAGGTTTTAATTGTCAACAAATTAATAATAATAATAATAATAGTTTGCTGTGTGCGAATGACGCAGCTGCCCCACTCACTGAGTCGGACACTCCTTTTTTGGCAACTACACAGTTTTATCTATTAAAGGGGCAGACTACCAGTAATACTGCAACTGGGAGGCTAAAAGCAAGGAAATATAGTTTAATTATTGTCATTGTTTCATTTATTATTCTTTTAAAAAACATATTATTAGCATTACTTTTTTTAAAAACAGCTAAAAACAGCTGGTTTTCTACCGTTTTGTATGATAAATTATATATATTTAAAATATTTTACATATATTTTCTGTTTTGACTGTTTGCTTGTTTGTAATTGTTCAGATTATGTTTGTTTGTTAGTGTTTGTCATGTTATTGTCTCCCTTTTTTCTAAAAGACAATAAAGAGATGTTTAAACAAAACATAAATAAAAATGTATATACTGTTTGTTGTAGCATCCCTTGCACTCTGCACTGTTGTCTTACTGTCTACAAATATTATTATTGTTATATATATATTATACCTGTTTATGTTTACCCTGTCGAGCTCGTTGTCCTTGTTTATTCTGAGTCAGATTCCTTGTCAGTGTGCGCGTACCTGGCCAATAAAAGTGATTCTGAAATGAAGACAGAATTCAAACATTTTCCTTCCTGTAAACAACAATAACTTACCCACTAAAATCATCTGATTGTGAAAATGAGTCTGTTTCGTGTCTTATTTTGAAACTAATTCAACCAGACATCCATCCAATCTTTATCTGCTGAAACATCCCACAAGAGATCGTTTCTCACCTATTGATTTAATATTATTTTCCCCCATTCAGCCTCAAAAACATCTTCGTCACATCAACGTCCTGTAGATCTTCTCTCTACCTTTACATTAATTGCCATTTGTATGATTTTAACCTGCACAAATAAACAAAACACTACTAATAAGTTCCCCTGTAATATAATGTGATTTAAGGGTTTAATTATTCAAAGGAAAGTCCAGAAATGTTTGTATTAACCCCTTAACGTTTAGATTTCTCCCCTTTTTGTTTCCACTTAAGAAGATTTGAGGTAAAAACATTCAACCAAGACTCATTTATGATTCTGCAGACAGGGTTGCATATTGTTTTTCTTACTGATACTGTGATATTCTTAAAACTCCAGTGTGTAAAAAATCCCCAAAACATCTGCAATAATAGATATTTACTTTGGAAATTATGTCTTTATTCAAATCTTTTGTTAACATTAAACATACATACATACTCAGGTTTAGTGTTGAGTTATATGAACACGGTTATGGTTGTAATTCCTTTCCTACATATTGAAATAAGAAGAAAATGACAGAAAATGACCTGGTAACCCAAAAACAAGCCTTTTTTTTTTTTTTTTTTTTAGGAAATTACAATAAAAAAGAAGTAATATTTTGTAGTTTTGTGTTTAATTTTGGTGTAATTTCAGCAGTTACATGACATTAATTAATAATCCTCCACCTCCCGGGTGTCGTATACACATGCAGAACTCTTAATAAGAACTACACTTAAAAACAATTTCACAAAAAAACAAACCAGATGTTTTTTGATTTAATGTGAGAGGATGCATGCTGCCAACATGTGGAATGATCAGAAAACACGCTACAGATAAAAACATCTCGATATCTTCTACTCGTAGCTCATCTACGACACACATTACATCAACAATAAAATGTTCCTACTCTTCTTCCACGGCTATCTAGTAGTTAATATGTGATATTTTCCAGCACTCATTTAGAACTGAGATCATGTTAATGTCTTTCTGTTGTAAACACGTGACACACATTAATAAGAACAGGGTTTTTTTTGTGAACAGCACTACAGTGATTTTACTTCAAGAGTTAACTATAATGAGAAAATGAGAACTTTTTACCAGCCGGCAGAGGAAGAGATGGAGGTTTAAACTGAGGTTTCTCATACAGGGCTCGTCCTGCAGAGTCGGATCTACATGCAGTCTGAGAGGGAACCTGAACTCATCACAGTCACACAGTAACACAACATCAATGTTTTCTGAAACGTCACTTTTTCACCACATTAAAAGGTTTTCATTAGATTTTTTTCCCCCCCTTTGCTGGTTTTTAAATTGACAACAGAATAAAAAATAAATCAAAATGTTTCTCTGGATGTTAAATGACTTGAAATCATCAAAGAGATCTATGAGATGGAAAGACTAGTTTATACTTCGCAAGGTGGACGAAATGGATCGTTTATTCTTTGGATTTTGCCTTTAAATGTAGTTTTTATTTCTGTTATGTTTTATCCTTCATGGGTTGAGATTCAGGTGTCTTTGTTACTAACATATTAATGTTACTAACTAAACTTCCTCAAACTGTTGCCCAAAACAGCTCTGTGATGAGCAAATCATTGGATCTTCCCATTGATTTTAACTGGAAAACACACTCATATCATTCTGATATTTAAAGGAAATGTTGCATTTACATTTGTTTTTTTTTTACGGGGCTCTTTTTTTGTTTGTTTTTATTTAAAATATTAAAATAAACAGGTGAAAGAAATCCATAAGAAACCAATCCAGGATTATAAATATAACATTTCTTTTACAAATTGTTTTTCAAAAATATTTACAGACTGTGTTTATGTGATATTGGTCCAATATTTTAGCTGAATATTCATAAAAAGCTTCCTCAAATCTGTCAGTAATTGGTTTATAATTTTGGAATACACCTCCATGATATTCCAGAAATGCAATGATCAATAATAAAACTATAATCTGATACAATACGCTGCATTATTTACTGTTTGATTGCGGTACATGTGATAGGTGGCTGCGATCAGATGATATTAAAAAGATATGACTGCGAATATTGAGCAGATTTTGGTATTTAAGTATGAAAAGTGTGGCCTGTGTACAAACTACTATTCTTAAAAAAAAAGCATCGGTCAAATCAATGCGTTTATAAAAATCTATCAATAACTGATTGATTGTGTTGATGGTCTATGGGGAACCCTTAAAGGGGAAACACTCAGTATTTGCTTTTCTAGCTCAGGCTAGCTGTTTCCCCCTGTTTCCAGTCTTTAAGCTAAGCTAACTGTATTGTAACTTTGTATTTTTCATGTACAGATATGAGAGTGATATAAATCTTTCCATTTAATAATTTTAATAAGCGTATTTCCCATTATCTAACTATTCCTTTGACCTGAATTAATCATCCAGAGAACATTTGTATTAGTACGATCATTGAAAAGTTGAGACAGAATATTTGAGACTCTCACCGGGGTTGAACACAACATAAACTGGAGATCTGTGTGCACTGAGACTTTTTCAGAGCTTAGATGTTTAGATTCACCTCCCACCTTTCCAAGGGCCTTGAAAAGTTCAAGTTTCTTTACTTTCCCAGACTTGAGGGATGAGTCTCACAGTCCCGGGTCGGAGCTCATCTGATGGCCAGGATGGCGTCGTAGGACTTGCCGGTTCGGCACACCTGAACGTTGCTGAAGCCGGACTCCTTCAGCATGTGGGTGTACTCGGACGGCGGGCGCTCCCGGCCCTCCATTTGCACCAGCATGTTGAGGGAGAAGATCTGAGCCATGACGGGCCCTCGTCTGTTCTCAAACAGCATGGCCTCCACCAGCAGGACGCCGCCCCCTGCGAGGACCAACAACATACTGAGCTCAGACAGTCGTCAATGTGTCAGTGTTTATCGACAGACAAGTGTCCATTTGTCACATCGCCACCGGAACCAAAGCTTGATGTCCACAATCTTTAGAGTCTCTTCTATCCTGCAGGTACGTAACATATTCTCTCCAGTGGACGGTGACACACCATTTAAACCAGAGTTGTCTTCAGGAGGACACAAAAACATCTGTGGTTCTTAAACCTTTAAAATGTTTTTCTGCTTTTATCTACATTTATATTAATCTATTATAGTAATAATGGTATAGGCCGAAACCCTAATTACAACTTATTTCAGTTTCTTTGATGATAAACAGTTTACATTCCCATTTGTAGGTAAGAAAAAAAGCATGTTTTGGGAGAATATTCACTGTAAACGAATAATACGCAGAGGAAGCAGAAGGACCTTTTCATGCCCCTTGGTTTGGGTTAAGGACACTCGTTGGGAATTATTATTACTATTGTACTATATTCTGAAATATTTTGTACCTGCATGATAGAACAGTCTTCGAGTTAAAATCAACAACCTGCTGTGTTTCTCAGGATTTCTATATAACCTTCACTCATATATTCATATATGAGTGAAGGTATATATATTATAAACAAAGGATATCTGACAGTATTTTAACTTATTTAACTACTTGAAAAAGAAGGTGTAATTTCTAAACCATAGATTAGTTTTGAGTTTTCTTGGCCTTCCTTGAGAGGTTTTGACTGAATTTTAATAGTTATACTTACATATGAACAACATGGTAGATAACCAAGTGGTGCATTTGAATTTTATTTGCACAAAACATTAAATCCTAAATTCAGGCTGGATGAAACTCAGCGTACAATCCTGTACAGGTCAGGTGGAAATATGGCCACACTTATACAGTGATTCAGCACACACACACACACACACACACACACACACACACACACACACACACACTGTTAAACTCACCTGGTTTGCAGGTGTCGTAGATCTTCTTCAGCAGCGTCAGGCACTTCTCTTCAGGCCAGTCATGAATGATCCGGGCGAGAACGTACAGGTCAGCAGGAGGGATTTCACCACTGAAGAAGTCTCCTGCGTATACAACAGAAAGTACGCGACCACTCGACACGATGAGTTATAACATTCAAACATTTATTTTTGACCATTAAAGATATTTCCAACAATATACAATCTGGCCTTTTGGTTTACGTCGTCAGCAGTAAAATGCGTCTGAATGAGGCTCACCGGTTTGAAATACAACAGCCTCGTTCTCCTGACAGAAATGTTTCTGAGCCGTTTCTACGACCTGCGGGAGGTCAAACACCGTGACACAGGAGGAAGGATACGCCTTTGCCATCTCACGGGCCAGAGCACCGGTGCATCCTGGGAGTAATTCAGACAGAATGAGGTCAGTGTGTGAACAACAGGAATCCACTGAGCTGAAATAACACGGGGGGGGAACGTTTTATCAGAGTTTGAGAAAAATTTAATATTCCTTTATTGATGGATCATAATTTATTCTCATTCATATTATTTATTTTATATATTTTTCACAACTTCCATGTGGTAAAAATGCCAAAAAAGGTATCTTTTTGGACACGGAATAATACAAACACAGATTGTTAGCTATGAATAACTAAATGAATATTCATAAAAATAACTAGGTACTCTTGTAAAGGAGTTTGACCTCTTACCTCCGAGATCCACTATGTTCTGGAAGCAGGAGAGGTTGAACGCGGTCACAATGTCGTGTCCGTCGAGAACCCACGAGGAGTTCATCAGACCCATGAATTTCAGCATCTCCTCCTCTGACCTGGGCAGAAAATAATACCACACAACCATAAAGCAGGAAGGTTTCAGCACTACGGAGTGATGAAAGTTAGATTTAAAGAAACACCTGAAGCAACAGAATCCACACCGACCTGTAAATAGCTTGGAAAATATCCTCCGCTGGAATACCGAAAGTCTTTTCATTCTGATTCTTCCCCTCCCTGCGTGGTAGAAAACGACAAACAGTTTGTACTCATACTGAAACGCAGTGTTTGTTCTTAGTTTCCTGCTGTGAAGTTTTAGTTCTGCAAACATTTCTCAGAGGCACAGAAGCTCTGGAGGCTATTAGCCAACCTTTCTGTGTTTGTACTGCACTTTCTGCCTCTCACTGCTTCAGTCTAACGTTAATCAACCTGCTCTGTGGAACCGATTGGTCCGTCTCGCTGTCAAACAACACATCCATGGCCCTTATGAACAAAATGAACTATCAGACTCGGTTGTAACCTCTCTCTGTGTGTGGGTTGTTAAAGCGATCCAAGCAACTGAAATGAGTTATTTATCGGTTATGATGCAAACTATTTACACTCTAGGTGTTGAGCCTCGACTCCTATGAAGTCAGAAAAACTACTGACAGGGTTCGATTCTAGTAAGATTTGAGTAAAAGTAAAAGTTGATAGGGATGCAGGGATGCACGATATGGATTCTTTTCTGCCGATACCAATAACCAATAATTATCTGCATCTCATGGCGGATAAGAGTTGAACAGTGCTGTTGAAGATACCATTTACTTACTGGAATAAGTTGAACTACAGCAAAGCAACTGTAGGGAGAAATCTAGTTTGGTTAACTTGGAAAAAGTAGTTCAATTTACTTCGTAAACTGACAGTGTTTGTGATACGACATTATAATACAATATAATACAAAAAGCTGACATGGCAGTAGGAAATGGCACTTTGTCCGCAGGTCAACATCAAATCCACTATACATGGGAAAGTGCAAACTTTTTGTCTGTGGTTTGTTCCTCAGGCTGAGATTCAGGAGGTTTTATGTCGCTGTCTGAGCACCGAGCAACGCAGTGCTTTTGTACATGCACCACACAAAGGTCAAGTGTGTGTTGGTGGCTGCCTGACCGACGCTTTTCTTTTGTGGCCCAAACTGTGAAATATAAAACAAAATAACTATCTTTCTGTTCTAACCAAGAATAACAGACATCACTGTTGTTTACACGAAAACAAACAACAGTTCTGACTCTTCAAATCTGTATCTGTATCTGTATATAATCCATCATGAATCTTGAATGCAACACTGAATAAATCTTGTGTGATACATCCGCAGTTAAAGCTGATAACACAAACCTGATGGCGTCCACCATGTTGTTCCACAGCGGGTAGACGGTCTGGGATTGGTATATGATCATGTCGTGAAGAGACTTGCCGCTGCCTTTGGCCAGGTAGAGATTCGCCACGTCAGTGCTGCTGTACAGAGCTGTTCAACAGAAACACATTCACACTCAACTTTAAATCAGTGTGTCGACAGCAGTCAGGCACGCAGACGCACTCAAAGAGGATTTAATGTTGTTCTTTGTTATATCTGATTATGATGAACTAAATCTCTTTTGGTTTTGGCGGAAAAGAATTGCATTAAAATGTTACAGTATGTTATCAGAAGGTCACAAACAGTAAGCAAACATGGCTGCTGTTTATCTGAGTTCAGTAGTTTCCTAAACCTTATTCCTGAACAATAAAGAGAGCTCCTTCCTCGCAGCATTACCACACGACGATGGCATAAACAATAAAGGAAGCGTACAAATGTCTCGCTTTGATGGATCACGTATCTCAGGCGAGACTCTAAAAGCTGATTTTCACTGCTTCTTAAATCTAAACCCACTGAAAGAAAGAGATAAAACATTTTCATTTAACAGGCAATTACACACAAACAGGCAAACTGATGGTACAGGGAGGGGTTGATGGATTATTAAAAAGCGATGAAGTATCTAAGAAAGATAAACTCACAGCGGTAGAAGAAACACCAGATAAACAGACTTTTCCCAACCTGGAAACCCAGAGGTTATTAATGGCTGATAACTGACCTATAAAGCATTAGTAATAGATAAATTCATCATTAATAAAGCCGTTAGTTGCAGCTTATAAACCCTTAATAAATGGTACCTTACTAGAAAGTGGTATCTCCTTTAGTCTCTCTAAACAGATAAACAGAAAACAGTTAAAATTAGGTGGACTGTTTCTCATGGTTTCAATATCTGGTGGTAGGTGTCCACATACTTTTGGCCACATGTAGTATGATACAAAGCTAACGCATTAACCAATTCTATCTGCTCCTCCTCCTCCTCCTCCTCACCTGTCCCGTCCTTGGTCTCCACCTCCAGGATCTCGATGCCCACCAGTGCGTCCAGCAGCCTCTCCATCCCGTCCACACTGGTGCTCAGCTCCTGGGCCACATGCTGGGCGCTCAGGGGCTCCTGGGACTTCAGCAGGAGGTCAAACACTCCCAGCTCACAGGCTGAAAAGATCACCTGGAAGGGAGGAAGAAACCGCCACGTCTACAACCTCGGTACTGGAAGATCAAACTGAAATATCTCAACAACTATCAGACGGATTGTCATTAAACTTTGTGCACACATTCATGTTCCTCTCAAGTCTTTTCCATCTAGCGCCACCATCAGGTCGTCACGTGATAGAAGATCACGGGATATGGTCAAAAGCTCCAGAACAGCTACTGGATGGATGTCTTTCATATCATTGCAGACACACAAAACAAGAAGTTTGGAGAGTTTGAATCTGGGAAAGTATGAAAGCAAATGAATAGGAAACTATTGTGATAACTGCTTTTTAATGTTAGATATTTTTGTATTAATTAATACCAAAAATATCCCGGTTTGAGCTTGTCAGTGGAGACTTTTTCACATCATACTACAATAAATATCATTAGGTCCAATAAAAACAGTGTAACTGAAGAGTGTCACTAATATTCTTATGTAAGGTTGTAAGAATGTATCGATGTTGTATTGATTCTCAAAAACACTGTATTGATTGTCGTTAGATAGCAGAGTTTAAAGGGACAAATGCAGATCAGAACTTGTTTTTATTTAGATTTTATACATATAGTATCATGTTCTTTATACTGTGACAACTTTTATTATCACAATATATCGTAATCGTAACCTCTGTATCGTTTCACGTATCGTATCGCCAGATTCTCCCCAAAACAAAGCCATGATTCCTAAACTGGATGTTGTATTATGTGTCTGTTATCTTGGCAAAGTCTCCCTCAAAACAGAGATTATTGATCTCAAGGGACTCAAAGGATTTAATAAAAATATATAACTAAAATTAAATGAATATGTAAACGTCAACTTGGGCTTTGGGAACATTTTACAGACTGAACCAGTAATAGATTAACTGAGAAAATAATCAGTAGTTGCAGTTTATTCTGATTTTATTCATACAGTATCATGTTCTTTATACTATACTATAAGTTTAATTAACTTGGATTTAAAAAGAAAAATCACAATATATCCCAATATATCGAATAGCCCCCCTATATCATGACACATGTTGTATCTTCAGATTCCTGCTAATACAAGGCCCCGATTCCTAAACAGGAATCTGTTTTTCATTAAGCTTTATTTCATAATTGTGTAACCTTGTACTGGTGTGCTATCTCCCTAGAAACAGTATTTTAATCTCAAAGGACTTCTTTATTGAATAAAGGTTCAAACTTGGGCTTTTGGGAACATTTTATAGACCAAACAACTACTGTTTGCATCCCTGCAGCAGATCAATCAGTAATAAACACCATCAGTAGCAACCCCAGATACATCACTGCAGACTGCACACTTCTATAGTCTATAATGTTCATTAAAAGAGGTAAAGATAAATCAGCTGTGTTACCTTGGAGACCCTGAAGCCGTTGAAATACTCCAGAAGTTTGAATGGGTAGTCCAGCTCACTCTGGGACAGATGCTCTGCCATGTCTGTCCTCCTGATGGAGACACGGATCAAACACAGCCCTGAATCACTCAAAGGAATTCAGATAACTTTATGGAGCGTTTAGCTTCTGATCGTGTCTTCAGGAGCATCACTCACCCGATGTGTTGGCCTCTGAAAGCCCCCCAAGATAATCCGATCAGTGGAGGAAAGGGAGGATTTATAGGTGGGGAGTTTTTAGCCCAAAAAAAACAAACACCAAAAAAAAAAGCCAAGATGTCGGTGGTGCGTTCAGGAGCTGCTGTTCGGGATGAACTGGGACTGAGATGGTCGACGGATCCTCAGCGGGTGAAACGCATCTCCTCTCCGGATCCTGAAGTGATCTGAGGAGCGCAGCTGTGATGGACGATGAGCAACAACGGAGAGACTAGTTTCACTTAAACACACACACACACACACACACACACACACACACACACACACACACACACAGCTCTCAGCGTGCAGTTCCGGGATCATCCGCAGCAGCAACGGGGGCGCTGTGGAGCTGCTGAGCATTAAAACTCACACACCAATGAGCATGAATGTAATCAGTGCTGGAGAGTAACTGAGTACATTTACTCAAGGTCTGTACTCGGATACAGTTTTAAAGGTACTTTACAGGAGTATTTGCATTGTATGTTACTTTTATATTTCAGGGAGAAATATTGTGTTTATCAGTTTAGGTTACATTACAGATAATCAATACAAAATATAATCAATAAATAAATCATGATAGGTTAAGATAAAACTTTATTGATCAGGTGGGGTGGAGATGCACAAGCTACCCTGTGGTATATAAAGTAAAAGTAGCTCCATCTGTAGCAGCTGCAAAATTAAACTGATGAACACATTAACAGATCAATAATCAATAATCATAATGAAATGGGCCACTCTGCATTATGAGTGCGAGTTACTTTATATTGTGATGCTAATTCTTTTGTACTTTTACTTTAAATTCAGAACTCTTACTTATAACAGTAACCGAGTATTTTAACAGTTTTATTACTTAAATAAATTATCTGAATACTTCTGGTTGTTATCTGTAATGTCTGTCAGTGATTTAAGGAGATATTATTATTATTATTATTATTATTATTATTATTATTATTAGTATTAGTGGTAGTACTAAATAAATAAATAAGTAAACAAAACAAATGATGAAAATAAATGTAAGACTTTCTGTATTTACTTATTTGTCTATTTGTTACAAACGTACCTATTTAATAAAAACTAATCACCCTATTTAGTTGCATTTTATTCCTCGTTAATTTCTGCATCTATTGTCTCATTTCTCATTAAATTATTTGTCTCTGCAAATTATTCCCCAATATATTAATTTTATCCTCTGTATTTGTTTTCATATTTATTTATTTATTCCCACTTTTTGCACTATTAATATAAATACTGTGTACGTCCCTGTTATATACAGTTAAATATAAAGGTCCCTATTTATCTTTTCACATTAAATTACTTCTGTATTTTTATTTTAACCTTAACTCCAAATTTATTTCCTAATTTATTTCCAAATATTTTATTTCTGCATTATTTATGCCCTATAAATAAAAATTATTTACTATACCACATACATGTTGTTTATACAATGTTATTTACCGTATATATTTAGTTTTTTCACATTAATTTCTTCTTAAAGGTGTTTTATATATTACATATATATGTTTATATATGTTTATTTATACATACATTTAATATATATATATATATATATATATATATATATATAAATGTCCCCTTTGAGCACCTGTAACTAAATAGACTGCAATTAATTAAAAAAGCCCCATAATTCTTTACAGCTTATATTTTAATATAGTGAACAATTCAGCCCCTTAATCTCTTCTCTTCTTCTTGTGATCAGTTTTTGTTTTCTTTCATTTCCCAGTTTGCTTTTGAGCTCCTCAACATCTGGAGTTAATAACAGTTCGCCCAGAGGTTTTGCCATGAAGCCGTCTGCATGTTGAACATTTTGTTCCTGAGTTTCTTCACAAATTCACAGCCTCGATTCCACCAGATTATCTCACTATAACTGCGTTCAACTAACTGTTTTATGGTGAGTTAGAACCTGATGTACAGATTTATTATTAAAATCATGAACTATTGTTGAAATGTGGAGTTAATTTTAACTTGTAAACACACTCATACCTCCTCAAATATTAAACCCATTACATTCCTGTCTGTATTTGTTCTGTCCTTGTAGGTAAACAGTCCCAAAGCACAGGAGGCACTTCCCATTAAACGTTCTAATGAACAATAAAAACCATGTTCCTGGTAGAGATCCAATCACGCCGTCTTTTAAAAAGCAAATAAAAATTCCAGACGTCTTCAATTATTAACCAAATCGATTTATTATGCATGAACAAATCCCTTCCTGCCTCTGTCACGCAGACACGCACACACACACACCCAACATTTAAATACATGACGTGGTGGGAAATTCGGCATAGCTCACTTTTGTTGTTGCACATGCTTTTAATAAAATGATAGATATATTTACAGGATAAGCAACGTCTCAGAAAAAAAAATAAAAATAATAATAAATCGCAAGAACAGCTCCCGGTCCCGCCCTGCAGCACTTTCGCAACACTCCTTTTTTTTGTAGGTTTTTTTTTTTTGTTGGGAAGTTTACCAACGTTTAAAAAGAAGTTCAGAACTGAAAGAACAGAAAATAAACACAAACCATGGTGGGGGGTGGGGGTGTGTTTTGGCCAGTACGACATAGCATTATACATATATGGAGTTCATCAACTACATAAATATGGCAGTAACACTGAGTAATTCATACGGTCTATTTACAGAGTTTGTGAAGTGGGGAAATATTACAGTCTGTGCGTGGACGACTGACAGAACGTATGCCTTCTTTAAAGTCTGGGGGACCGAGTCTAGGAACAAAAAAAAAAAAAAAAAAAAAAACAACCGACACCTCCATCCCTCCACTCGCCTCCTCTGTTAGAACGGTCAGGACTGACACAACGAACAAAATAAGGCACAATTAATACTTGGACCATTTTTCAGGGGAAACTACAGACTTGCAGCTGGCTTGTGAGGCATGTAAACAATTGAGTCGATTGATTAGGACTGCCTTCTCACCTTCCCTTTGTATTCCCGATCAGTGATTCAGTCCGTCTGATGTGATTCAAAACAAGATTCATATGGCAGGGACCTTTAACCCCCAAAAAAAAAACCCCAGTCGAAGAAAACAAATAAAAAATAAAAAACAATAACCTTCCCTCCCTCCCTCTATGCTACTCAACAAATACAATCACATGGTGACAAACAAAGAAAACTAGTAGTGCATACACTACAAAACACAACAGGAAAATGCGACGCCCCGCCAATTTCCACAGGGGGGGGCTGGTTAGGCCACAGCGCTGCCCTCTCGACAAGGTGTGTGTGTGTGTGGGGTGGGGGGGAAATGATTTGAACAAAAGAACAACGATTGATTGATGAGCTGTCCCGAAGCTGAAGCAGTTTCAGTTGCGATGTGACTGAACCAGAGATAAAAAAAGAAAAGTGATAAATCTGTTTCCCCATCCCGATCCACTGATCATCCTCGACCAACGCGTTTCCTCCGACTACCTCTGACCAACCTCCACCCAGCGCTCGGCGGCGACCACGATCACCACGTGTGTTTTCCCCCCTCTGGAGAAATGACTAAAATATTTTATGGGGTTTTTTTTTTATTTTGTTTCAAATACACCTAAATGGCACAACCTCCTCTCTCCCCCCTCGCCTTCCCCAGACATTGTTCTCCGTCGTCATAGAAGCCCCCTCGTCGAAGGTTTTCCCATCGCTCTTGTTGGTGGTGATCTTCGCAGGATGAAGAGGGAGGGAGGGAGGGAGGGAGGGAGGTCTGGGCGTTGAGACTTGAGTCCTGCCCTTCCAGAACAGCTGCGGCACCGGAACCGATTCAGGAGGTGAAGGGTTTTGGGGAGCAAAGGGGGAGGAGGTGGGTGGGGCAAGGAGAAAGAAGTGGCAGGTAGGCTGATGGGGGGCAGGAGGAGGAGGAGGTGGTCTGGGAGGGGGGGCTGGGGGCGGTCTGTCGCAGCTGTTTGGGGCTCCTGGCTTTGGTCGGTGTGATGGAACCGCTCAGTCGTGTTTCAGGTGGTCTTTGATGTCCTCCTCGTCCGTGTACTCCGACGGCTCGTCTCCGGGCTTCAGCAACCTCCCGACGTAATCGTATTTTTCTGGAAGATGAATATGATATATGATTATAGATCGATAAAAACGTTGAGATAAACAGAGCGAGGCTTCAGTAGGAGCAACCTTAGAGATGGAAGTCCAAAACTTATTCAGTTCACAAATAAAACACAGGAAATAATCTCGTTTGAGAAGCTGGGAAAAGATGATTGTTTCAGATCGACTTGATAATAATGATAATAAAAGGTGAATAACTATATTCAATAAGGAAAATTCCAGACGACCCAACAGGAAAAACAAAAAAAAAAAAAAAAAAGGAAAAAAAGGATTTAAAAATTAAATATAATTTTTTTTTTTTTTTTTTTTTATTGGATTTAATTTTTTTTTTGTGATCAGTTATTTCCATGTTTTAATGGATGAATTAATTGAACTATTGAATGTCAGATATTAGTTAGAAATGCCTATAACAACGTTGGAGCTGCAACGATTAGTCAATTAATAGATTGACTATTTTTAGTAAAGTAAACCCCAAAAGTCCCAATTTTAACGTGTCTTTCCTTTTTCTTTTTAGTAAATTCTATATTTTGGGGTTTTGAACTGTTGATTGGAAAACAAAAGGACAATTAATCTAGAAAATAATCGTTAATTTGAACTTTTTGTGTCCGACAAACACCAGATATATTCAGTTCACAGTGATATGAAAACAGAAAAAAAAGCAGAAAATATTCAGCATCTCTGCTTATAGAACAATTCAAACAATTAGTCCTCCGTTTCCTTTAATTGACCGATCTATTAATTGACTACATCCTTTCCTCGCCAATCCGAAACGAGTATATTTGCCCTGAAAGTAGTCGTGGACATCAGGCAGACGCTCTCAGAGTGTGGTAAACAACATGCTGTGAGTAATTTACTGACATCTTCTTACACGACTTAATCAGTCACCATTTGGAGTCGCCAACTTCCAAAGCTGCCCGGTCCAGCTTTCAGTGTGTTATTTGTACCGCGAGTGTCCAGAGACTTGTTATTTAAGTAAGCAGAGGCCCTGACATTACGTAGAGGCCTAAATTAGACACCCAGGATTCAAAAAAGGAGGCAGGATTTTTAAGGTAAGGTTTTAAAATGATAGAGTAAAATAGGATCTAAAACTGTGTTACAGTTACACTTTCAGTACAGAAACATTTGACACACTGACACATAAAAATATCAGAAAGAGGCCTGTTTCCTTCCACTTAGTATTTCCTGTTCCTGTTTGTCAGCAGATGTGGGGGCAGTCATGGTGGTTTTAGGGAGAGTTTATTGTCCCAACTTCACACAACTTTCAGAGCCTAAATGACGAGTCGATTAATCAAATCAGCTGATCTATTGGATGGAGCTTTAATGCCAGAAACTGACTGGTTTCAGCCTGTTCGTATGTGAATACTGAAAAATAAAGAAAACATTCCCATCACAAATTCCTCAACCTTCAACGTCATCTTTAAAAATAGCTTGTTTGAGCAATTTATTCCAACCCGACTCCGTTAGCCAACACATGAAAACAGAGAAAGCTGCATCGAGAGAATGTTTGGTATTTCTGAATGACTAACGTCTCCCTAAGTTCCCCTCCACCCGAGGGGATGTTTGATCCTCGCTGTGCAGAGATTGACTCTAGAAGGACGTTTTCACATTCATCTGCTGAAAGTGGAAAGTTTCTCTGAGCTCATTTAAAATCTGATTTTTAAGCGACGGGGGCATACGAGCGTGATTCAAAGTCAATCTTGGTCCAGTGTGAAACTTCTACAGTGAGATCCACCAGTGCACAGACACTGAGGATGGACTTTACAGTGAAGGAGGAGACATCTTCAGCAGGAAAACTTTAGAAATGAACATTTGTGTATTCATAGATTCTGGGATTTTATAATAATTATTATTATTTATTACAGTAGATTACTTTTTTAATGATTTTAATGTGGAAATTAAACCTTTTTTTTGCAGACACGCATTATTGTTCCATGCAAACTATTTGTATATATGTCTGAATACAGGTCTGGAGGTAATCTTTGAGTAAAAATTGCACGTTTTGTTACAAAAATCAGACTTTTCTTTAATAAATATACAGTATATATGTGAAATATTGCAGAGTTTTACCACTTCAGTCTTGTGTGTCGAACAGGAAAACTTTAGGAACAAACTACATTTGTATATTTATAGATTCTGAAAGAGTTAGGGTTAGACTTTTTAAGGACTTTAATGTGGAAATTGTAATTTTTTTGCAGAGACTGAAGGATGTTATCTTGGGCTTTATAAAATTGTGATTTCTCACTATTTCTATTACATTTTATCCACATTATGGTATCAATCTGCCAGTTATTGTCTTAATTAATTGTCAGAAAATGCTGATCATCAGATTACTCTGACCAGCAGTCAGAAATATGCTCACTTTAAAACGATATAAAACAGCTGGTTGGTGTTTTTTTGCATTAAAAAAAGACTTTTAGATTTAGATTTACTTCCAGTAGTTGCTGAATCACTTTACGTCAGCAGACTAATCTTTGGCCTGGTTGGACTAATCTTTGAGAATTTCTTACAAGCTAATTTTGTCAACGTTTCCCAGAGCTTTTTACATAATGTGTTAAGACGTTCCTCATTTAAATCTCTAACAGTATTGTACAGATTGTCCGAGAGTCGTCTGCAGTTTGCTCCAGAATTCTGACTTTTCCTCATTTTATGTGATTCTTTCTTTGTGTTTTAACCAGTTAGAATACTTATTTTTTACACTCTATCTTCCTATTGTGTGCAAACAAACAAACAAACAAACATTACAGTATAAAACATTCATTGAGTATTGAGCTGTTTCAGAGTGGTTCTGAATCTATCTGCAGTCTTACAATCGGTGCTCTCTACAAGCAGAGGCAGATTTCTTTCAGAGCATTGAGTGAAATATATTTCAGTGCAACAAGAACTGAAGGACAGTGTGTGAATCTTTTGTGTACTGGCTCGCAGCTTCAAATTCTCCTAATTTAATAACTAGAAATCACGTTGTTCCAACTGTAATACAACACACAGAAGCAGTAAAAGCTCTGCTGTGTGCTTGTGATCCTCGGTTTGACCTGACTAAGAGACGCTGTGGGACAGGGCGATAAACACGGCGGATGAGGCTGTGAAATCCGAGCCAAATCGATAAATCCGAGGCGCATTTTCTCTCGTGGAAAAAAACATTGGGGAAAGAAGCCTACCCATGAACTGCATCTCCCACTCCCTCACGCTCTCCATCTGTACAGCGTTGAGGTCTGACAAGTCGTCGTACTCGTCCCTCAGGGCGTCTTTCTCCAGGCAGAAGGTGGCCAGGCCTCTCGAAGCATCCCGACCCGCGAAAATGCCGTAAGGACCATCTGAGGAAGGAATAAAAACATATAAAGTCAAGATGAATAAGAGTTTAAAGCAGAGCAGTTTCTTACTTCTTCACCCACAGGTTAACAAACACTCTGACTTTACTGCTCTATAAATATACTTCTGTGTGAGCTGATCCAAGCTTGCTACTGACTTTTGAGGGATGAACCAGTCAGGAGCCAGTGGACACACAGTCAGTCGTCCAGTTGTCTGAAGCTTTCAAACTGATTTAATGAGAATAAAAGTGGTAAAAAATAAAAAAATAAACTGCACAGAAACAGTTCCAGTCAATACGGCGAGTTCACAGCGAGCCTTCTGGCGGTCAGCAAACTCAGACATGCTTTTTCTTTTCCTTAAAAAAAAAAACAGTGACTAAGCAGAAATACGGCGTTATTAGAGCCGGCGGACGGATTAATATTGGAAGTGATATTGTGATATGAAATGTGATATTGTCTGGGATTCAGCTAACCTCCAATGTGCCTTAAATAATGCATCAGAGCTGAATTAAAGCTGCGGTAAATAGTCCAACGGGCAATTAAATCAGCAACTATTGGGATGATTGAATATTAGTTTCAAACATTTGCTGGTTCCAGCTGCTCAGATGTGACGATTCATTGTTTCTGTCCTGTTTTAGTTTCCCTTTCTTCAGTCCAGTCTTGTGTCAATCAAACATACTGATCAGTAATAAAGTAGTAGTTTGAGTTTAATAACAACATTTCTGACAACAATAAATGCTTCTACCTTCAATGTAATGACGTCCACATTACTACTGATTGTTTCTTAACACAACCCGACCCAATAATTTGATTCGATTTGAGTTTAAAATATCCGATAACAATGTCGACCATTATAATTTGATGCAGTTTAATCTGCCTTTAGACATTATGCTTCAGCTAAAATATCATATTATTATCACTCAGAACAGCAATCAATAACCCGGAGTTGATCTGTATCAGGGGAGAGATTGAGTGAATATTGGTAATTAGGGATCAAACAGATATACTGTGATATTTGTTCCTCTCCAACATTGCCCGCCCACTTGTTGTTGTCCCATTGTGTAACTTCCACAAATGATAATCTAAATAAATATTTAACTTTAGATGTCTCCGTGACTTCCAGTGTTGTAACAGAACTGTCATTGTGTTGAAATGTTGTTTATTATCCTCTTGAACTCGCAGTCATCTGAGTTGGTGTGTGAATAGAAAAATGCTTTTTATATTTGTTGGAAAAACCAAAAGAAGTTCCAGTTATTTGATTAATATCCCATCAAAGGCGCTGGTGACATTCACCCTCTATAAGTGTTCTTTGTATTCTTCATCTTCCAGAAGAACATCATCTGACCAGCACGTGCAAAACTCTGCGAGCTCCTCCGAGTTTTCACCTTTTAACTGTGCAACAGAAAGAAAAAAAACTCTCCAGTCCGGTGTTTAAACTGCCGGCCATGAAGCAAAGGAGCCTTATCACCTCAAAGATTAGACGTGCTCCCACATTGCATAACTCTGAGAACAACAGATAATCTACAGCGAAATCCAACGTCTCAGCAAAAGTGACACTACAACATCACGCTGTTTTTATGTTTCCGTCTATTATTAGAATCACATTGTTCTTTTTAATGTCCTGAATCATGACTCACAACAAGAGAAGAAAACACTGAGGAAAGATTTGTGTTTGAGAAACTTTTGAGTGTGTCAGCTGGAAAATGAGTCTCCTCTAACAGCAGCGCAGCTACTTTTTATTTTCACTTTCTTATTAATATTTGTGTTCAAAATAACGGCAAAAGAGTTCCAGCTGCGTATCCCGTCAACAACAGTGAATAAACCAAACAACTATTCAACTCTTACCTTACAGAAGCTGAAGCCGAAGAAGTTTGATATTCTTTGATCACAACAGAATTTAATCGATTAACCAAACAAGCCATAAATAACTTTCCTGTCCACTGACATATGGATCGATCCCAGCAAGCTTCACAGTGACGAACACCGACGACACAATTAATAAGATATGGCCCAACCAACTCCAGCGAGGCTCAATAAGTGCCGGTACGCGATCCGGTGAGGTGGACAGAAGCAGCTACTTGGCTCGGTCCTGTCGGTGTGTAATAGCAGAGGAGACACCTGAGAGTGCCGGGAAAATGTGTTTGAATAATTATAGTTTATTACAAGACTTGATGAGTGAAGAGAGCCAAGGTGAGAGATAATGCTGAGCAACAGGGCCGGGCCTCTGCTTCTCACAAATAAAAACTAATAGGGCCGCACAATAAATCGAGATGTTATCGAAACCACGATGCAAGATGCAAAAAGATCACTGCAAACTGTTAATACAAGGTAAACATGTGTGACAAACAGGTGTATAATGATGCTGCAGAGATGCTCTGGTTTATAAATCTTGTTCTCCAGATGTAAAAGATTCACATCATCACGGTTTTAAACAGTTTTTGTCAGAGAAAAGTAAATTTGTGATGCAAAAAAATATAATATCTGTCACGATAAACACGTGAAGCAATGCTTCCAGGGACTGAAGAATGATTTATAAGAGTGAAGACGTGTGAAATATCTCCTCCCTGAGCTGCACTCGACTTTGCACATCTGGCCAGGTGCTACAAAACACACCTTTCCTGCACCTCCACATTCACACGTACAGCAACATGAACACCGTTTAGGATGAAAACACTGGTGCACGGTGAGTCTCCTCACTGTAAACAAGCTCCAGACACCCAGACAGTGTGTGTGTGTGTGTGTGTGTGTGTGTGTGTGTGTGTGTGTGTGTGCGCGTCAACAAGCTACCAGGCTAAACGCTAGCATGCTAGCAGGGTAAACACATCGCACCAACAACAACAACAACAACAACAAAAGTTTCACTTTTTTTTTTTTTTTTTTTTTAAATATTTTTTTCTTTCTTTAGTATAAATGCTCACCAAAGTTCAGACGCGTTCACAGACACCGCCACAACAACAGACACGACAACAGACGGCCGTGCTCGCTAGCTCCCGAGCTTAGCATCCCATTCAATAACACAGACAATAGCCGAGGAGCTAATGCTAACAGCTAAAAACCTACAAACGGTTTGCGCCCAAATTTCTGCTCAGGACAACTCACCCCGGGGGGGAGGCAGCGGGGGGGAACAGCTACCTCTCTCCCACCCCTGCTGTCAGTTAACACCCCCCCCTCTCCTCTCTCCCTCTCTCCCCCCCCCCCCACGGGCTGCCAACTCACCTTTCCCGTAAAACTTTCTGCCGCTCGTCACGTCGAAGATCTTCATGTTGACCGCCATCAGGATTCGCGGGTTCTGGAGCCCGTCGTACTCCCGCAGCTGCTCCAGAGAGAAGTCCCGTCTCCTCATCTTGGGAAGAGCCGAGGCCTCGTCGCCCTGGGCCGCGGCAGAGACGAGCCGCCTGCCCCACCGCCGGTACACCGCGAGACAGACCGCCGCCACCAGAACCAGAATACTGATATTCAGCAACATCCCGCCGAGGCCGAACCCGTCCGAGTCTTCCGCGGCCCCCTGCCCGCCGCTTGTGTCAACTGGTCCGCTCGAACTGTCTCCATCGTCCGCCATACTGCACGGTTAGCGCCTACCCGCCCCTGGCCAGATGCTGCGTTCAGGGGCCGTCGGGAAACAGCGGGAAACCACTAGTTGAGTGAGGGAGTGAGTGGTCCACGCTGTCACATTGTGCTCCTCTGGTGCAATGAGACAGAAAAAAATAAAACCTGTGCATCTTTGGTGGTAATTATAGAGGAGGGCTGCTGCAACTAATGATTACTTTAAGTAGCGATTGTTTTTTTTTCTGCTTCTTTCGATTAATCAATTATCAATTAGTCTGCAGTATGTCAGCAAATAGTGGAAAGAAACCACTAATCCCCGGATCAATAGTCCAAAATGCAAACATACTAACATCTTTCTTTTTTTACTATTTACTATCATATAAGTCTAAGAAACCTAGAAAATATTCACTTTTAAGAGAATTTTTCTAACTTAAAATGACTTAAAGAATGAATAAATCATCAAAACACTAATAACACTAATAATTTCAGCTGTTTAAATTGCCCTACATTTAAAACGTGTTTTTGACATTAAAATAATCAAATAACACCTCGAGAACTCTGTAAAATGGATATATTTCTATTTGCAGATAACACAACCAGCACTGATATTTATTGCTATAATTAGGGTTAGATTCTTGTTATTCTGATGTCAATTTAAGTTTAATTCAGTTTCCACAAGTTGTGCGGCTCACCAGGAATATTAAAGGGGAATTAAATATTGAATTTCTCTAAAAATAGGGGGACTTCTTTTTATTAAACTGTGCCTGTTCATTCGACTACATCCTTATAACTCCACGTCTTCTGTTTGTATCATGGATTTTACATCAGATTGGCCAACTGGATGAAAAAAAAAAGACATGACTGAAATTACATGCAACTGTAATCTTCCTGTTGTGACCTAAAGGTAAATAAAAATTGTTTAAGGTTTGGCTTCACTAACTAGAAACTGTAAGTACACAGAAGCACTTCCCATAAAAGATCCACTTCTCAAGAGTTGATGTTTACGAGGGACACGTGAAGGCAGCAGGACACCCGCCCACCTCTGTTAGAAGTTGAGACTCGACTGTTGATAGTTTTTGTCCCCTCATCGGGACCCGTAGCGTAACAAACAGCCCCCAACTCACTAATAAAACTAAAATAAACCAGAAGTTTAAATATTTAACTTTATTTCTTCAGACATTCACTGAAAGGTTGTTTGTTTGTTGTTGTTTTTGTTGTTGTTTCCTCTTCTGTTGGTGTCACAGTGGTATGAAATTATGATCCTGTGGGCAAAATAAAGCCTTTTTAAAAACAATAAATGCCATTTCAGACATTGTTTGGCGTTTGTTTTTAAAGCTAACACTCCTCTACCATTTGCCCTTTTTATTCAGATGTTATCTGTCTGCTGTTTGCACAATCTGTGTAAACACTTTTTCCTCCTAACTGCTCGTTTACTCTGCGAGATGATAACAGCTCAAATGCACTTTAGTGGGATTTAAGATTTACAGTCGACCGAGATCATCAGACAGTTTTCTAAATCTAAAGCGACTGTTGCTGGGAACAAAACAAAACCTGCTGATCAGGCTCGATGACTCGCCCTGAGGGACACCAGAGAAAGTTTCAGAAGAGTAGGACAGATAAAACACACACACACACAGAGTTCATACAATCAACTGTTATTTTATATTTTTTTGCATTTTACAATTCAAGACTCTGGCATTAACATGCATTGCTTTATCCTAAAAACACACTCAAAAAAAAACAAACCCCAAAACTACCGATAAAACAAAAATCACTTCTTAAAATCAAAAAAGAATAATTGAATAGCAAATGATTTTTTATAGTATTTACATTTTTTTTCTTTTAAAATTCAACTCTAAAAACCTCTTTTAAGTCCATTGATAACGTAAAAGGAAAGATTTAAGTGCTTCTGGAGCACTAAGCCTCAAAACATAATATGAAGTAAACCTTCAAGCTAAAATATACTGTAGTTTTTTTTATGATGCTAGCTCACACCCATAATTCCAGCAGAAACATTTCCTCTTTTTTTTAATATATATATCATATTCAATAGCAAAAAGCCATTAAAAACTGCAACGATTACCGAAGACTATTCCATCAAATCAAGTACATGGAAAAATAAAAACAAAAACAATAAATTATACTAACCTCTGGGTGTAAAATGGGACTTAAAGCTTCCCAGATAAAAATTTGTCATTATTATTTTTTTTTTAAATCGAAAACCGACATGATGAAGTTTAAGCTGTGAAGCCTTCGTGAGTCAGACTTTAAAAAAAAAAAAAAACATCAGGGCACATCTGTTAGGGAGCAGCTGCCTCGGGGTCAGTCCTTCACAAATTTATGACTGCAGCTGTCAACTTGATTGTCATGATAATAAAATAAAAAAAATACTGAGGATATTTATTTATGTCTCGAGAAAAGAAAAACCTGCAAGTGGTGTCAGTTTTTAAAAACACATTAAAAACCCCCAAAATAATCGATTGGGAAGACTTTAAAGAGCAGATCTCAGATCATCAGATTAAAAGGCACACAGGACTTGTCTGCAGTATCTCTTATCTTGGCAAACTACAATCACAGTTTAAAAAAAAAAAAAAACAAAAGGCTGAGAGAGCTCTTTACAGACCAGAGCTGTTTACAGATTGTGGAGATCAACAGGTTGTTGAGGAAGTTTTTTGGCATCCGAGAGAATAAAAAGGCAAAATGCAGGGAATGCATTTTTTTTTTTGTGTTTTTTCTTTGTAAACGTTACGAGCTGTCAGGCGCACAGATTCAAGCTCACTGCCAATGCTTGTTTTTGCTTTTAAAATGAAATGCACAGATAAAAACAGTCAAATTTAAGTCAACCACGCTCAGTCGCTCTTCATGCCCAAACAGTTTGCCGCTGAGAAGACTGAACGCTGAGCTCAGAGCTGCTTCCGCCGCCGTCGCCATCATCATCGCCGCCTCGCTCTACTCCTCTTCTATCCGAACCCACACCTACAGGAGGGGAGCTTCATTTACTTGGTGCAACGCTTTCCTTCTTCGCGGCTCCGGGCTCGGCCTTTTTCCTCGGGGCGGTGGCTGCTGCTGCTTTCTGGGCGTTGTCTTTGGGTGTGTTCTGAGCGGCGGCGGCAGCGGTGGTGGTGGCGGCGGCAGCGGGGTGAGCGGCGGCGTTAGAGGATTTGGAGGCCTGCGTGGGTTTTGAGGTAGAGTTGGAAGGATGTCGCCGACGCCTCCCTTCATCCCCGGCCGAGGATGAGTGACGTCTTCTCCTGCCTCCCTCCTCTCCCATCGGGGGCTGCGGACACAGAAGGTCAAGGTCATTACATGAAACAACAGATTTCCTCAGTCGACCAATCAATATATACATATCAATATATTATATATATATCTCAAGAACATTTCAGAGGGAAATACTGAACTTTTTACTCTACTACATTTATTTAATAAGTTACTTTTCAGATTCTGATGACATATTATAGATTATAGGATATATATTGATCGGAAATGAGCCATTCTGCATAATGAGTACTTCTACTATTGGTACTTTAAGTACAATTTGATGGTAACTGGAGCTGGACGTCGCCTCAGATAGTGGTAAAATGTGTTTTCTCTCTAGTTTAAAGGCTACATTTTATTTTGCAGTTCTTGAATAAATGTTATTTAATATAATATTTGTATTTATATAATCAAAAACTCCTCCGTCAGACACTCACCACCACCCTGAAGTCCTCCAGGTTCTTGAACTGGGAGAGGTGTTCCTGCAGCTTTGGGTCAATGGGCTGGTTCTTTATCTTAGAATATTTCAAGAAGGCCCAGAACTTCTCCAGTCCATACAGCTGACCTGGAGGAGAGGAAACAACAGCACAACTGATTCAGTGGAAACTCACAGTTCATTTAATGTCAGTTTACAACACAAGCTCTTGAAGGTTTAACCAAACTCGGGTAAACAGCAGCGTCTTCTCTGATTAGTTTGTATAACCAGAAGGTTTTCTGAGCCGTGTTGAATCACAGCTTTTTGGTTGATTGCGATGTTTTATTTTATAACACAACTGGCCCCTGTTGATGTTTACTATAAACTGCTGTAATCAGCATTATTTACAGTAGAAATACACCAACTTCTGAGTGTGTGGGGACATGCAATCAGGTAAAAATCTATTTTAATCCAATCTGTTCAATTAAAAACCAGTCCACAATCTCTGCTTTGTTCATTACTCCTTAAATAATAATGGCTCAGTAGTATTACTCTATAGTGAGCAGTAAATTGAGATTTCAGCCGTAGAGTCCAGCATGTTTTGAGTCAAACGCAGGGAGCGATATCTGTCACATCCTGTTTGTTCCTCTGACAGAGAAGTTTAGCTGACTGAAAGCTTGAGAAACTTGCCTCAGTCTATTTCTTATTTATCAGATAGAAACAATTTCCTTCACAAACAGTCGTATAAGCTGCGGTTTGGGGCAAAATTAAATTAATTTAATTTAACCACAGTCCCTAACTAACAGTTCAAATCAAGCAGAGATTTCCTGTTCTAGAAAGTTTAAGTGTTCAATGCATGTACAATTAACATCGCTGTGTCTGTATCACCCACAGCAACAAGAAATCTGATGCCGTATGCGTGTATGTCAGTTCCATTTTGTGTCTGGTAAACCTGCTGTATACACATCCAGCTATTAAATAGCTGATCTGACTAAAATACAAACATTTACCGGATATTTGGTCATTTTAATCAATTTCCAGGTGTTTCCACGACTGGAAAACTGCTCTTAATTTCCAGATCTTTTATTCCAGGACGCGTGGGAACCCTGCACATAATGGCTTGACCCATTTTGATTAGTGCTTCAATTATCATTGCTGCTTATGACTCATAAGTATAGTATCAGGGAGGTGACTGTGGCCAGACATTGGCTGCTTAGTGTTGTTTAGTCTGTGGATAACTTCAGTGTCACATCTCTCTGACAGATCAGCCTCTGGTGTAAGGGAGGGAGGGAGAGAGGGAGGGAGGGGAGCTGAATAGGAAACGTTTTACTGAACACCAAAATAACTCAGCTGGAAATAAGTGGCTGAAGCCTTTACTGGCAATCGTCCATTCTGCTTCACTGGGTCACCCACAGTGTTGAAATAGGTTGAGAGATCGCCTTTAATCCTCCCTTTCTTTTTTCCTCTTTTCACACAACTACACATTCAGCTTTAGAGGGGCGAGCCGCCGCAAAGAGAACTTTTAAGTCGGGTCAAGCTGCTTTACAGGGACGGATATTAGTGACACCTCTGATTCAGCAATTATAAGCTGCATATGAGCATTAATAAATGGTTTGTAGCACATTATAATGTAGTTTTAAAAACACACACAGTTTGTGTTAACAGGGGTGAGGGATTGCATCATTATCTGTATCTGTTCAACCAATAAATGATCTATATTAATAACCATGCTTGAAATGGGCGGGGCTTAAACATGAAGTGGGTGGGACAAACTGTAAGCTGTTAACTTTTGGCCTGATATTGATATGGGTCGATCAGAAGTTGCTTTTATTCATTAGAAAACTATTTACAACCTCAGAATCGAGCTTTAGAGCAATGTTTTTGACCACGAGAGCAAGATAACTATTCACAGATCGAGATATTGACACATTTTCCTCCGCCGTACTCGTACATTATCTGTACCGGATACTCATTAAAGCTGAGCACTCTCTCAACCTCAAACTATAACTCTTGTATGAAGCATCTGTAACTGTTACATAAACAGTAACCTCACAATGAGATTTAAACAGATTTATGTTGCTTTGTGTCCTTAACATTTGAAACCTTTAGTATTATAATAAATATTATGGGAAAACCCAGTTTCTTCGCATTCTGTAACAGTGGCCAGTTATGTGATTTTATTCTGGAAATCTTGGTAAACCAGTGAAAGTGGCAGGTAGTCAGTTTGTTCATTACCTTTCTCAAAGTCCCTGAGGGTCTCTTCTTGAAAGTCCTTGAACAGATCTAACCTGAATCTCTTCTCCAAACCGTAGCTGTAGTATCTGAAGAGACATTCCAGTCCGTACCTGCAGAGGGAAACAAATATTTACCTGCACTCCACCAGAAAAACAAGTAAATAAATAACATTCAGCTTTTTTAAAACCTGGCACAGGTACGTTTGCATAGACGGGACATTTACGTGACGTCATTGCATCACTGTAAACTGATATTTCCCCACATGTTCCTCCAGCTGCTTCACAACAATAAAACTCTCTCACGGATTATTAGTGACTTTAACGCAGCTGACAGAGGATCCAGTTTTCAGTAAAGTCAATAAAGTCAGCTGCTACATAAAAACCTGAGGGCGTTGTGGCATTGTCTGCCAACACACCCTGAAAGTACATTCACTCCAACTTCAACACACAGGCCTGAGCTGCCTACTTATTCAGACAAGAATGTGGGTTTGGCAGGTGTGTGAAGGCGCCTCTGGCAGACATACAACAATGTTAAAGCGAAGGGAGGCTCCCCCCTGTTAACCCTCTGCTGCTGTGGAATGACGGTCAAACGCTGCTGCTGTCTGCAGACACACACTCAGGGATCAGGAACCCACCAATTAGTCTGGTTTACACACAGAAGAATGTGTAAACTTTAGTTATAAAAGCCTTCCTGCACTTGTTAGGACGCATAAAAATACAACTTCTGAATTCGGAGAGTTAACTTGAAGTGAAGGATGACTAAGAGGGGTCTGGCTCCTCCTCGCTGCTTCCTTTACATAGTTTTGGAGATCTTGTTTAAATATACTGAGGTACTATATTGTGTTTGTTATTCCTGTGACTTCTGTTGGTAAATCAAACCACTCCTCTGGGACATTAAAGCTCGATTTTAATCTTTTTTTAAGGCCATCAAAGCTCACAGAGTAAGATAAAAATGGATGATAATCACAATAACAACACAGCTACTTCATAACGTTGTGTATACAATGTGTGTTTTAACCCAACAGCGGCAAAAGCTTTAATTTGTGTAAATATCTGTGTTGAAAAGTCATTTATCAAGAAACAATCAAGGAAAGATCTGCTGCTTTTCTCTGTTTGCATTATTGTAAACATTGAATATATCTTTGGATTTTGGATTATTGATCAGACAGAACAAACCATTTCAAGCTGTCTGGTATTGTAGTATGAAGCTGCACTGCACTCATAATGATAACTTAACATCTTAGCATAATTACAAGATCCGGATCTCATAAAAACATAATTACTGACATTTAAGAAGGCAGAAAACAACAACACCTACTTTAAAGGTTGTTTACTTGTTCATCTCCTGCTTTGTTTGACACCTTGGTAGAATTTGACATTTAACTAATGTAATGCTAGACGACAATAAAAATGGATGAATTAACTTCTTTTTTTTTTTTTTACAAAAGAGGTTCAGGACAAAACTTGCAGTTCAGTGTGATTGTCAGGTACGTTCAGGTATGTACACAACACACAACTCCCACAGACCTCTTCCACTGTTAAAGAGGAATAAAACGTACGTGTGCAATGTTGACTTGGAGCCAAGCTGTCGCCATAGTAACACAATCAAATTAAACTGTGTGTAGGTGTTTTGACTGATTACTTAATGCTAATGTAGCATCTGATGAGTTGTGTCCAAGTTCACGAAACTCAAAGAAAAATCTCCTTTCTTTCAGCAGTTGACAGCACGTTCATTACGCAACCGTTGGCATTAGCATCGACCTAAAACATCAGCTTCCTGCTTCATTGATTAGAGAAGCTACAGATTAATATCTTATAATTATGAGATCTTCTCTTTAGTTTATTAAAGCCAACAGCTGTTGCACGTCGTGAACTCGCCGCTCATCTCCCAGCGGAAACTACTGGGGCGGAGAACAGGGGGATCAGGGGGCGCTGGTGTAGCACACTCGCATGCACAAATATATCAGCAATCACCGATTGATGGACTGACGGTGGCCGATTGGAAAATTCAAAGTCACAATTACGAGAAAGCGATTAAATGCGTTTGCAATTTTTCCTCTGTACTCTTTAAACTCGTGGTGCTCAACGATTAATTGAGAGCCAACTGTCACATGCAGCTCAGCAGTAAACAGCATTATTAAGACGAAGCACTGTCAGCACGAAGTAAGGCAGACTTCAGAGCACATATAAAGAGGCTTTAGGATCTCAGGGTGTGGCTTCTGCGGAGAAAGTGACATGACTGAGGAAATTCATGTTTGCTGTTTGCTTGTCTCTTGGCTCCTTTCCATCACAAATTTGGTGGTGTGTACCTTTCTCAACAAATATTTAACATTTTCCGCCTGAGGCACAGAATAACATTCACACCGAGCTTTAGATATCATCTAATAGCCTCCTCACCTGTTGTTTTCTTTGGCGTCTTCCAGCGCACACTGTTTGAACTCCTCATACATCTTCCTGTTGAAGTTGTCCCTCAGGAAGAAGGACCAGAACCTGAACAGAGTGTTCATCTCCTGAGACTGGCCGATCCCCAACCGTTTCCTCTCTGAAAACACATCGATTCAGTCACCAGAGCACACAAGAACGTCTTCAGTATGAATGTGGTCATTGTGAACTCCAGTATAATCTACATAAATCTGAGATTAACCCTGCAAAAGGACGACTTCTTAAACAAAACAAATCAGCCATTTCTTGTTCCATTTATAATTTCTAAAACGTTGGATCGTGTGATGGTGAGAGTGAGGGATTTTTACCGTTAAGGCACCGTCGGCGGTACTTGTGGTATCCCTGCTGAGTGAAGCCGTTGTCCCTCAGCATCTCGTGGGATGGATGCCAGAATTTGGGCAGAGACTGGGGGGTGCATCCGTAACTTCCTGTCAGCGGGGCTCCCTCTGATGGGGAGGCGTTAGAGCTGCTGCAGGAGGATGAGAGAAGACATCTGAGTGGCGAGGCAGGAACTTAAAATTAACACATTTCCTTACATATCAATGCAGATTTTTATTTATCGTATCCATTAAGCCTGATCATGTTCCTATCAGTTGTGTATTTCACCCTGTAGTCTACACCAGCTGTCATGTTCTGCTGAAATAATTAATCAATTAGTCGACTGGTAGAAAATCTGCAACAATTTTCATGATCAAGTCATTGTTTGTTATTTATCAAGGAAAAAAAGACAAATATTTTCTGATTCAAGCTGCTTGAACGGGTGGATTTGTTGCTCTTATCTCTTTTATATCTTTGCAAATTGAATACTTTTAGTTTTCTGTACTGTTGGTCAAACAAAATGAAACATTTGACAATCATTAGGGATCTAAAGAAAATATTTTAAAAATCGCAATGTATCGCCTTGCTTACAGTGCTGCAACATAACATAATACTTATTGTATAAATATGGTAATAAAGCATTATTAAGTGGAGCTTGATAGAGAATTCAGTAAATGCAGCTCAAATGTTTTGGTCCTTATTTTTATAATGTTAATATAAATAATCTTACAGTTGCTATTGTACTACTGTACATGCGATTCACTTATCAAAATTGGACTGCTTTCACTGCGTGTGAATTGTGCAGCTGTGTTATGAAGGAAAATGTAGATATCAGGTTGTCTGTACTTGCAGAATGGCATATTAAATGACTCGGGGGGAAAATAACTGGATCAGGAGGATCTGTAAATGAATACCATTTGTGGCTATGTAAAGCACTTTCCCATAAAGGAGGTGCATATTGATAAAGAGAAGTGAATAAAGGTCACAAATGTCAAGCAGAACAAAGAGATAAGGGATGGAGAACTGAGGATGGGGTGAAAGAAGAAGATGACCGGTTTGTGTTCTTCTTTTGCTTTCCAGGTTTGTGACTGAAACATCAACTGAAGAACTGAGAACGAGCAGACAAACCTGATGGATGCAGAGCGCGGCCGGTGTTCACGGGAGTCCATCACCCAGCCGATGTGGGCTTCCTGAGGAGGGTTCGAACTGTGGCTGGTTTTCTTCTTCCTCGGCGTCTGGAAATCACAACAACAGATTTATGACATTTCATGTTACAAAGAGATGCTTTATAAGAGAGGACGCTCCGAGCTTTTAGCTATAGGATGATAACTGGCATAGTGGATTAAAGTGCTACTGATGGTTTGTTATCTAAAAGACTGTTTTCCAGGCAATTTAGTCTCTTACAAGCTCAGTGTTGACATCTAAAAAAATAAAATGAGGCCTTTAAACCCTCACTGAGTGTGCAAAAATATTTGCAAATGTTGTTTGACTCCCTGTGCCAATGAAACCATGTAAACACACACATGCAAAACAGGTAACAGATAGTCACTGTGAGTCTGTAGTTTAACCTGAAACATGTATACTTCCATTAACGCTCTGGTTTCAAAGGCTGCACAAACAAAAGCTGTAATATTGAAATTAGATAGCAGTGAAATGTCGTCACCAGATCAGTGGTAAAGGTAAAGGTAAAGTAAAGAGGCCAAATCATCCTGTAACTACTACTTAAATAGCAACTATTGAGGAAAGTTAACATAATTTTAATCATCTCACAACCCCCCCGAGATCTATACGTGTCTGGGAACCACTGTTACATTTATTATTTATTTGTATCACACTCGTGTCTCTACATGCTGTACTAACCTGGCCGTCGATGGTGCCACTCTCTTTCATGACGGGGTAGAAGCGAGGAGTCTTGTTGGGGTCCTGGCGTCCGGGGGTGCGAGGCGTTTTGGGTGTTCGGGGCTGGTGAGTGTGGGGTGACTCTGGGACCGTTGTGGGCAGAGAACGGGCCAATTCTGCTCCACTGTCCACTGTGAGCACACGTTGTTTAAAGATCATTATTATAAACTCTTATAGATGGTTTAGGATTACACGACATGCCACATGTATGCTCTTGTAGATAATATCTGTATTTTAAACGTTACAGATGAGCTGAAATTAAACTTTATTTAAGTAAAAGGCTGAAATTTGAACAATAGTACACTTTCTCAATGGACTGTAGCAACTGTTTGATATGCCAAAGCAGATACTGAGTGAATTATCCTGCTTATTTAAACTGAACTAAATAATCAAATGCACATTTTCTTATGGAAATAAGTCTGAACTGAACAAAATCCCACCAGAAAGTGACAGAACAAATGAAAATGTTTATGAGATTTCACAGAAGGTGTGGTTAAAATGCAGAAACAGGATGCTGCTCAGCTTGTTTTTGAAACCGCCTTAACAGCAGTTCCACAAACCCACCTGGCATCGGAGGAGGCGGGACTTCCTGGTTTGGGTCAACGGGCACTTTGGGGGTGAGAGTGTCAAACTCATCTTTACTGATCACGTTCAGCTTCTTGAAGTTCTCCACCTCCTGCTGGGGAACACAGGAACACACGTACAGTTATAAAAAAAGAAGGGTTTTATTGTTATTGTTCCACATGAGACACTGAAGCACCAAAACATATAAACCTTTAAAGATCTATGTACTGTAAAAGGAGAATAGATTAGATAAGAGAAGCCTAGTAACAGTTAAAGTTAGGTTTACATTGTCTAGTTTAATCAATTACTTATTTTTCATTGTAATTATTTCATCAGACTTTAGTAAACCTCTCTTTTAAAGCACTTTTGTCAACGTGTGATGTGTTGTTTTTTTAAATGATGACAATAATATTTAATAAAAAAAAACAATTAATCATGTAACTGATAAGTTCTCACCACTAATGATATATTTATAAATTAAATAAAGTGATTTAAAAAGATAAAATACTATGAAAACACTATTACTTGGTAATATTTTGTTTCAATATCAACCTGCTATGTAGTCAGGTTCCTGAACGTAGCACACACACATACATCAATGATTAGTTACGAGCTGAAGTGTGATAGTAAGATAGTAAGAGGAGGTAAAATGAACGGTTCAAAAACGCTGCAATCGTGGCTCCAAACAGGAAATAATGGGAAGAGACGTGCGGACCAGACGGTTTATAACACAATAAATAATCGTTTTATTATGAATAAACCGGCCTCCTGTGTGAAATGTTCCCAGCCTGCCTACGCTAATGTATTCAAATAATTCATTATGGAGAGCCTAATATTTTCTGAGGTGGTAAATGTAATTAAATTAAACTATTATTGATAGAAAAAACCTCAACTGTAAGACAATAAAATCCACATCAACAATCAAAGTATCCCTGCACTGGACTCAGATAGGAGACCGTGTAATGTTCCAGCCTCTCCGGCCGTCTGACGGGCTGTTTGAACTGATAACAGTACGACATGGTGGTAAAAATACTTGATATGCCAGCGGCTGCAGTCATGTACGCTTGTGTGACACACAGCAGATGTGCAGAGTACTTCGAACTTTACACGTCAGCGCCGCAGGAAAATCCAGGTGACCTTGGCGCGCGTGTGTGTGTGTGTGTGTGTGTGTGTGTTCAGGCGTGACAATTCCCACATGTGGCGACATTATTGACAACCTTTGAACCGAGAATGAGCCAAACACTATTAAAACTCACCGTCAACAGCGAAAATAAGAGGGATTCAACCTGTTTGTGTGACCACTTTAGCTTTTACACACTGTAGATGTTATTAGTGTGACTGGTATTCACTCACAGGCTGCCAGGTGTACAGTTTAAAAGCACTTTACTTCAATTGTTGTTGTTTTTCTACAACTTTATATATATTTATTTCAGAGGGACATGTTATATGTTTTATGTGTTCAAATCACGTTCTTCTAAAACTATACATTTACTTTTTAGAGTAAGATTTTACATGTAAAACAGCTGTTCAAATATCAGGCTTTAAGAAACACGTTTACTCAGAATTGTAATTTAATCCTATTTTCTATATAATTTCATGTTACTTTTTTACTTTCATTTATTTTAATCCTGAAGAACTTTGTAAACCTTGTGCTATAAATATAAAGCTACTATTATTATTATTAGAGTATTATTAGTTCATACTTTTTTTTAAATTTGAAATAGTCAATTTACTTGAAATTGAATTTCTGAGCCCAGAAGGTGTACATATCCTGCAGTATTAGTAGTATTAGTATTCCTACCTTTTGCTTTAGTAAAATTACTACAAACAAATCTCTGCTGATAGTCACACATACATGCAGTTAAAACTACTGATGAAGCAGAACATGTTCGTCTATCTATCTATCTGTTTATTGGCCAGAGTTTTAAGACCTCTGTGAGGCTGACAGGGTTGAGGTGGCAGAGTGTGACGGCCCCCGAGGTTCAACCTGCTGCTCAATTACTGTAACTGTTGTCTACCAAAGGTCAGGAAACACACGTCTCCTTCTCTCCTGCAGAGCTGAGTGGTAACGCAAGAGATTCTTGTTTTGAGGAGATTTTTGGTACCACATTTAACCCATCAATCAAACATTGGGGGAGAGACGTCTTCCTTCATCAGACTTTGTGTCTTTCATGATAGATACCGCCACTCATGCTTACTACTCAGACCTCCCTCTATTTGTTTTAGAGTGGAAAAGATTAGACGATTAATCTATCAAGCAAAAATACCAAACATTTTTAAGCTCCAGCTTCTAAATGATAAGGTTTACTGCTGTTCTTTACCTTATGTGATAATTCAGTTAAAATATTTGGGTTTTGGACTGTTGGTCAGACAAAGTAAGCTGTTAATAAGCTGTTGGAGACACAAAGAAGATAATCGTCATCGTTAGTTGAAAATATTGATGCTATTTTTGCTTCCACAACCTTAAAATAGTTTGTTCAAGTTATACATATGATTTAATATGTTTATTATTATCATTATTGTACGTTTATTCCAGTGAAAGAGCTCCCAGCCTGTGTGTGTTTCAGCTTTCATTAACCGGATATAGATTCACTCACTCGTGGTTACACAATAAAAGCAAGTGTGGAAAAAAATAAGCAGAAGTTTACCTTTATAAAAATATTCCACATTAGTACTTCAGGACACACATGGAAACCAGGTTGAAGGTGTTCACTTGCACCTTCTTGTGCACAAAAAACATCTTAATCTCAAGACTAAAATCTCTCTATTGAATAAATTAAATCAACGGGGGATGATTGCTCTCAGCTGTTTGCACAGTTAACTGCACAACGTTTCAACATTCACTTCACGCTTCCTCAAATAATGCAGCACTTTCACCTTGATCATGTTTTGTTACATTTTCTCCCCTCAGAAGTTAAAAAGGCTGATGAAGGAGACCCAAGACTTTGTGTGTCAACCTGCTGATTTAGTTTACGGCATAATCCTTTAACTACTAATGAAGGATAAATGCCTGGTTATATACCCTGATCATAACAATGACTATACAACCCCATATAATACTGTTAACTGTTATAAAACTAGACTCCTCCTGTATTACTACATAGTTCTGTGATTAATTAAGATTGCATAATGGTGTGTAACCTATAGACAAGTGTTTCTACACACACAGCGTTTCTGCAGACGAGGCAGAAAAGAGCAGGTCACTAAGCTTGCAGCAGCTGCATGACACACACGTAGCCTTGAGGCTCGTATAGTGTGCGATAAATAGTAGTTTATTTTTGTCTCCCTCTACAGTGTGAGATTTAACAGCTCTGAACAAAGTCTTTAAGTCAAAGTGCTCAGAGCATCGGCAGCGCTGAGATTTGTGGAAGACAGTGCTGCTTTATTGTGTTTCTCTTTTTTAAAAAAAAATGCTTTTATTCTTTTTATTGACTTTGTCAAAAAGGCTAATTCATTCTGCACTTGCAGAGTTCAACAGTCAAGGAACTGTCTGACCTATTTTCCAGTCCCAGGATTAAATGTCAGTCCCCCGACGAGGACAGTCTGGTGTCTTATTTAAGACTGGGCAATTGTGACATAACTGGATGATCTAATATCAGTTTTTAAAATACAAAAAGATCCTTCTATCAGTGAATAAAGTATGTCTACATTTGCTAAATGTTAGTTGTGGAAGTGGTTTCTTGTTATTAAAAAGAGTCACACTGCACACTGTAAAATGTACACAAAAAGGATGTTTTTAGTCAAAAGTATGACTGCTTACCTGTGGAATAAAATTAAATTTAAGTTGTGGTTTTATATTTATGCAATTTTATTAACCGATGTAGCTGAAGCTTCATGAAAAAAAACAATAAAACCATCATATACATGAAATAGCTGTTGTCAACTACAGATTATCTCAAGATAATATCTTCCCTGAAATCCTCCTGCTGCCCAAAAATATTAAAAGGTTAAACAAAGATATTTCAATTAATGTTCAAGCTCTAGTCAACAGTAAAAGAAAACGTTAGTGTTTTTGAGTCAGGCAGTAACTGGAAACGGTGCGATCTGAAACTGTACAAAAAGAATGAGGAATATTGTTTATGGAAAATCAAATTACTAAAGCATCAGAGCGTCAGCGTGCTGTGTATTTGTATCCAGCACAGCACAGAGTTTTTGTCTTTAACTGTGGACAGAGTTCCTCCTTTGACACAGTGGCACAGCTAGAAAATTAAATCACTTAACATGGTGGCAGTTCATTCAATAACAGGAAGTGAACAATGTTTTGCCAAGGCCAAACAACCAGAACAATCCCGTTTACTGACTGCTGGGCAGCTGGGCACTAACATTAACTCTGAGTCTTTGTGTTCAAGCAGCCTCCATTTTCTCTCAGGCACTCATTATTCTCCCTCTTTCTCCTGACCCAATTTCTATCTTCTCATGTCATTTTCAGTAAAAACAGACAATATGGCAGCTCCAAACACGTTCCTACAAGGGTTGAGACGTAAAACTGAAAAACCGATGTAATATGAAGCCTGAGAACCTTGTGTGTGTGTGTGTGTGTGTGTGTGTGAGAATTGTGGCATAATATAAAGTTTGTTCAGACATGACACTTGATGTATGCGTGTTGTTCTGTGACTGACCTGCTCAAACATGTTTGGTTCCCAGAACTGAGATATTTCTTTTAATTAACTGTGTGTCTGTGATACTTTCACGCTTCATGTGGCTCACTCAGTCAGTAGAGAATAAAATAATACAGGGTTCAGGTGTTTTTGAGAAGTTGCTTTTAAAAAAAGGACACAGTGAAGGGTGTTTGTGTCACTTACACAAGATTAAACTGAGACGTGAAAGATTTAAGGTGCAAAAATTGGGTTTTAGAATGATTTTGCATTCAAATTTGAATAATATAACGCTGAATAAAAGCGTTTGAGTCATTTAGATAAAAAACAGACAGGTTTTCTCAGTAAAAATGCAAAATATAGGGATTTTGTAATTCCAAATAGGAAGAAATTCCCAATAGTGACTAAGCCCATACCGAATAGCTTCAGTCTAAGCTTTAGAAGCTTTCTAATCCATCATAAGTCCGTAAAGCAATCTTCAATTTCCATACCTTAGACACAATTCTCCTTGTTTTTCATACCTTGCTGCACTCGATCTGTTCCTCTCCCTTCCACAGGTCCTGTTCGTAGTAGTACAGCCCGTCGTTGATGGCCTTAGCCAGGTCCGTGGTGAGTTTCGCTCTGGACTCGTGGTTGCCCGTCCGGTCGCCGCCGGGGTGCTTACGGATATAGGGAGGGGTCTGGGTGACGATAAGGATCTTGTTGACGTCTTGGTCGTCCATCTCATAGTCCGAGTCGTCCTCGTCTGACCAATCTGTGAACCTGTTCTTCCTCGGCGCCATTTGCTCCATCTCTTCATCGAACAGGAAGTCCAGCTCCTCCTGGTCGGGCTCGGCCTGCGGAGGAGCATGGTGGCTGCGTGGTGCCGTCTCGCCGCGCTCCTGGACGACACAGTGAGTGAGCAGCAATTAACCAAGGAACACACTAGATGAGCAATTATAATACAGGATAGGATGACAACATACAAACAAGATACTCATATTTTTGACCTCAAGTTTTTTGAGGTTAATGGAATAAACTATCTTTAAGAGATTATAATCAACATTGGACTGTTCCCTAAACAAGAAGAGTCTCAGTTGACGCACTTTTCATTAGTCGGATAGTTGCAGAAAAACATAAACAACGTTAAACTCGGTGCGGGAGCTGCATCTTTTCACTGGAACTGAAGCAACTGGGGATTGTTGCACCACAGACCTTCTCTCTTGTAACACAGGAAGTCTTCTGCATGTGCTAAATGTACCAGCTGCTGCCACTAGCTCCGCAGCCGTGGCGTCTGCAGCCTATATTCAGGTGTTACGGTAGAGTAAGATAAAGGATGACAAATATTACTGATAAATAAATAAATAGAGCAAATATGAAAACTGCAGGAGACAAGTATGAGGTATGACAGTTAATACAGTATGAGACATGGAATGAATGAGGAGCAGGGAGAAGATGAGGAAAAGAGGTTGTTGAGCAAGTGAGAGAAGGAAGTACTCAACTGCAAAGGGGAGGCGGTCGGTTTGAAGCTCTGAGGGAAGAGAAGGGCTGACAGCAGACACATCATCACTGACTGAATGCTGCCAGCCGAAAGGTGGAGGGACACAGACAGGAAGGACAGACAAAGACGATGGAGGTTATGAGAAACAGGGAAAAAAAGGGATGATGATGATGATAGGGATGACAAATAGAAATATGATGCTTGAAAGACCACAGGCCTGGAGCTGATTAAGACTTCAAGGGGAAGTGTTCGCCACCTTTGTCTTTCCGGGGGGCTGTCGGTGGCGTTTCTCCACCTGGATCCAGGCGTCGGGGTCGGGCTGCGGGGCGGGGGCGTCTTTGGAGGCGTCTGCGGCTGGGAGTGACTCCTGGCTGGAGGAGCTGGGCTCAGATGAGTCCTCGGGCTCAGCAGACTCAGGAGGAGTCTTTGTCACAGGCGATGAGGCTGAAAGGCCGAACACATCAAGACAACTTTCAACAAGGCTTTTAAAGTCACACGTCACACTGTCAGCTCTCATTTAACCACAGAGGTGCTAACGCTGCCTGGTGTCACAAGTAAAATATTTATGTGCACACTATAGCTAAAAGGACGAGTCAACTGGCAGAATATTATTAGAAAGAGAATGTATAATGACAAAATGAGCAGAAAATCATAGGTTCTGCTTCTTAAAATGTGAAGATTTGCTGCTTTTCACCATCTTTTATTGTATAAAACTGAATAACTTTGGTCGGACAGCACAAGACATTTGAATCTTATGGCATTTTATGGAGCAAACAATAATCAAGAAAACAGTCGGCATGTTAACCAATAAAAGAACATAATTGTTATCCATCAATTGATAATGAAAACAGACTAGAAACCGGAAATTTGTGGCTTGTTTTCTTTATCACTTCATAGATTCACATCTTGAAGTATCTTGTTTTGTCTACGGTTCAAACCCCAAATATATATTTGGTTTTGTTACATAGAAGTTAAAGTGATACATCAGAGAAAAGCAGTAAAATCTGAGAGTTTTTGGCAATTTTGTGAGAAAATTGACTTAACCGATCATTTTTATTTAATTAAAAAGGATAAAGCTGATGATATAAAATCCCATAAAAAGACTAAAACTAAAACAGTGTCGCTCTACTGGTCACAATACATATCTTTAATGACAACTGGTCACTGTTGTTATTAACAATCATTACTCAAACAGAAAGAAATCGAGCATTTGTAGGGGACTATTTTCAACGACGGATTAAACCAAATGTGGTGCTCTAGTGAGCATTTTGGACGTTGGACTCGGAACGGAGCCAAGATAAACTACAGTGAGTGATCCTTGATGTGTTTACAGTAGTTTCTGATCAACAATGGAGCTCTACGCACAATAAGACAATAAGAGAAACACAGAATATCAGCAGACTTCTTCCTTTAAGCTTCACTTGTGTGTTGTCTAAAAAAATACTGACCGGAGTTGAGCGTCTGCCGAGGAACAAACTCGGGACAATTGATGAGCTGGGAGAAGTCGGTCCGAGGGGAACCCACGACGGTAGGGCTGGGGATGGGCCAGCGCTCGGGGTCGGATTTACAGCGAACCTTATTGTCCACCAGCTCCACCTCTTTGCTGCTCTTCAGAGCCTGGAGAGCAGGATTTAATAAAAACAAGGACAAATCCATTCCTTTAATTTCACAATCCCAGATTATAGCCAGACCCGAATGTTTAAACTGAATCAGAAGGAACATGTTTCAAGGGAACTTTACTACATGCTGTATATTATTATTATTATATATACAAATGCTAATTTTACTCTTTATGGGGATTAAAAGTTGAAAGCAAATACCAAACAGTGACAGCTACACAACCTAACATTAACAATATAACATCAAAATGATCCCCAGAGGCAACTGGGCACTGAAGAGCACTAAAGGGGTCTAATATGTGCTGTTAATAGCCACACCATCAGACTGATTGAAGATGTGATATTACCTCCATGATGAGGCTGATATCCATAGTGAGAGCCTGCACTCTGTGGAAGCTGGCGATGAGGGAGATGGGGAGGAAGCCCTGCGCGTCCATCTTTCTCCTCAGGAAGAAGTCTCGCTCCAGGTTGTGGAGGCTGAAGTAGTACTCACTGGAGGAGGACATCAAACACGTCATTCAATCAGGAACACGCTTTTTAAAATTAAAACAATGTCTTAATCAAGAGAGCAGCACCGAGATGAGCATGAATGTAGCTGCTGGGTGAACCGATGAGCCCATAAACCATTAAATTAAAAGTTAATGAGACTTCAATTCATTTAAAAGGCATATTACACTGATTTTACATGTCAAAGTCATTTTAGTAGTTACGGTTTGCAAAGTTTTATCTCAATTTGAGTTTGAAAAAAGACACAGTGTAAACAGAAAGACAGCGTAAACAAACTGGGAAAGACTGGTTTCCAGGACTATGCTCCTCACTACTGGAATGAATCGCAAACTAAAGACAAAGACACTTTTTTCCTCTGAAGGACTTTTAAAATTCTACTTGCTGCCATTTCTAATATCTGTGATTGTTTTAATCGGTACATATCTATGTAACTTGTTCTCTTATACTCAGTGGGACGTCCTGAATAAATAAAACTTAAAATCAAGCACAAATACCAAACACTGTCTGATTTTAGCTTCTAAAATTTGAGGATTTGCTGCTTTTCTCAGTTTTAAATCATAGCAGACTGAATAAATGTGGGTTTTGGGGTGTGGGGTTACTACTTGACACAAATTCCTGTTAAGTGTTGAAGCTCAATATTAAGCTCTTGTTAACAAGTAGAGATTAGCCTATTTATTATCTTGTAAGCCACAATAAAAGAGTAAAATATTATGATCTTGTGACTGGGAAACCAAATCTGTAGTTGGAAAAGCTCTCAGTCCACACACACACACACACACACACACACACACGTCTGTACGTCAAGCACAGCCTGCAGGCGGTGGGTAGTCGTTGCTTCATGTGGAGTAACGCCGGCTGAGTGAGCACCCTGAATAACGCTGAGGGAGACGAGAGAGGAGAAGACAAGAATGTCCCGTCTTCCTCCTCTCTGCCCCCTCCTGCCTCCCTCTCTCACCCATCCCCACTCTCTCTCCCTCTCCCCTCACCCTCCTGCCCGAAACACAGTTCTTTTTTTCTAACACTTCCTCGCTGCATATAATTCATCTCCTGTCCCCCTCTGAGGCACTCGAGTCTATATTTAGGAGTCCACCTCACCCTCCACTATTCTGAGTCTACTGCTGCAATGAGGCCAAAGCTGTCAGTCAGACACACAGTGCACGCTGCCCCCTGCAGGACACACTGAACCCAGAGGAGCTTTACTGGCTACACATGCTCTGTTTACTGCTTATCACTCCCACACACACACACACACCTGATCTGCACAGACGCAACCTTCACTTGTTTGACTCTGCAGGAGCTGGTGGTTAAAACACAACTTTGACCTTTTCTGCCATGTGTTTTTTCCATCATAGTGATAAATTATTGAGGTCAGGATGTCATTACCGGCTTCACAAAAGAGCTAATGAGGTCTAGATTCCACCGCAGTCCAACAGAGACCCATAATCAAAGTTTTTAAAAGCAGTTTCAGTAAGTGACTTTTGGAAGGATGTTTTTTTCTACAGCTTCAGAGGCGACTAACATCGAAAGGATTCAAATCTACTTGTTACAAATCGTATTAGTGGCAGCAACAATGTGTGGGTTCAAGAACAAATAATGTTATAAAGAATAGGTGGATTCCTGTGTCGGATATTGTAATTAGGTTGAACCATTTCCCCAACAAACTTAGGTTTCTTAGACTATTACGTGTAATTCCTTGATTTAGGAGTATGAAGTCTAGGTAAGATATCTAAAGCTGACACTAACAACTATTTTCATTACTGATTAAACTGATGATTATTCTCTCAGTCGATAAATCGTTTTCACTAAAACAATGGCGGAGAAAAGAGAAAAGAAATCAATCACAGTTTCCCAGAGGTGACACAATCAACTTGGGATCATGTAAAACAAAGAAGAGCAGGAAACCATGTAAACTGAGAAGTTAGAAACTCCGAATATCAGGGTTTTTTTGGTTGAGAAGTGATTTAGGCAATTAAACAATTATCAAAACAGTTTTCTTTCAGCAGCTAATCATAAAGTGACATGGGACAACATTTTGAAAACCGATGCTGTATGGTGGTTATGGTTAAAATGGTAGAGAATAAAGGGAAATAAATTGATAAACAGCTGTAGTTATGTTGTATGGAGGCTCAAGTTCTTAACATTTTATTAGCTGTTAACAGTTTATTCCTTTAACTGTCAGTGTGGGAGTCAGAACCTCCAGTTATAAATACAATCAGATTGCATTTATAAAAGTTTTCCAAATACTCACATTTGGCGTTTGATGTATTCTTTGAGAAGCTTTTCGTCCACTGTGTACATCTGGACCTTGTTGCCATCATCGTAGTAGTAAACCATGTTGGTGCCAAACTCTGAGGGGACCTGAGCAGAGCCGTCAGACGACTGAGAGTCCCGGAAGCTCTGAGAGTATTCATAACGGCCTGAAAGAGAAGAACAAACAGAAAAAGAATAAGATAAAACATCTGCTGAATAAGTGGCAAGCATTGAAATTTTGTTTTATGGTAAAAGAAGAAATGGAAAACATTTTTAAAAAGCCAAACTGGATCTCAGTTTTCTCTCATGTTGTTGAAAAAGCTGCTAAAATAAAAAGCAGAGCTTTTCTGCAAGGAATTAAAAACAGACAAAGAAATGACACATAATGCAAACAGAGCAGGTCAAACTGAACGCGTTAACTAGAAACAGAAAATAACACTTTCAACATGACTATAAAGTGTAACGGGTGTCATCTAGTGTAAAAATGTGGCGAAACTAAAAACCGTACCTCGCCCGCGACCTCTCCCGCGCCCACGCCCTTTCCCTCGGCCTCGTATTCCTCCCCGAACGCTCCCACTGTCACTTCGGACGCTGGCGGTATCGTCCCCAAAGTCCCGTTGCTCTCTTCTCCAACCTGTCAACAAGAGTACATGAAAGCGTCACGTCAGGCATTACACATACCTTCATGTAGTGGTTCACAAGCTTCGAGGTCCTAAAGGTCCCCGAGTGGAGGGCTGATAACATCTGATCTGGAGAGGATTCACTTTAGAGACTATGAGCTTGTGATAATTAAGCAGCTCAATATAAACTAAACTACTGTTGAGTGAATAAAATAAAGGGAAGATTTACCTGCTGTTGTTTTTACAACTTGCACAAACATCACAACAACAAACACATACAGGGCAGAAGAAACCTGAGCGGTCAGGTGATCACACAGGCTGTGAGTAATCTAAAGCACCTTTTTGGAGATAGGATAAAATAGGACAACTAACAGTCATTTTCAGCATTGATAAATCTGCTAATTATTTTTACAATTAATCTATTAATCCTTTGGGCTATAAAAGATAAGAAAATAATAAAAAAAGGTAATTCAGAATTTTCTAGAATCCAAATTGACATCTTTATATATCTTGTTTTGTCTGATCAGGTGTCCAACAACAAAATATATATTCAATTAAATATCATTTAGGGAAACATTTTTGCTTTTGATGAAAAATGACTTAAACAGTTCATCAATTAGGAAAATAGTTCATTTTTCTGATTGCTGAACTATTGAAAATTGAGCACACCTGAAATGTGGGTTATAAACCTCTTTTACAGAGAAAAACTAAGTGTAAAGTTAAGTGTAAATATCGTGGCTAAAGATGAAAAAAGTTGTGGTCTGACAAATGCAACATTCAGGTTTCTCTGCAGACTTTGGATGTTATTATTTTTAAATATTATTTTGTGAATTTGAGGTGACAGCAGAACAATTACAGGAAATGAGGGAATGTTTTTTTTTGTTTTGTGTGACTATCTTGAGTACTCCTACATCTCAGATGAAGTTAAATGTTATCATAACCAATAGAAATGATTGGCTAAATATATCAACAACAAAAAACAGGTTATAGAGGAGCTGTTTACATTATCCTGCTGGCACAATAATGGAAATGCTCATGAGTAATGTAAGCAGAGAGGTCAAACAACCTTGGAATCACCCGTCTGATGCAAAAAAAAATTTTTTCACAAAACGAAACGAATCATTGAGAACAAACTACTAAAACCACTAAAGATCATCAGTAAAACGAACACAGCTTAATAATTATACCATGCTTTCTTTCTGCTATGCATTAGTATGGGAAAAAAAAGGTTTGCAGACTCCAGAGAGACAGATGGCAGCGGGGAAAAGTGGTGAGCAAACATGAATTGGCAAACAGTGAAGCCAAAACCAGTGAGTGAAAAAGCAAAAACAGAGACGGAAGACGAGAACAGAAAGCTGCTGGCCACTTACTCCTGCTGCTATCATGCGCCCTGTTATTATGGAGTGTGTGATTGGGCGACGTGGGGTCAGGTTCTGGCTCTGTGTCCCCGCCGTGCGTCTTGTCGCCGTCGTCCCGGGACGCTTCCTCCAGCGGCAGAGAAACCCACTTACGTTTGTTACCTGGCGATGATTGCACACCGAAAACAGAGCTTGAAGAGTTTTGTTCCAAAAACGGTAGAAATCCAGTTTTAGAACAAATTAAAAACTTAACTTCACTTTAATCTGCGTCTCTAAAATAAAAGATCCACTGGTTACCAAACTTTACTTACAACAACCCTTTTCAGATTTTTCAAGGCAATGTTTGATTAAAACCGGCTTATTCTGAGCTAACCACACTTTCAGGGGGCTTTGACTCTCGTTATGTTGAACTATTGACTCAGGGACAACGAAAGGTGATTTAAAACTATGACAATGGTGATGAATGAGTAATGTATGACTTATTAGTGGTCGATCAATCCTGCTTTGAGACATAAAGAATGAGAACTAGTCATTTAGCTGTACTGTAACATACTGTACGTCATAATTAAACCTTACAGATGACTTATTTAACACTAAGGATCATATGAAAACCAACAAAAAGTAGTGAAATTACTCAGTTTGTCTGTTTATTTAGTTTGTGGCAGGATACCCTCAAATGCTAAAATTTTGGGAAATATATTTAATCCCTTTCTTGCGGAGTTAGATAAAGAAATGTACACCTTCCATATCTGCCTGAAATCTTCATTTTGATGCGAACATCATCTGCAAAGGAAGACTGTGTGACACACACTAACAACTAGGATTTGGGTTTTTTTTAACATTGTGAGGATCCTTTGAACCATTATTTTATTTTTGCTTTAACTACGACACTAGTACTCATTCACTAAATTACTTCTTTAATTACAATCTGAAACGTGTCCATCATTGTGTGCATTTGTATGAAGATCCAGATGCAGATTCAGACTTTATCTTATTAAAACAACATTTAAAGTTAAAGTTTGTAGTGAGTTTTGTGTCTATATTAACATGTTAAGATGTTTTTCACACCAACAAACTTTAAAAAGTATTTTCAAAGTGTGAGGGGAATCTATCCTGAATGATCTCAGCTCACTTTGGAACAAAACTCTTCACTTCATCGCTGGTTTAGACAGTCAGAGCTGATGAAGTGGCGTGTCTCTTATTAGCCTCCATAAAAAGATTCATACCTGTTATTTCTAGTTTAACTATCTATAAGATGGAAGTGAATCAGGGGGAGTGCAACACATATGATTATAAGAGCAGAACATGCACCAATCCACAATTACCAACTGTGATCAATAGTTATTGACATGCTCCTTGTACGCAAACCATCGCCGTCCAGTGATAACATTCATCTCCAACATTTAATTAAAGTGGATTCTCATTCAGGAGATGAATCATTTCACATTTTCAGGCATTTTAAAAGCTGTTTAACATGCTTTAGTCAACTGAGAGAAAGTCCTCACCCTCACCTCCTCGCTTCTTCAGGGCGGCACTCTTGGCATCCTGTCCCGCCTTGGACTCTCCGTCTTTGGGCAGCTCACCCAGCGGGTCCGGCTGAGCCTCCTGGTTCTCTTTGCTCTCTCCACCGTCATGGCTGCTCTCTGATTTCCTATCCGTACGCTCCCTCCTCTTCTCCTTCTCTCTGCGTGAGGCAGGAGGCTTCTTTCCGTTGTTGTTTAGGACATTTTGTTGCTGCTGGAAGACGGAGAAATCAGCTTTTTACTCGTCAGAATAACACAACTACAGATCAGTCAGTCTCATTTTTAACTCCTCATCTTGACCATTAAAATCAATTTTGAATCTACTTTTGAATCAGCCAAAAGGCTCCATCACATGGGGTTTTCTCAGGACATGTGAATTAGAAATTAATAAGAAAATTAAGTACTTAGAAGGTATTTCAAATGCAATTTTTTTAGCTTTTCTGAAATCCTCAAATCTTAAATACTATTGGTGTGAACTAAATCATCTATCAATCCTGTAGAATCATTCCTCTATATCTATCTATGATATAATGGTTTCAACTCGGTTACCAAGAAAGAAAAATCTGATGTGTAATTAAAAACAAAAAATAATGCAGTAAAAAATGTGACTTTAATTACATTTTTGCCTGTTCTGTTGTTACATCCTTCGTCAGGCCTCTTAAATTCCTTCAAACAATCAGAGTAAAAATGAATTAATTTAGGGTTTTTGGGAACCATTGATCTTTACTGTCAGTTTATCTTCTTGATCCTGCAACAAATTTTTGGTTTTCTAGCTCATTTTAAAGCAATAAGACACAAATACCACCTGATACAGTGGAAAACACCTCTTTGTTTTTGTCTTTTTAACATTTAATTGTTTTAGATAATATTCTTCCGGCACATCTATACAGAGCAAACAGTACAGGAGCATCTGAGGTTAAACCAATTAACGTTTTAAACAATTATACTTGAGTAAATACAAGCTTTTAACATTAACTTCCTCCCTTACTTTGCCTACGAGTACCTGAAGACGTTTTCACAAGTTCAGGAACATCTTAAAAGTTCCCTGGATTGACTACATGTGAAATTTATTGGGCACTCTTTCTTCTCTACTCTTCTTTTGTTTTATATATTGTCCCAAATCACTGTCGAGTTAAATCCTGAACTTTGTTTGATGTTTCTAGTGCTCCATCTAGTGAGCACAAACCAGAAAAACTCCTCTGTAATCCAACCAACCAGTCTGTTCAGTAAAAAGGAAGCAGAAAAGAAGTTGTTGCCTTTAATCTGCAGTGGTGGAATGTAACTAAGTGCATTTACTCAAGTACGGCACTTTAGTACGAAATTAAGAGGCTTCATGCTTTTCTACTCCATTACAATCCAGAGAGAAATATTGTACTTTTTTTTTTTTACTTCATTACATTATTTGACAGCTTTAGTTACTTTACTAAATTAAAGATTTTTTTGCATAAAAAACATATGAACTTTTATTTTGTTATAAATTAAATTACCCAACAGTTGATTAAGCAATTAATCAATCAATAAAACAAGCACTGTGAAGGCGTCACTTTGGGTAATTGTGACGGCATTTCTCAGTTTTCTGACTTTTTACAAATCAAATCTATAAATGAAGAGAATAATCATTAGTTGCAGTCCACATAATAATCTAATGATATCATATATAATAGTATTAACAGTCACAGTTTAATACTTTAAGTACATTTTACTGATGATACTTAGATACTTAATGGAGTGTATTTACGGTGTGGTGTTTGTACTTTTACTGAAAACTTCCTCCACCTCTGTTTGACTTAACGTCAAACAAACATCCAACCAGGCACACACTTGTCGTACCTCTTTGGCCAGTTCACCAGGTGTGGGCCAGTTTGTGATATCACTGAAGTCACCTGACTGTAAAATTGAGAAAGAAAACAACAAATCAACAACAACAAATCATCAATCCAACATGCACCAGTCGTCGATCTGTCACCTGGGCTCATTTTAATTATTCAAACATTGTGTGTCAGGTAGAGTCTGAGTGCCCTTCTGGTAGAAACCAGCTGGGGAGGAAAAAGGAGGTCAGTGCTCCGTCTGTGGGGAAACTGCAAACAACAACGATTACCACTGTGAATGTTGTAAATTTGGACAGCCTGATAGGAGATCAAGGTTAGACGGACGAGGATTACAGTCGCACTGCAGAGTAAGGTCAGCAGCAAAATAAAAACTGCTGACATTTTAAAATCACAATCGTTCTACGACAGGTGTGTTACACAAAAGGTCTCACTGTGGTTGTGGATGCAAGAGTGAGGGAACAAGACTGAATTCATTCTTTAGGGTATTCTGGCTTTTAAAACTCTGAATCCTACGTGTATGTTTTTGTCCCTCTGTAATAAATATGCTTAAAAAAAAAAAAAGTCAGTTCATCCAAATCCACCGCCTTCAGTGGAAGTTGGTACAAGGAAATGTTAAAGACGACCCCTGAACACTGAAATCTTTAATTTCTGACACATTTCATAAACATCCGAGCTATAACTGCAGAGCTGTTGAAGTTTAAAACTCATTTTTGTACCAACGGATGACAACTGAAACTATTCAGCTCCATTGCTGCAATTACAATAATTACTGGTGTATAAAACAGCATCAAAAAACATTAACGTCATAGATTTAGTTGTTATTTTGTGTCAATTCGGGAGTAAGAGCAGCCTTAAATTCTACGTTGTGAATTGGGGTGAGTTTGTTTACATTTCGTTGACAGTCAATTAAAAGTTGCCCTCTGGAGTTTTACTTGTAAACAAACAAGGCTTCTATTTACATTCAGTGTTACTCACAAAAACAACCTGTGTGGGTCGCTGAGCTCAAATAAATGTGTCCAATAAATGTTCACTCAACACTCACAGACCCGTTTTTAAGCATTTTGAATCCAGCATTGTTCACATCCACGTTTACTTGCCAGCACTCCTCTTCTTCACTGTCTTTGCTGGCAAGTTGCTGCGTATTTTGGCGCATTTCCACCACCTATTGTGAAATATAGAGTAATGTGAAATGTGTGGCCTTGTGCGTGCACCAGACTAACAAAAGGGGGACCCACTCATAATATAAAAACCAGCTCTGTGGCGCTACTGGCGGTGAAAACCTCCACTGGAGTACCGTTAACAACGTCATCTGGAAAATGAACTCCAGCTTGGACAAACATTGGAGTTAAAGTATGAATAAAGTTACATATAATAAATGAACAAAGTCAATGTTCTATACCAAAATTGGGAAAAACATACACAAAGATCCGAGTATGTAGGAGTGTGTGTTACCTAATATTATACATTATCAAATTTCAACTAAATGATATTCTTATGATATAAAAAGAATGAAACTTCCTACAAGTTTGTGTCATCCAAATTCCAATAAAACTAGTTATTAAAATTAAAAATGCTCTGAGATAACTTCTGTTAGGATTTGCCAATATATAAATACAAATGTTACACAGTTCATTTCCTTTAACGTATATTTAGTGGAGGATTTATTCAAACATTTGCCACAATATGATAGAAATCTATATAGAAAAATATCCTTGTGACAGTATTTATATTGTGGTGTGATATTAATATATCAGCCAGCACAACCAGTATGTGAGTACGGTGGCGCTTTAGAGTAACTGTCATCTCTGATATCTGACTTTGACCATGAAAACTGTCAACAGGTTGCATTCTGGGTCAGCGGGGTACAATTCAAGCAGAAACCCACCGTCTGTGTGTCCCGTTGAAGCTACAGCAACAAAGTGAAGCATAAAGTACACAACAACATACACCAGTACACATAAACATAAACCGTGGCATTAAAGATCTACATCCTCCATACACTGACTGGCATATTTGTTTCCTTTTCTCAGTTTGAAACGTCAACACTTCCTGTTTTATCCTCCTTGTTTGTCACATTTTTATTATTTGGTTTCCTTCCAACTATTAATCTTAAACAACTGCAGTGGAAAAACTTGCTGGAAAGGCAAACAACACAAGCAGGCAGCAGCTTGAACCAGCTAATGTTGGGCTTGTGGCAGATGTTAACTTCCCATCCTTCATGTCAGTACCTGGCAGAAGTCACAGTGATGAAATATGAACATGTGATCCTGAGAGGTGACTTTAACTTCACAAGACTCAAACATTTTATTTACAGGTGAGAAACGGGCAACTTACCGCGACTAATAGCTCAATAAAACATCCATTTACTCATCAGCTGGGACAATAAACAACAGAACATCGACAGTGTTTGTGACATGAGATAAAAAAACAACAAACATTATTCAAAAAAAACCAATAAAAACTTCAGAGCATTACCTTGCTGGATTTTCTCGTTCTGGGCTTGCTGGCACGGACGACTTTCAGAGCGTTTTGTTGATCTGCAGATACAGAATCAATAAGTGACATCATCATATCTGACCAGAAGTGCCTAAATCCAACCGATTTTTATCCTTTTTAAACAGCCGGGAAATTTAAAAAAAAGAACCAGCAGTGAGCAGGTTGTTAAGAAGTAAACTCATCTACTCCCCTGCTCTGCCTGTGTAATTGGGAATTTGAGTACAGAATGAATAAATATCCTTCCCACTCAACTAGTCGAGGGTGTTTTGTGTGCAACCAGCGGCAGTATGTTGCTCTGCAGGCAGCGGCGGGCTGGGAGTGGCCCGCTGCAGCCTGACAAGTCCCTATCGCTCGGGAGAGGATGGTCGGATTGATAAGAGGCGCGGGGGCCGAGGCTCCCACATGAATGGGTGTATGCCTGACTGAGCCTGCAGACGTCCACCCCACAGAGCTCGGTTGTACAGTAACAGTGTAAAATGATGCCTGTGCTCCTGCCAGAGTCAAACGCTTCAAATATAGCTCCCCCCCCCCCCTCCTCTCTCGTTGTCGTCGCTCTGTGCCCTGACACACATTCACAACTCTAAACTCAGCTCCCGGGCCGAGTTTGACACAAGCTGCTGTTTAATTTAACGCTATTACCGAATAAATGTGACTGCAACAGGGAATCGGGAGCCTCGTGGACGGTTTCTCACACACAAAGTGGGAATTCTTGCTCACTTAAACTGAAATGATCAGCTGATTAATCAGTGAGCTGATTAGCGAGACAGAAAGTTAATCAATCGTATTCTGATACTAGATAGTCAATAATTAATCAAACACTCCAATTTAGTATTAAACTTCGAGACGGTTTGTAAGAAAGAGATTTTTTTAAAAAGGAAATAGTTTCAACTGAGGCAGAAAAGACGCCGACGTATCGTCTGTAACAAACCAAACAAACTAGAGCCTACATTTCCCACAATGCAACAGTGTCTCCCAATAGACCCTCCCTCCTTGATAAACACATATTATTTCAAACTTTCCACTCTGACTTTATAAATCAGGTTTTTTATTACTTTAAAGCTTTAAATATACAGAAAGTGTTTTTGTTTTTTAGTGCTGAACTTATGAGAAACTGAACAGAGGATCAAAATAACTTTATTAACATTAATTAATTAACTTAAAGTCATTTATCTGCTGTATTTCTGTTTTAAGTCTTACAGGTTTTAGGAAATCTGTCACTATTTTATTATATTTAGATCTAAAAAATAATTAGATTATATGAATGTGCTATTAAAAATAGTTTTAGTTGCAGCTTTAAACAACAAATTTAATTAATCAATTAATTGTTGAAGTAATTTCTTAAGCAAAAGTGGACAAAATAAAAACACTGAAATAAGAACTTTCTGTCTTTTTACAAATTAAACAAACAATAAAAAAAAATAATTGACATATTATTAACTTTAATTAATTGAATTGTCATTTAAACTGTAAACTCTTACTTTGAGCTGCACTTAAAGTATAAAAAACAATTAAAACAACCTTAAAAACATGTTTATTATCATTAATTACTGATTTTAAAAACAATAACTGACTTGTTTTCTTCCTTAAACATAATCCTAACTTTAAAACTGTTGGTTTTTTTAACTATCTATGCTCTGAGCTTATTATTTTTTATTACCTTACACAAAAACAACAATCACAGTCACCCAGCCTCAAACACAATCCTCACTTTTTAACAACCCTAACCTACTTCTACACCTGTCCTGCCACCTTTTTCTCCCCCCCACACACACACACACACACACTTGAGCTTTCACTAGTGACAGTGGAGAGCAGACAGGCTGGTGGGAGGACCTGCAGGCAGACAGGCTGGTGGGAGGACCTGCAGGCAGACAGGCCATTGGACATGCAAAACGTGTCTCTTACAGCAGCAAGTTAGCCTGCATGTCTTAGCTGCTGCTGCTTCTTTACACCAACTTCAGGCTGGTTTTCTGAAGCTCAGATTGTTTGTTCCTCCACGTATTTAATAAACAGTGGCTGTGTGGCTTTATGGCACTGTATGGCAACAGATAGGGGGCAGATATAGAGAGGGAGAGGGGGGGGTAAAAGCTAGGTACAGGCAGAAAGCAGTAGCAGTTGTCAGCAATCAACACGTGGTGCTCCGGAGCAATCCGAGCACACAGGAGGGGGGATGGGGGGCAAAAAAAATATATATATGCCACCATCAACACCTCTCCACTGCTCTGACGTTCAAGTTTATGCACAACATTTAACTTTTATTTAAAAAAAAACAAGCCTAATTAAAAAGCTGACAGACAGCTGTCAATCAAACGTGCTTCAGTCGCTTTTTAAAATTAATTTAAATAAAATAAAAAAAACCCTCTAAACTCTCACCTTTCTCCTGGGAGCTGGAGTTGATGTTGTTGCTCGGCATCCTGCCTGTAGTCCTCTTAGTCCAGGGGTTTACTTTCGGCGGCGGAGCTTCAACAACTTTCCTCTTCACCGCCTCGCCAGCTGAGTCCGCGCCGCCGCCGCTGCTCTGCTCGTTTTCTTTATCGTTCTCTTTACACTTCTTGTTCAAGTCCGTCGGACTCTTCATCGCCTCGGAGCCGTGGCCGTCCACCAGCGGCTGCTTCTCCTCTTCCTCCGTCTTGTTTCGGCTGTCCTCCGCCGCTCCTCCGCCGGAGCTGGCCGCTGTCAGACCCGAGTCAACCCGACTGCTCTCGACCTCCGCGGACATCCTGCTAGTTCCCGGGTGTTAAATCCAGCGTGTGACTTTGGTCCTTTCGCTCTTTAACGGAGAAAAACTCGAGGGGAGACCACATCCACAGCTCGAGGTAAACAACTTTTTCTCTCTGTGTGTGTGTGTGTGTGTGTGTGTGTGTGTGTGTGTGTGTGTGTGTGGGGCTGGACCTCGCTTAGCCAGCTAGCCCGAAGTAGCTTCTTTCTAAAAAAAAGCTAACAGTTAGCTAGCTAGCAGACCATGCAAAAGAAGTCCGCGAGCCCGAGCTAAATGTGGTTGTTTCCCGCCTTTAACGACTGTTTCATACCGACGTTTTAGTTACCTCCGAGTCCGTGGTCGGTCACCATGTAAACGACACACGCTGGGTCGGTTCACCTGCGAGTTTGTGTAACTTTTAAAAGATCTAGCACAGCGACCTCCTCTCGGTCCGCCGCTGCTTCAACTCCACGCTACCAGCTAACTGCTCGTGCTGCCAGCTGCTCTCCGCCTGTAAACAGTGACTCTGCTGCCCCCTGCGGACACACGGCGGTACTGCAACACACCGTTTATAACGGAGGGCAGACGGGGGGGGAGAGAGACAGGCAGGGAGAGAGGGAGACAGGCAGGCAGAGACGGGGGGGGAGAGAGAGACAGGCAGGCAGACAGAGAGAGAGAGACAGGTAGAGAGGGGGGGAGAGAGAGACAGGCAGGCAGAGAGAGAGAGAGAGAGAGATACAGGCAGGCAGAGAGGGAGAGAGAGAGGGGGGGAGAGACAGGCAGAGGGAGAGAGAGAGACAGGCAGGCAGGCAGAGAGGGGAGAGAGAGAGAGACAGGCAGGCAGAGAGAGAGAGAGGGGGAGAGAGGGAGAGAGAGAGAGAGGCAGGCAGAGAGACAGAGAGAGACAGGCAGAGAGAGAGAGACAGCGAGACAGACAGAGGGGTAGATAGACAGAGAGAGACAGGCAGAGAGATAGAGAGAGAGACAGAGAGAGACAGGCAGAGAGACAGGTAGGTAGAGAGAGAGAGACAGGCAGAGAGACAGGTAGGTAGAGAGAGAGAGACAGGCAGAGAGACAGGTAGGTAGATAGAGAGAGACAGGCAGAGAGAGAGAGACAGACAGAGAGAGAGAGACAGACAGGCAGAGAGAGCGAGACAGGCAGGCAGAGAGATAGAGAGACAGGTAGGTAGATAGAGAGAGAGACAGACAGAGAGAGAGAGACAGGTAGGTAGATAGAGAGACAGGCAGACAGACAGACAGACAGCGGGATAGAGAGACAGACAGAGAGATAGACAGAGAGATAGAGAGACAGACAGAGAGATAGAGAGAGACAGGCAGACAGAGAGAGAGACAGGCAGAGAGATAGAGAGACAGGCAGACAGACAGACAGATAGACAGACAGACGGATGGATAGACAGACACAGACAGACAGGTAGGTAGACAGAGAGACAGACAGAGAGATAGAGAGAGAGACAGACAGATGGATAGACAGACAGACAGTCAGACAGACGGGTAGATAGACAGACGGATAGACAGACAGACAGACGGATAGACAGACAGACGGATGGATAGACAGACACAGACAGACAGGTAGGTAGACAGAGAGACAGACAGAGAGATAGAGAGAGAGACAGACAGATGGATAGACAGACAGACAGTCAGACAGACGGGTAGATAGACAGACAGACAGAGAGATAGACAGGTAGATAGATAGAGAGACAGACAGGCAGGCAGACAGACAGACAGACACTTTATTTATTCCGAGGGAAATTCAAGCATCCATTAGCAGCATACAAACATAAATTACATTAAACATACATTAAAGTTAAAATTAAGCTATAGCACAGTAGCCAAACATTAAAGTGGATAAATTAAATAAAATCAAATATGTGCCGAGAGAGAAAATAAACTAGAAAAAATAGAAATGAAAACGTGTGCCTCCTCCCCCCCGAGTGAGGAGTTGTAGAGTGTGACGGCAGCCTTCCACTGAACAGGCTCCTCTGGCTGCTGAGGACGGTGTGCAGGAGGTGGCTGGCATCGTCACTAATGTCCAGCAGTGGTGGCTGGTGTGTGTTAGCCCTTTTTTAAAAGTGACAAAAAATTCAATTTATTTGCATTTTTATATCAAAATCTGATCTTTTCTTAATAGATTAGCTGTCAGAAATGTTTATCAGAATTGTTTATTGCCAAGTAGGTTTTTACACCTACGAGGAATGTGACTCGGTGCATTGCAACCACAGCTGTTATCTCCCAGTGCAGACAGATACACAGTTCAATGCTGCATGTACACAACAACAACATTATCAAGACATATTGGGACACAACCTGAACTTAATATTTGTGTTTTCTTCAGCTCAGAGACAGAAGAGCTCTTTCAGACTCGCTAACTGAAGCCTGCAGATTATTCTGAAGACGCTCAAATCCATAAACGACAAGGTACAAAGATATAATTCAAGTTTTTAGTTCGGCAGCAGGGAAGATGTGTGTATTGATCTCAATATTCAGCTGCTGTCAGAAACATTTTTAATATATCTAATCACAGAAGCATAGGGCAATGTTGTGCAAAAGTACAATAAAGAATCACAAAATAAGAATATTATAAAATATTCTATAATGAGACTATAATGAAAAATATATACACTATATGCAATATGCAGTAAAATGGTGTGCAAAACATCTTGAGCAGCTAGATTTCAACCAGTGATATCACGGCATTCACCCGTCAATCATTCTTCAACTGTTAGCGTAGGATGGAGCCCTTTTCTATCATTTAATAAACTGACGACTGAATGAGTGACATATTTTATGGATATTCTATATTATATTCAAAACTGTGCAATGAACCCAAACGGTGAACTCAGCAACTGCAGGAAGTCGGTGTAAAACCAGTGATTTGGATGAATTTTGAGCAGATTTTTATACAATTATCTGTCTTTATTATGTATTTTCTATTGTTTCTAACAGCCATACAGACTTAATAGGCTTCTTTTTTCAACAAATTCAGCGTTTTCTTCTCCCTGATGCTTTTATTAGTACCGTTGTAGCGTTGGGGGCGGCAGTAGCTCGGTCTGCAGGGACTTGACTTGGCAACCAGAGGTTCACTGGCTCAAGTCCTCACCATCTCTCCATTTACTTATAAGCCCTGTGAGTGTGTGTGTTGTGTGTGTGTGTGTGTGTGTGTGTGTGATACTGTGTCTATTTTTTATGTTTTCTTACCCCCCTTAAAATGAAGAAGGCCTTGCGACCCGCCGTGAAGCTTTGGCGACCCCTAGTGGGGTTCTCGACCCCCAGGTTGGGCACCACTAAACTACACACGGGTCGGGTGGAAGATCTTTTAAATGTAGTAAAGAAACACTCAGTTAAATCTTACTTTGGAGTAAAAATACAAAAATATTGGCATCAGTATTTACTTAAAGTACCTCAACGGAAGGTATAAGGTATTTTCAGTTAGCAACTAAATATCAAAAGTAAAATTTGGAAGCTTTACTTAAAGTTGTCGTTGGTCAAGATGGAGCTAAGTCATATAAAATCATACATTTTTGTGTGTAAAATCATAATTTGAAAAGAAACTAGTAACTAAAGCTCTTACATAATGTTCTTTTTTGTCATTTAACATCCTAAAAAAGAACCCGCTTGTCCAAATACAAAAACAACATGATACACTGGCAAAATAAAACCGATTGCAGGATAAAAACACACAAACAAGTTACAATAACTTTCAGTTTCAGTGATTAATTATCAGTAATATATTGTTCCTTTTTCTGTCAAACAGGGACAGAACAGAAAAACTCCAGCTGAAGCAGTTTCAGGGTGAAATGTCAGAAAAGATAAGAATAGACTTTTGCATAATGTTTATTTGTATCTGTGGTACAAGACTGAGTTTACACTGACATTTAGGTACCAGAGCATATGTTTACAGTATGGAAGTGTATACTGTCAACAGATATGAGAAAGATGACTAACCAAAGTCAGTCTGCTGGTGTATTTTTACTATATAAATGACTTAAATTATGAATTTGTATATATATATGTAATGATGTGATATTAGTATGACTTTTTGACAGTTTTAAGGTTTAATTTCATACATATTGCCTGTTAGTTGGTCTTGTTTTTCATCTCTTATGATTGTCTTTGTATTAAATGATCAATTATATTTGTTTATTATGGCTGCTGTCATTTAATCTCTGACAGAAATATAAGTAAAATAATACATAAGTAGATACAACTGCAAGAAAATGTCCTCAGCTTAAGTCTGGCCTCATGTAGAGGGATTTATTTTAATAAAATAAGACATACAGTAGTTAAAAGCCACTGCAATCAAATGAATTAAAGTATTTTATGATCATGATATTTAGTAAAAAGAGATAATCTCTTCTACGTTTTACTGAAATGATGCTGTAATGGTGGATTATCTGTCAGTAATTAGTAGTTAAGCTATTGTTCATGTCACTAAGTGATCTACCTCAACAGGTTTATCCAACTCAGACCACAGAATATTCAGATCAGTTAACCACAGCTGTTATCTCCCAGTGCAGACATTATCAAGACATATTGGGACACAACCTGAGCTTAATATTTGTGTTCTTCCGCTCAGAAACAGAAGAGCTCTTTCAGACTCGCTAACTGAAGTCCATGAACGACTAGGCACCAGGGAAAATGTGTATTTATCAGCAGACCATTATAAACTGGTCTGTTGATTGATTACGTCATCAGCTGATCAATCAATCTCCATATGTTGGAAGTCTTTCACACAAAGCAAGTTAAACCTTCCTGAGAAGGTTTTGGTGGCTCCAGCGGGAATAAATCCAGGGGGTGTACGAGCTACAGGTAATGAATCACAGCAAGCAGAGACATCAGCGCGTTCATGGAGAAATGTTTCAGCGTCGGTGAAGACGATTTGAGTCGAGGTTTGGTGTAGATGTACGGATGCTCCTGGGGAAATGTAAAGAAAAATGTGTTTGAAAGGAAACTTTATTATCTACATACACAAACAGGAAACTCGTCAGCGTGTCAGTCGTGTGGTACCTTCGTGGGGCAGATGAGTTTTATTGGCTCTGAAAGTGTCTGTATCATCTCTTTCTCTCCCTCAGGCTGGAACTGAGGAAACATTTGAACGTCAGTGTCAAAATAAAACTTCATGAAGATGAACAGTCTGATGTTTTTATGAGTTTTCAGCCTTTTCTGATGTTTGAATTCAGTGATGGTAACTTTTATATTTTGCTAGGTATCTTTAGATGACTTTTTTCTTAAATCTATTGATACAAATATTAATATATTAGTCTGCTGTGACCCCATATGTAGGCTTAGACCCTAATCTTATCTTAACCAAACCTTTAACTAACTGACAACATCTTTAACGCCTATCTGAACGTAATCAGTACAACTTAAAACCATAAAACTTCACCATGTTGTTCCACAGTCCCTTTGCCAGCTCCTCGTGACCTTTAACAGTGAAGTGGAAACAATCTGCTGTGAAGAAGCTCAAGTCAATCGTCCCGTTCTGAAGGTACAGTAAGAGGGAGAACATAAATTACTAATAAATAATGATAAAAGTGGTAAACTGTCTGTGTGTGTATGTGTGACACTTACAGGAAGTGTTGGTGGTCTTGCATTCTCCAAATAAGGCTGCAGAACAACAGCAAAGTCCTTTTTGAAGAAACGGTCGCTGTGCAGTAGCTTCTCTAATCTTCTCTATAAAGAAGGGAAGTTAGAAAAGACAACACGTTAAGACTTTTTAAGACGGATTCCTGATCAAAGTGCTGTTTCACATTCATTCTGACAACAGAAACAGAAAATATGTAAACCAGAACAATGAAACCATGAGTTCTACTATAATAAAACCGACCAGAACAGGACAAAAAAAGAAGAGATTTAGCCGTTTTGTTCAGGCATTTTAATGTGTATGGAGATTTTTACAGTCTAATTATCTTGTTCGGTCTTTTTTGTTGTGAACTCACCTGGAACTCGTGGTTAATCTCGACCAGCTCCTCCAGCTCAGTGGAGTTTTCTTCAGGTTGAACGAGGCAAGAGCAGAAACTCCTGTGTGCAGATTATCAGGTGATCAGTTATCTCATATTATAGGCAGCTGGAATATGAACCTCCTGTTTAGTCACTGCACTGCATCATTTACCACTTCACATACTACAGTATTTCATTAAGAATTAGTTACTCTCTCTTTAAAGAGTTGATTTCCTGGTATTTTTAGGTTAGTTTTGAACAAATCAAGGTGAATAAATACAAGTTTAACTCACTGTTAATAATTATAGTAGTAATAATAGTTTGGTATAAATATAAACCTAAGTTTTGTTCAGTTTTTGTCCAATCAGATTGTATAGCTGAATTTCTCTGTGACACATATTAATAAAATGTATTAACTTTCTGAAAAAGGTCATCTAGCTAGCTAATCGGACAATATGAAAACAAAGAAGTATTATTTAAAGGTAGTTTCGACATCCACTGCTACAAAATATCTTTTAATGTAATTATACAGTTTGACTTGAGAGGAGTGGGAGGTTTACTGGTAAAAACAAATAAAAGAAAATTGACTTTTGAAGCTGACAGCCGAGGGTCGGCCTCTGAACATCTCTGAGAGGCTTCATGGAAAGAATCTGCACCACGTTGACGATCATCCTGGGGATCTGAAACCAGAAGGGGACATTCGTGCAGTGAGATAATTTCTGCAGAGTGAAGAGTGGAGCTTTAAAATGTCTGCATGGCCTCTTTCATACTTCACAGTTTCAGAGTGATAGTGGAGGGGAGAAGAGAGAGGGGGAGCATGAGGAAACTGTGTTCAACCTTTCTGGTGTGAAGGACCTCCAAACTGATACACATCAGACCACAGACCCGTATTGGATCATATGTAGACTCAGGGACCCTCATCTGACTCCAGATTTAGTTCCATAACTGTCTATACTGAAGATTATCAGATTAATGTGTGAATCCAATGAACAGAATATTCATTGTAATACATTCTTTCATTAGGGTAACACTTAAAATATTACCCACTGCTCTACGGCAGCATTATAGTAGGCTAATGTAAGCATTGAGCTCAGCGTCTGCAGGGTAGCCATATTGGAGCAGACTGAATCAATTCCTACAAGTAATCAGTATCAGGATCAATTCTTCACATTTATAACAAACCAAATCTCATGAAAATCGCTCCAAAACTCTGCATCTCTCAGTATTGTTAACTATAGCGGATCTTGACCTCCCCAATATGGCGACTGGGCTGATGTATGAGGTATCTACATTTCTCTATCTATGGTGGAGACCCTTCAGTTGAAGCATACAGTAGTTTTATAAAGTGAAGCTGTAGCTAATTAGGTGTCAGGTGTGACAATGTAGAGCCGAGTCTGAAATCTCTTAAGACAGAATAAACCCTTTTGATTTAGGTCGACACTCATTCATCCAATAACTTTGTTTCCTGGTGTGTGATGAGAATCTCCAGCTCTCTAAATTTAGTGTCTGACCTTGTTTTAAGATATAAAGTCTTACCTCGTTCATCATCAGGTCTAAAGCTTCTGTCATGTGGTGAATGAAGTTGTCGGGGGAGAACAGCGTCTGCAGAGGAGGACCAGATTTAAGACATTATATTTGTACACTTCATTCATTCTTCTAAATGTTCAGTTTTCATTTTTTCTCCATTCATAGGCCTGATATATCCAGTATACCTCACACTGCTACCACATAGTTAGAAGATAATGGTTTCCCATGAGTTTAATTTAATATTATGTAATGATATGGATTAAAAAAAACACACTGAATATTTTTTTAAATAAAATGTAAAGAGTAACTTCACATCGAGCAGGAATGCAGTGTTTCTCTGCACTTTCTGGTTAAGAGTTTCACTTCGGACCACACCCTACATCACCGCTGGGTGTAAACACAGGTGAACTATGCTTCACCTGTCACCACACCCAACAGCAATGTCAGAGTGGAGCGACACAGGAATAAAACAACTTGTAAAATTACTGTGAAAATGTAACTAAAATGTCCTTCAAGGAGTTTTTAACTGGTTATGAAAGTAATGCCTCTATATGACTTCTATAAACAAACAAGACCATCAGAGAGGAGATTGGCTATTCCTGTATAGTTATTTTTAATGCCTGCCACCGGGTGGGAACACTATCGCTTTTGTCCACAGGGGTCGCCAGAATCAACACAAAATAAAGGCTCCTTGAAGGGGAAATACTAAGTAAAAGTATTTATAATCAACAAAATGTACTTAAAGTATCAAAAGCACCTATATATGATGTCATTAAATTATTATGACTCATGCATTAATGTAAAAGCAGGATTTTACTGTTGCAGTTGGAGCTCATATTAAACTATTTCCTGTAGGACTGCAACTAATAATTATTTTTTATTATGGATTCATCTGCTGGTTGTTTTCTCCATTAATCCATTCATTGTTTGCTTTGTAAAAGATCCTGAAAATAGTGAATTACCCAAGAGCCCAGAGTGAGCAAAACTCAAAATTAATAGAAAATACATTCAAATGATTAAAAGGAAGCAGGAACCATGAATGTTTTAACACGACAATGACCTGAACGATTATGAAAATATTCAGTTTTATGTCAGTTGATTAAGTTGTACTTTCATATTGTTCATATTCATATGTTTTGTGTGTACAAACACAAGTAGAAAGTACTACCACTACTCTAAAATGTAGTGGAGTAGAAGTATAAAGTGGCATGAGAAGGAAAGACATTCCACCAGTGACCCTCTTACTTTGTCTTTACAGTAATCACAGATGTCGTTCATGCCGATCAGCATCGTCACCACCTTCCAGTCCTCTTGGAAGTTTAGACCCTAATAAAAAAAAAGTTGGCTCAGTTTGATGTTGAACGTCACACGAAGAGGATAAAATAAGATTATTTGTCATCTAATGAGCAGAGCGATGAACGCTGACACTCACCGGGTAAGACTTGAACGTGTCTATCATGGTTCTTATCTGATCTGACACGTTTCTGTAAGAGAACAGACAAACACTCACAGTGCTGACTCATCACACTGACATCAATAAAACACTATCGTATGATTATTAAATCATTTGCAGCTCTAATTAATTTGATCTTTGAACTTCAGGGAAAACATTTTGCTGCATGATGAGAACTTACTGCACAGCTTAAAGCTGCACTCCGTTATTTTTGTTAGAGCAGCAAATATTCCCCCGATTATTTGAAACTTGAAGAGACAAAAGAAGAAATAAACGGCAAGTTGGGGCAAGAGTCTTACAGCGTGTTGTGGCCCGTGATGGCGAAGTTGAAGCCGGTCTCGTTGACGGTCGTCGGGCTGCCGTGGAAGGTCATCACGGGTGCTGGACCCAGCAGTTTGGGATTGAAGAGTTTTAAAATATCTGGACAACGAGATGATCAAACCTCCTGTCAACTGATAGCTCTAATATATGTGATAGTATACATAAGGGCCAATAAATTACTGCTCGATAATAATAATCATTTATCTTAAATTGTTATGATTTATGTTTCTGAAGAAAGATTTATTAGAGACAGAAATAATCTCAATTTCAGCCACAGAATCACAGATTGCTGCAGAAGAACACAAGACACTGCTTCTTTCTTTCATTCATTCATTCATTCATTAGCTCATTATCTAGCTAGTTTAGGTCTTGCTAATCTATTTTTTGGCTTCACAACTTGTAATGAGATTATTTTTATCTTTAAACAATCTCCTAATATAAACTTACTTACTTGCCAGTGTTATGACATTTTGATAAGTTCCATATCCTCCGATGCTGATCACAGAAAAAGGGAAAGGGACACGGTAATTAATAATCAATGACAATAACATAAATCATAATAATAATGTCATTAAATGAAAATGATAACACTTATAATGAGCTCTGCGAGATTAGATAAAGTTAAACAAGGTCAGTGAACTTACAATCAGCAGCTTTTTGAGCAGAATCATCTTATGATAACATTTAAATGGGATGCTGATATTTAAGTGAGCGTTGGAGGGTTGATTGGTTGTATTATCTGAAACGGAGCCTGGAATTCGGCTGCAGAGCTGATTTACCTCCAGGAAACTTGGCGAAATTCGAAAGGTATCGCTAAAATGTTAGAACCGTTGGCACCAATAGCTGTCTGCAATAAAAACACAGACAGGAAATGTTCTTAATGAAGAGAAACACTGTTGTATTCATGTTTTTTAATGGAAGTTTAACAGTTTCTATTTCTCAGTATTTCTGTAGAAATAACATTTCACTCACAGTTAAAGAGTCTCCCAGCGCGGCGATGACTTTGACGTCTGCAGCTTTGACATATTCAACTAGAAACAAACAAGGAAACAGTCAGAACAAAGACGATACACAAAGCAACATCACGAGCACAGTCACAAGTTATCTGTGAAGTGGCTGACACACTATACTTCAATAGAGGTGAAGACATCAGTGAAATTCAGGTCGTCACCTTTCATGAACAGTTGATCTAACATTCACACATTAAACTCTCAGAGGTTCGAGGATTTAAAGGTCAGATATGAAGAAAAACAATCAATCAGCATCTATAAGCTATTTCAGTGCAGGTGTGTTGTTCTCACATTAAAGATATTGAGACATGTTTGCTGTGTAAAAAGAAGAAAAGTAAGTAGTAGAAGTAAACGTATAAAAAGTATTGGCATCAAATATATACTTAAAGTTTTCATTATGCAGAATGGCCCATTTCAGATTTATTATATTATTGGATTATATTGGATCTTAAAGTTGCAGCTGGTAAATGTGGAGCTAATTTTAATTATTTTATATACTGTCGGGTAGTTTAATCTATATTAATATACCGCAATGTATTAGTAGATTTATATTTTGTATTAGCAACAGGTAACAAGTAACTAATGTAGTGAATACATGTAGTGGATTATAAGAATAAAATGTCATAAAATGGAAATACCCAAGTAAAGTAAAGTACTATTTAAACTGTACTTAGTTACATTCCACAGCTGGGAATAGATATTGAAAATATTTGGAAGTATTTAAATCATTAACTTATGTATTAATAAAACAGTAGTGCAGTAAAAATGTAAAGAAATATTAGCAACAAAATGTACTTAATGTAGAAAAAGAGTGTTTACTGTCTACAGTGTTATATTCTTATATTATTAGATCATTATTTATGTATTAATATGTAAGCAGTACTTTCATATTGTTGTTGGTGAAGATGGAGTTATTTATAAACTACTTCATATACTTTGTTATAGTTAATTCATATTTTATAAACTGATCATATATTTAATGTACGTAAAGTCTTCATTTGTAAAGTAACTAGTAACTATAGCTCTTAAACAAATGTAGTAAAAAGTACAATAGGACTGTAATGTGGTGGAGTGTAAAGTATAAAGCAGCAGAAATTAGCTGCTTTCCACCACTGGATGCTGGTGAAGTGACACCGACCTGAGGAGGGGACGGTGGGAGACGGACTCATATCGGGGCAGCTGAACGGAGGATGAAGACGACGCTGCAGAGAATCTGTTCCAAAGACCTCCTGCAGGAAAACACACAGACACAATCCCACTGATGAAGTGCTGAGTGATGTTTAAAGTGACTGCAGGGAACATTGAACTCTGGACAGTTTTTGCTGCAGCATGTAGACGACCACATTGGACTCCAACAGTTCCCAAACTCCACACTGAACCACTCTCTCTCCTCCGGCTGCCGATGCTTTGATGTATTTTGGAGTTATTGTTTCAGATTCGTCCATATTTTTTGGTTTTCGATAGCCCTTTTGGTTATTTTAAAGTACAATTTAGGTTGTTTTTAGGATGAAAACTCTCTACGTAAGTGTGTTAGTCATGATTTTAAAATAATATTCTGGTTTTGTGGCTTTTTATATTTTATTTCTCTTATGTGGTTATCGTTCTCTGACATCTGTGACTCATCGTCATTGCTGCCTCTTTTATCCAAAACCCTTTTGAAAAAAGAAAGGTTTAATTTATTATTTAGTTTGTCTGAAAATGCCACATTTTGAAAATAAAAACAAAAAAAGGGGAAACTATGTACAACTTGGAAGTGATCTTTTCTTTACCATATGAGACACCCAGTTTATAATACTGCAAATATAAAAATATCACATTACTTTCATCAGTCGGCCAAATGCTCAATCACCACTGTGTTACCTAATTCGACATTAGATAGTGATTTACTGTAACAGACATTCATTTAAATGAAAATCTTAAGTTTAATGCAAACTGCAACACAACATAGAAAGTGGGGGGAAAGTGTAAAGTGGTTGAAATGAACCTCTTTAAGGTGTAGCAGCTATTAAAAGAAGAGCTATCACAACCTGCTCAGTGTTTATAATTAGAAACAACAGACTGTGCACAGGTCTTGTGGGTATGAAACCTCTGCACACAGCCTTTAAATGAATAGATTTACAAAATATGCAATCAGACAATTCAATTAATAAATACAATACAATATTGTTTGGGAAAAAGCTGCATCATTTTCTGACTCTGTAGTTGAGTTCAGTGAGTCTGATATTGAATAAAAAATCAATTTCACTGTCAGTTTTGCATTCAACAGCAAGAAAACAGTGTTGAAAACTCTTCTTTTCTACAACTACAGACAGCTTCAACCAGATATTCCTATGATCCAAATATAATAATAAACTATTCATTGACAGAAACAGCTGGTTTTGTTCTGTTAGCTCATGCAGGTTATATACAGTGTCGAATGTTTTAGATGGAGACAATACCTGGTTGATTCTTTCATCTTCTTCCCTTAATGTGTAGCCTGCAAAAGAAAAAATATAAATAAAATAAATGATAAAGTTTGATCCAGATACAGGAGACTCAGATTCAGATCCACGCTGTAAACGAGCCGAGTAAAACATCCAATTAAAGTAAAAGAAATAGTAAAAACATGAACCTGCTCACATCCTTACATGTTAATATATTTGAACTCTTACCGTCTACATGAATAAAAATACAGACTGCCAACAGCGCACAGAGCAACATGCTGTCCTTCCCAAAAGGAAAAACAAATAAAGAAATAAAAATAAAGAGTTGTCGTGCAGGTTTGGAGCTATAGTGTTAAATAACCTTTGTAATGAACACTTATCTTTGACCTTTGCAGTCATTAGTGCAACCACGACTCTCCGGGCAGAGTAATATACTGTAGATAACAGTAATTGCAATGGTCTTCAATTCTTCAACAATAATCCAGAACACCAGATGACTTTCAACAGGATGTAAATACCAATCAGATAATAAACAAGGACTGTGCCCAAATTAGCTTTGCTTAAAGTCTAAATCAAGTCAAGTGTAAATTGATATTGTAAAACTTATTAATACAATTAGTTTTTAATTAGAAATGACATAACATAGCATCTCTTGTTTTAGCTTTAATTCTATATGTTTCAAGTCCTTTTTAATGTTTAATGTTAAGTGTCATAGGTGCTTGTATGTCTCTGGTCTATAGTGACGTCAATCTGTGTCTCTTCCTGATAAATAAAGTCCTCCAAAACTATCTGTGTTCCACCAATAACATGTTTTTACTCAGTCGGCAGTTTTCTGACATGACTACTATTCATGTTTTTATGTGTCAAAGTAAAGTACTTACTCACTGTGTGCAGTCTCGCATAGCCATCTAACCATAGCCAGGACGATCTCCGTGCTTCGTTTTAGAGCTGGAGAAAGTAGGTGAAAGAAAGATGATAAGTGGGAGACTCTCTCTGTCAGTTTACTCAGCTAGTGGTTCGATGGTTTTGTTGATATTATGAAAAGGTTTTAAGTGAATTTACCTTAATTTGTTGGGAAAAAAACTAAAATCTGTAAGATCTGAGATCCATTTCCCCCAATTTATCGTAGTGTACAACAAAATCTTCTGGATGAATTCACTTATAGTGCACATTTCTTAAAGTCCATATCATATCATATATCCTACGTCAAGGTTTTTAGACATCTGAATCAGTGGTTCCCAACTAGAGATAGTCAGAGCTTCACAGGGTCGTGAGGCCTTGTTGATTTTAAGGGGTGTAAGAAAACGTAAAGAAATATACACAGAAGGCTGAAATCTCAGCACTTCATGTTTTTACACCAAATTTGCAAAATAAAAAGTCTATTAAGTATCTATGATTGTTTAAAAAATAAAATAAAATACATAATACAGAGAGAGAATTGTATAAAAAGTTCCCTAAATATATCAGGATAACTAATTTCTTATGTAATCAGAGGAAATAATGTGAATCATTGTAGGCTACAGTTTATTAATTGATCTGTATTGTTGTTATTATTATGCACTGAATGAAACATCTATAAAGTATTTCACTTTGTGACTCATTTAAGGGATTTAATCTCGTTATGATTCAAACAGCATTTCTCTAAACTTTTAAAATCTTTTGCTTTTAAAAAATATATATATATATCTTTTTATTTGAAATGATCTTTAACTTTTTATTAACTCCTGAGGGGGTCATGACGTCATTATTGGGGTCACGCGGGGTTGACCTCAGGTGTGTGTGTGTGTGTGTGTGTGTGTGTGTGTGTATGTATTGTGTGTGTGTGTGTGTGTGTGTGTGTGTGTGTGTGTGTGTGTGTGTGAAGTCTGAAGGTAAACAAATGGACCCAGCGGCGGTTCGCGGTAAAAACATGAACAATGTGACCGAACCGCGCGGATTAAAGCGAGTACAATGCCCGGATACAAGAGCAGATATAACTTACGCTTCTCTCCCGTGAGTACAAACTTTATTCTGCAACTTTAAAGATGTTAAAAGTGGAAATAAAAACGAGCTAACAGCTAGCCGCCTCCGCCTAGCATGGAAGTGTTGGGAGCACTTGCTGCGTTCAGGGACTGTCGGGAATCTGGGTTGTCATCGTCGTCCTGGGAAAGGGGTAAACAAACATTACGACTGTCAGTCGCAGTTTTCTAATAAACCCGGGTTTAACTCGGGATATTATAGTGCGGATAGCACCTAAACTCAGTTAACAACCTCTAAATCTGAAGCTGTACATACCAACATTCAGATGATAGCAGAAATAGTAGTAGAAGTTTATAAATTAGTAGCATAAAAAGTAGATTCAGATATGAGTTATGAGACTTTTGATTCTGAATAACTTGTTTCTGTTGTATTATGGTCTGTGCTCCAGTGCTTTCTATTTGAATTGTGTTCTTTTTTGGCATTTTGAATCTTCTTTGATATATTTACCTCATGTAAACACACAGATACAGTCATACGTGTGGCACGCTACCAAATGTGACAAATAAACCACCTAATAAAACAGCCGTCATTCAAACTTCATCTCATTTCAAAGGTCTATTTATTATCATGTAGAGGTGTTAGCTCTGAACGCTTTACATGTAGCTTTCATGGCCTCAGCTCTAGGAAGCAGTAGTTTACGAGGAGCACCTGAATGCAGCAGCTAAACCTGTGCATCCTTTCTGCAGGCTGTTTCTGAAAGTGGTGAAACATTTGGTTTTTTTTTTACCTCCAGAGTCGCATCAAAAAGATCATGCAGAAGGACACAGAGGTGGGGAGGATTGCGATGGCGGTTCCTGTGATCATCTGTATCCTTTTAACGTGCTGGGAGAAGCACTAAAGTAACTGCTGCCTTTGAGTCTGAGACCATCATGGGACATAAAACACTCCACTGGAGATTTCCTCCAGGTTCTTCAGGCTCTCCGAGGCTGTCTGTGTATTACATTGCTACTTTTAAATGAGGCATTAATTAAATAATTCAACACCCTGCAGGTGATACAATCTGTTTCCTGCTGTAGTCCTAAAGGAAGGCCGGTGTTAGAGAGATGTGTGTGTGTGCAGTGAAGTGTGTTGAAGCTGTAAAGTCCTGAACTGCAGGGATCAGCTCGGGCGCTGGAAATGTTCCTGAAGTGTCTGCTGACCAAAACCAGTCTGATAACTCAGTCCAAGCTGAGCGCCGTCGTATCTGTCGCTCATATGTAAGCACGCCTGCTGGTCCACCTGCAACTTGACTTAAAGGACCAGAGTGTGGGATTTAGTGGCATGTAGCTGTGATGCATTCACTGCCTGTATGCCAGACTAATAGTATCCAGTTTGTTTGATATATTTATCTTCATATTCAAGAAATTATTGTGCATTACTGCATCAAATTACATCAAAATGTGACTTCAAGTGGCTTTAAATTTAATGCACAGAAAGAAAAACGGGTTACTTTCTAAAGATTTAACACTTATTTTGGTACTTTCTTAAATCTTCTATTAGAGTTTTACAGACGTAATACCCAAAACCTGTTCAGTACGTTGCATGGAATGGAATTAGGAAAGTAAATTATTATTATTGTTGTTTTTGTTGCTGCGTAGGAAGCAGTGCATAGAGTCGGAGAAGCTCTTCGACTTCCTCAAAGACCTGGTGGAGCAAGCGACGTCTCCGGCAGGCCAGAAGGACAACAGAGGCACGAGTATGTGGCCGCTGTACAGGTAGAGATCGAAACATTCCCCATCAGTTGTTAACTATCACGGACTGTTTGGGTGGTGAAAAGTGTGAGCCGATGTCCTCGGGTGAGTTTCTTCTTTACATATACTGTAGATGTAAAAGCATTGTTCTCTTCCATCTGTAACTGAAAAGCATCTTTCTCTTGTATGTACGGTAGATCTCTATAGATTATTCTCTCAATCAGACAAATCATTTGGTCAAATAATCAATTAACTTTATCATGTATGACCCCAAAAAAGCAGCAAATCCTCACAGTTGAGGAGCTCGAATCAGAGATTGTTTGTTATTATGCAATAGTTGATTCATTTTCTGTTTACTGTCTGTATTGATTAAATCATTTCAGCTTTATCCTACAGTAAAAGTTCACATGATGTTCTTTCCAGGACCAAACGACGTGAAATTTCTGTTAAAAACCCGGCTGAAGTTGTAGAAGTGGCGCCACGATCGAGCCTCGACTCACTGGACAACGACTCTTCCACCTCCAGCGTACGTCTTCTACGACTGAACGCGCTCACACTTCATCCTCTGATGGGGCTGTTTCTTATCTTCTTACAGTTTATCAGCAGCAGGCACCGTTTGTAGTTACAACAGCGGCCTCGTGAGGCTGTAATGTTCGTTACACCCCCAGAAAACAAACCGTACAACTGGATTCTGACCTCATGTTTGTCCTGTTGCACCAGAGGAAAGGCCGTGTTGTTGTGTGAATTAAAAAAGGGGTTTATAATGTGTCCGAGGAGCGAGTAAACAACAAGCAGCTACTATAAAGGGAGCATTCATCATAGGGTGGCAACGTTTGTGACATCCTCAGTAATTACAGAGGAGTCTGAAGGGTTTGAAGTGACTCTCTCTGCTCTGTTTCTTCCAGGAGTCGGAGCTCTACATCTGCTTCTGACTGCCGACGTTCAACCAGAGGAAAGTGCTGTCATCTTAAAGCAGCACATCATTTCATCACTTTACTTTTGTTTATATGTTTATTTTTTATTTAAGCTTTACTGCTTTTTGGGGGAAAAAACCCCAAATATTTGAGTTATATAATATTTTAGACTTTTGCCTGCTAATGTAGTTTTTGTTGAGAAAAAAAAGGTTATATGTAATATAATTTTGTAGTGAAGCTCTTTTTCTTTTTGTTTGTATCAGAAGTTGAATTCTGTGTAAGTTTACACTAAAATGAAAATATTTAAATTATGCAATATAAATTGCTTCATACTTTTACAGTCTAAACCTTTTGTTTTTGTTGTCGTTTAGGCAGTTTGCTTTAAACTTTTGTAGTTGAACTGAAATGTTATGCTCTGGTTAAGTAAAATGTTAGAGAATACGTCTCTATGCGTTCGCCAACCTTTAAAACCAAACTGAGTGCTTGTTTTTGCTGAACGGCGGCCTTTAACGGCGGCCGTTTCGAAACATTTGATTTTTTTAAAGCACTTGTAAATTAACGTTTTAAAGACAGTAAACCTTTGCATATGGAATGTGATCAGATCAGTAAATAAATAAAGGTTCATTTCAGCTGTGAGTGGCAGATTTAATGTGAAGATGTGCTCACATAAATAAAAAAAACAACCCAAGAGCATAGAGGGATTGGTTTTATTCTAACCAACTCATCTTTTTACATTGTGAAAGGATGAAATGATGAATAAATAGATGCATTCTGTCCTTTTTTTTTTTAACTGGAAATTTACACTTTAAAGCCAAATATAGCAAAACGCCTCTCTTAAGTTGCTACGCTAGCTATCTGCATAAGGAGGAGAAACCGTTTTCACGTTCCGACATTGACAAACATTACGCACCAACGTTCCCGCTGAAGGTCCGAGCTGATCTGATCACCCAGACAGACGTCGGACTCGTAAAATGTGCACGAAATCAAGTATCAACGAAAGTAAAGTACAGCTCGGCTATAAGTGACAGACTTCATGAGTAAGAGTTTAAATCCAGTGGTCGTTCCTCCGTCTGGCAGTTGGAAATGAAACATGCATCTTGGCTGAAAGCATCTTCACTACAGTTACACTTCAAAAGAGTAAAATAAGTAAAAAAAAAATGTTTTAAAGCAACATCATATTTTTTTCTAATAAACCAAATAAAAAACACATTTATTTTTACTTTTGCAGTAATTACATATTTATAGAATTGTGGCCAATTTGCATTAGCGGTTCAATAGATTCTTCTTTGTTTTATTTAATCCATTTTCTATCCAGAGTCCCAAAAAGGCACAGTCGCTTTACACTCCTTTGAACAACTGACCCAAATACTGATGGGGAGAAATCTAGATTTAAATATGTTCAAAAAATTAAAACATTTACACACAAACACAGACAGACAGGTGACAGATCGGCCTTCACCTACTGCGTCTCTTTCGTTTAACTCGTGCTGTGAGTTTACAACGGACATCTTGTGCCAGACAGATCGAAGGACATGTTTTAAAAATTGAGAACAGAAATGAAAACAGAACTACAAGTACAGCATCTTCAGAAGAGTCGCGCTCCGTAGCCAAAAGTCTGTTTAATAGCTTCGAAGTAGTATCTCTTCCAGCCCTCTTTCGTCCGCTCCTCCTCGTTGTCCGGGACGCCTCGGCAGTCCACCTTCAGCTCCGTCTCGCTGCTCCGGTCCAAGAAATGAATCGTGATTGTCGCGTAGTGCTCTGTTGGGGGACACGGGACAACCACATGTTACCGTCAGTGTCTCCAGTTGCACAGCGAGGATTACAATAAACTGGTAAAAGAAAACGAGCCTCAACGTGTGACTCACGACCCCCGCAGTGAGGCAGATAATGTGTTTCATTCCACCCTTAAACAACTGAATAACAAAAAATAATGAATAGGACTTTGTCGAGGGCATTTAGTTAGAGAGATGCTGACGGAGAGCGGTGCTAATGGCAGAGACGAAGACATGAGAGAGAGGAGAGAAACCGCCAGGCGAGTAAATCTCAGACCGGCTTTTAGTCGTTGCTGAGAGCTTTGTGAGATAAAAGGCTGCAACAGACGGCGAGCTGTCCTTGTTTCTGTTTGACTAGTCCGTAATATTAGCTGGCTGTTTCTACTGTTGTTTCATTTGCTTGATGTTTGGCTGTGTTAGAAAAGGCTGCTAGATTTTGGTCAGAAGTAATGTAAGCCTAATAAAATGCACCAAATCTTACATAATGTTGCTCTAAGAATTAAAGGTTCATTGCTCTTTGAAAGGGTTTACTTGCATTATTATATCCACCATAATATCAGTGGCATTAACCATTACAGTAACACTGTTTATCCAAATTATTTTCTATATTCATATGAATGTAAACAGTCAATGATTTGACATTTGTGTGAAAATGGCTGTTGAAATATTAAAATATAAATAAATGAACATACCACAGGGCCAGTTGTTATACCTCCACTTCATAACTATTTTCTCATCAGGTATCTGGTGGAGAGAGAAGATTCCTTGTTAAGACAAAGTATTCACTTCATATAAAAGATGCTGTAGAATAAAAATAGAAATTAAACTCCACACTGCTGATATACACTTGAATATATTCCCTATTATGTTTTAGGTTTTAAGGTTTAACATCAGTCTCACCAGCTCTGTGAATTCACCAAAAACGTTTCCCTCTAGCAGACGAAACTTTCCGCCCCTCTCTCCGTCCACTGTCGCTGGAGCGTGTGTGAACGCCTGGGTCATCTGCAGGTGGACAAAAGACACTTCAATCAGACAGGCGACACTGATAATGGTCAGACGAGGTCTAATCCAAGTACCTGTAACGTTAAAATGCGTATTATTCTGTCAGATACAGCGGATTAACGGGTGGAGCTCACCTCCTGGTTGAGGAAGACCCTGTAGAGATCCGCTGGTGAGGTGAGGAATGTTTCTCTAATGCTGAATTTACAGGTGGGGATCTTGACGCCAGTGTTGATTGGAGCAGTTGTGCCGCTCGAGGAGGAAATCTGTTCAAATAAGAGAACAAAAAGGGAAGATCAGCTGCACCGCCGCAAGGAAAACACTGTGCTGGTTCATTACTGGTGCTTCTGTTACAGTAAATAATTCAGGGACCAGAGCATTGTCTGAAAATGTTAGTGACTCTCAGCACAAACCTGAGTCTTATCCTGCTTGGCTTTGGACTGTGAAGTGGACTGATGCTTGGCCACACCGTTGGCGGTAGGCAGGATCATTCCCTGTGTGAACTCTGCAATAAAAGCACTTTCTTTAAACTACAGAACAGCTTTTTCTTCATCACCACTGAATTAAAAAGCTTTTTTTCCAGCAGCCAAACACAAAGGAATCTGCCTTCAGAGCAGCAACAGGGAACGTTCATTTATTTTTGTAGATTCTGCCGACCCCTGTGGACCCGTTTCATTGATTTCAAGGGGAATCCAACCAGTGGAAGGCATTAAGAATAACTACATAGAAAAAGCCAATTCTTCTCACTGATGGTCTCATCTGCTTATGTAGTTCATACAGACTCATCAGTGTTACATTAAAGGGCCAGTGTGTAATATTTAGGAGGACTTATTGGCAGAAATGGAATATATTACTTTAGAATGAGCCTTTTATATCTACAGAAACAGTGAGTCGCCTCGCTGTCCGCCATGTTGAACCACCATGTTTCTACAGTCGGCCAGACGGGACAAACCAAACACAGGCTCTATATAGGAGTGTTTTGTTCCATGTTTCACCACCAGTCCTTCACACTTGGAAGGGAAAGGGTGAAGCGAGGGAGTTCTGATCTGCAATTTCACCACTAAATCTTACACACTGGACCTTTAAGAGTGCTTCATAACCAGTTTAAAAACTCCTTGTAGTAGGTTTAAATAAACAAATACAGGCACAATAATTCTAAAACTCCACAGTGAATAATTGTAGAGGATGGTTATTCTTTATTCCACTATTCAAAAATAAGACATTGTAAGCAAACGTATTAAATTTAGACAAGTTCAACTATAATACCTACTCTCAATGTGGTTAGATCTTCCACACAGCACTTTTAAACTCATTATTTTAACCAATTAATACTAAAAATTACTATATATGCTAATCATTATAACCCCTATATCTTAAAAATGAGTCTCTTTTAAAGGCTGACTATGTTCCTGACCATTTATATTACAGGTATACGCTGTAAATACAATAACTGATCCTGTGTTTTGAGTTTTGGAGGTGAACGGAGCCCCCTTTGTGTCAATCTGGATCAATGATTGTTCCTCTAACAACGAGACTGGTTTCACTCGCCTGTTTTTAAGTACCCAACGTAGCTTCCCAGGGCTTCACGGATTTTCTCAGCTCCTTTTGTCTTCATCAGGCTGGTCAGAGGCGTTTCAGGCTCATCTTTATTCAACGATACAGAAATCTGGACAGAGATCACAGCAGAGGGTATCACCACACTGTTCCTACACCACCAGAATTATTATACACATGTTTCTTTGGTGAAAACTCACATCAAGATCCTCCATGTCGTTCTCATCGGACAGGTTTGGAACTTCGATTGTTCCTTGATATTTGACTCCTGCGTTTGACTTTCCTGGTGAAAATAAAGAGAATACAGTTGTTAGCAGAGATTCAAAGCCTCTTTATTCCTCTTTATTTTCAATAATGTAGATAAAAATTAAAAGACCAACGCTGCTTGCAGATGTAGGACCGATTTTAGACATACATATTTAACCAAATTCCCCTCCACAACACTCCCACTCACCGGTCCAAGTAGCTTTCAGGTTCCATTCATAGAAGAAAATAAGTTTCCCTTTGCGGTTGTTAATCGAGGCCTCTCCTTCCACCTTGCTGACTTCTGTCACCTCGCAACTCCCCTCTTCGTTCTCCACGCTCAACCCGAGGAGCAGGGCTTTTAACTTGTCCGACGACCAGTTTGTCGCATCTCGTTCAGTCCTGAAAAAGGTCCAGCAGAGAACGCAGTGATGAGAGACCACGTACCAAACCCCACACAATCTGAATCTTCTGTATCAACTATTAACACATAACACACATCATCTGTTCTTAATTCCTATACCGCGCCTTGTTTGTATACTAAAATATAAACCGACTACATACTAGCTTCTCCCTCGACCTGCTGAGAGAGAGACTCGGCGAGGGGTAATCTATTTATAATTACAAGCCGTAAATATATTGTGCCATTAATAGCATTTTAAACCACACTGCTGATCACTTTCATCCCGCGTTGGCTGCTGGTTACTTTATCTTAACTGTGGAGTGAAAATCAGAAGTTTTTAAACTTTCTTGAGATGGTTAATCTTCTCACAGTGAACATCACATTTACATTATATTAAGTCACGCTCACTCGGTTTACAGCTGAATATGTCGTATTACCTACATTACTACACAACGACAACAGAACATTCATTAACATATCGTACGTGATGACTTAACCACTTCAAGTTCATTTTTATACTTTGCGCTGACATAAACTGTAACCAACAGCAGTCTGCGAGCCAGGAACGACACACATAACAATCGAACATCGTATAATACACAACAGAAAACTGCAGAAATGTGGAACTAAAATGGTTTTAAACACTGAAACAAGGAGGGCCAAACCCTAAAGGGACCATAGAGGGCTTTAGGTTACAACAACATGGGGGGTAAATGTAGGAGTGGCAGGAGGCATTTTATTTAAACTATTGGCTTTTTTTTTTTTTTTAACTTTTAATAACAGAACAGAGTATATTTCCTCTACAGACACTTAAACATGGCACAATACTATCACCAGAATACATTTCTATAGTGATTTATGTCTTCTTAGAGGCTGGATAAGACCACAATGGGGACCACCCTGAAAGCAGCAGTGTATGTACAGCATCACATGTGGGAAATGTGCCACAATCCGAACACCTAAGGCCACTTTCATACTAAAACCTCCTTTTAACAACAAGATAAAAACCCCACAACTGCAAGGACACCGACGACATGTGGATGTACTGAAAGAACATCTCTTAAGTGTGTTAGCCACAAACAATGAGATAACATTTACAGTCACGTTGTGGACGGGTGCTTTCTCTACAGGAGGCCAAACTTTCTAACCAACGTGATTAACCCTTTAACAGTACGTTATTACACCGAAACACGTTGTAACGGACTAATTAACACCCCCCACCGACGGCAGCTAGCGAAAGGCGAAGCTAACTCCAACTTAGCTTAGCGTCTTTTTTTTTTTTTTTAATTTTAAAGTCTTTTCCAAACATTTTCACACTCACAGCTGCTTGTGCGCAGTTTAAAAACACTAAAACTCTCATTATGTTGCACAAAAACAAAAAAAACCCCACAACCCAGCTGTAACTTGACACAATAAGGGCTCAATGAGTGGCGTTAGCATTAGCGGGAGCTAGGTAGCAGTCGGTGTCCTTACCAGTGCCAGTTGTTGACATTAGTCGCATCGGCTCTCTCCTCCACAATCCACCGAGGGTCTCCTTCTCCCCACTTGGCCATTGTTCAGACAGCTAACTGACTGTAGTTTCACTGTGTCGCGTTGTGTGTGTGTGAGAGACAGACAGGCTGAGAGAGAGACAGGTTTGTGTGCCGGTGACTGCACGTTGTTTCTAGAAGCCTCTCGCTGCTGCTGGCTCTGGAGCGGTGCTCCCGCGTTCATCCGCCGGGCTCACAAGTTACTGGAAACGGAACCTTGTAGAAGGAGGTTGAAAAAACAAACAAAAACGGAACTGAAGTTTTTTTTTTTTTTTTTTTTTTAAAGAATAGTTCTTAATAAAAAAAAATAATTTTAATTCCAAACTAGATTTACTGGGAGATCCAGAGAGCTGCTGTGTTGAACTGATTAATCGATGGCTCAATCAATTAGTCGATTGACAGAAAAATCAAATTATGATAATCAACAGAAACCTGCCCCCAGCTTCAGGAAATTGCTGCTTTTATATCGTTTTATACTGAGTTAACATAAGATAGACTTTATTGATCCCACGCTGGGTAGATTCACGTGCCACAGCAGCTCCAGATACAACTCAACAAATATTAAAAAAATAGAAAAAAACACAAGATATAATAAAAAAATAGAAAGAATAGGAGTTGTATGTACGCTATATACAGTTTTTATACAGTGATTTATATGGAAGATTGCACAGGTTACAGCAGGAGGTAGTGGCATGGTGTAAAAATAAATAATTGCACAGAATAATATATATATTTATTTATTTATCTAAATATGTATATGAACTGCATAGTACTAATAATGCAAGTAGCTTATTAAATAGTGCAAAAAAAGTGACAAAACAGTTCTACATTAATATATTATTAGGCTGTCGTGATAAACTGATACTGGCAAAATCATAATATTTAAAATTAAATATTGATATATATAAATAATCCAGCACCTCTTAAAGGACCAGTGAGTAGGATTTGGTTTGATTTGATGGCATTTGGCCACCATGCAACGATCTGAATACAGATCCAAGGTTGTAGGAGAAACTAGGCAAAAGGCCCTTGGTTTGACCTTTCTGGGCTACGGTAGAGACATGGAGGTTCAACATGGTGGAAGGTGACCTGTCGTATCTGTAAATGTAAAAGGCTCATTCTAAGGTATCAAAAACACAATTATTCTTATTTTTAGGTGATTATACACTAATAAAAACAGACTTAAGAATATTATATTCCATTTCTGCCGATAGATCCTCCTCAATGTTACACACTGGACCTTTAACACCGGTTGCCAGGGTTACCGTTGAGTTTAATTCATTTGCCAAAAAAGAGGCAAAACACTCAATAAAAGTTAAAGATTAAAGAAGAATTTTGCTGACAGCCTTTATTTATTTACTTCACATTTTCTATATTGTGATAATATTGTTAACATGAATTCTTTCGGCCTCGATAATCATATAGTAAAAATCTGATATCTCATCTTGGACTTTAAGGCAAACTGCAACGACAAATGCTTTCACAGCTTTCTGACAATTCACAGACAAAACAATTTGTCCACAATGGAAATAATGGTCATTTGCACCTGTATTGATGTGGCTGTAGAACATTTACATACCTCACAGTAAACACTTTCCTCCAATGAGCAGAATTTACATATTAGACAGTAAGTAGGAAAATGAGGGGACTGCGTTGTTCTCTCCAGTTTCAGCCTGTTCCCTCTGTAACAGTGCTGACATGGGACAGGAACCACACTGTCTCTATTTGGTGGACAGCGTTCACTGTGGGAAGTCAGTGCGGGATAACGTCCATGTTGCAGACACGCAACCCGTCATAGCAGGAAATATACAGGTGAAAGACATTTTATTAACAATGTCTCAGTTCCATATAGCTTCCCAGTAAGCCATGACAGTGAGCCACCATGCACATTATCAGGAGCCTGGAAGGAGATCAACTAAATGGAGCACAGTGGTTTTTAATGTGATCATTCACACCTGTACTTTTAGGTCTGTTGCTCAGGGTTCCTGTGAGGGTTGTAGGATCTAGGGGGGGTAACATGAAGCTCAGCTCTGTGTTGTGAGGTGAAAATAATCACCTGGTGACTGTATACCTGAGAGAACACTTGTTTTACATCATTCCTATTACTTAAATTAAATTAATTGTCTAATCTTCCAGGTTTGGTGTGGATTTAATCAGCTGGTTTGTTTTTGGCTCAAGCCCAATCTATCTTCCCCCTAAAAAATTAAAATCTGTCGTTAGGTTTCTGAAATACATCATTAATAGGAAGGCAGATTAAACTAATTATCAAGGGCGAAAACAAAAAACCTTCATGGCAGAGGTAATAAGCATCACTAGCACAGATAATTACTGATAATTATACCGATCTGACTCAAAGGGGGTTATGTGTGGTAGCTTTAGAGAGAAGAAATACACTACTGAAAAGACTGAAGGTGGCGAAATGCGTCAGTGATGTGTAGAAGGGAAGATTCAGGAAGAGATAAACATTCAACTTGCAATTTCACAGCCCTGAAACCCAATTATAAAGTGGAAAACACGTAATTTTAAGAGCACGTTAACATCTGGTGTTAAAAACACGACATCCAAACGCATTTACACTCGGTGCTGATTATGTTTTCTTCTTTCCTGCAATTTGTGATCAGTAATTGAATTCAGTACATGAAGAGGATCCATAAATCACTGCAGAAATCTCCATTAGTGCATTTATCTCTTATTGACTCCTTAAAATATAACTAAAATATGCCCGTATGGTCATATTAGTCTCCCTGTAATCAATACAGATCATAACCACAAACTCTTCTGTACATGTCTGTCAGTACAAACAGGACAGAATAAAGGAGCAGTATCAAAAAGTTTGCTGCAAGAGGCTTTACAATCTACAATTCATGATATGATTTACTCACATTTCGCTTGAACAAAATCAAACAAATAATGACTAAATCTACGATATATATATATATATATTATATTTTCTTTATCAATTTAATCTCATCATCATATCATTCATACATTTCCTGTTAATTAAACATCTTGACACAATTTCTGACCTTATTACTTTCTGTTATTTATTTCCTTTACTTTTAATAATGTGTATGTTTATACATGTGGATGTATAGATGTGTATGTATATGCGAATACGTATATACAACATGATCAGTAACATCTATACTGCTACTACAAACCATATTGTTTATATATGAACTGTATTTTAAGACCTTAAGGACTTATGAAGTACACAGTAAACAACCGGACTTGTTAAGATGGAGACTGCGGTTGTTATTTTCTTGTGTTTTCATGAATGTGAACCACACTTAACATCTGACTGACAAAATCTGTGTACTTTTACTATATATATAAAAAAATCTAAATAATGGGTATATTATCCAGATGTTAATTCAACTCGTGAATGTGGTCTTACAATTGACATTTTACAAGTTGCTTTTGTATGTTTTATATTACCACCGTGTGTTACACACTGCACAGTTAGAACACAAACAAAAACAATGATTCACGTGGAGGTCTGTTATTCACTCAAGGCTGAATATGCTGTGTTTATGATGCCTGCCTTTACAAAACAACGATTAAAAAGAAAGACACAAGGTGCTTGTACACTGTTGAAGACATCAAGAGCAGTCTACACAAATATAAAGCTAAAGGTACAAACAGCGTCATACATGGAGAGAGCTATTTTTAATGCACTCTGTTTTAAATACAAACGTTTATTGTTTTATACAATAAAACAATAGCTTCATTCTCTGATACTACCAGTTAAACTCTACTAACTGAGGCCCTGCACATTCACAGTTTGCCCAGATTACATTCTGCTGCACACATCTCCATTCACAAGAACCCCACACTAAATGAGTAAAAACTAGAATATTTCCCTTCTTGTTTCCCTTGTTTTGAAGAATTTTGTAAAGATTTGTGTGTTTTTAAAAAAGGCAAGAAACATAAGTGCATTAGAAAGACATGGCACGATTCTAGACAGTGTTTGAAATACATTGATTTGTGGTGGAAACTGGTGCAATATGTACTCAATCATAGGCTGAAGGGGTTTGATAAAACAGAGGTTTACCTTGAACTGCGGCTGCTGAACATGAGGCATCGTGTCAATGTTTTACTGACATCTCGTTGCAGAAGCGGGAAGTTGTTGGCAGAAGAACAGTTACCTCTCGCTGTCATTACATTAAAAAGACGCCTTATAAGTGACTCAGATCCAATTTCTTCACATGGAGTCTGATCTCCTTAATTCTGATTTGGACCACTTTCATATATTCAGACACTTTTATGTCACTCTAGATCAACTGTCACTTCAGACCTGTGACCTGTTCACACTGTAATCTGATACGAGCCACATTTAACAACTAATATAAACCACTAAAACAGGAAGAAAATCTGAGCCATAAATCAAAATTGAGCCCTACGTAGCCTCAGAGTCTGTATTGTCACTACTGTATAAAGTTAATATGGGTTTTGATGAGTAAAAACAGATTCTCACTGCCCGTATGTTACAGTTAATTCTGATTTATTTGCTGATGAGCATTTGTATTGTGTATTAAGATGCACTGTGATGTAGATTTTGCATCTGTTCACGCAGCTGTGATTAAGATAATGATGATGTTAATGATGCCACTTGTCTTAATATGGTTTTATCTCTGAATGCTTAAAGACAGTCGGAGATCGTACTGTTATTTCTGTCTGCTCTCTTATGTTGAAGGGTAACTAGTGTATTTTTAAACCCAGACCCGGAGATGTTTTTGTGTCTAAGTGACTAATGGGGAAAACAATTTTTCCACTGAGTACCGGCTGCAGTGTAATCCTTATGGGCAACTGTGCACCGACGAGGTCTGTCCAGTACTGTTTTTAGTCTTTCACAGGCTCAGATTGTTATTATATGTTATGTTATTACAGAGATAGAGCTTTTCTGTGAAAGAGTCCTTTTTTATTCCACCAGAAAGAACAGATATATCGCTGTGTTCAAAGACACCACTGACAAAAACATTTTACCTCGTAACACTCGACAGAAACAGAATGAATCAGAGAGGCTGCCGGGAGAAACAGTGCATATAGGACCAGATATTTATTACATCCAACTCATCTAACATCTCACTAATCAGGGTTGTGAGATAATTAATGGTAAAGGAAAGAAAAAAACAAAGTTCGGCTAAGAAATTTTTAGTTTTCCCTGGAATAATTATACCTCCATCTAC